GTAAAATTAGGCATGACAGGGGAAGAGGATGGATTATTTGACTGTTTGTGACTATGCAGGAGGGTTAAAAAACATTTGTCTTCTGTTGTTCTCCGATTGATTTTTTGTCAAAATGTTGAAAGATCACACTTACATTGTACATGAATTACAAAACGAGAAAAGATGCACAATACAATTTTTACAATCAAAGAATTTGCAGTCGATTTCTGTGTAAGGTACATGTACGTGTATCTGGTGTGTCAGGCTGATTTGTTGCCTTGCTAGCTGTGCTATGTTGATACTGATAGTGAAGCCAATTTTTCCCAGGGTATGTGTATTTATTGTGGTAATTAAATGAAAGAAGGCGTAAATGGTAGCGGTGAATGATTTACAGTGTTGGATGCACACTTGGCATTGAGCGGCATACCAGGGGGTCGGACCGGTCGTTAGAGTAAACTAGACTTTGGGACATCACCATAGCAACAGAATGTAGCACCTTGTTCCGTCCGGGGCACACACCGTATTTGATATCTTTGATACCATTATCACTAGTGCCACATCCATAACCTGTTCAGTGTTACTGCAAGTCGTGGAAGTAGTGTATCTTGCGCAGCTGTATTGTTGTTGTACAGCCATGTCCTGGTCGTCGCCCAACGTTGAGCTGAAGTTGTATCGGCAGTTGAGTCGTGGACGAAATCCACAATTCTGGTTAGTAAATGGTTGTTTTGATTTGTACCATTGTTGAATCAAACACTATACTGGAAAGTGTTTTTCTAACTTGGACTGCAACCGCACTTGTAAGCAACTGAATGGTGTTAGCATGTAGTTTCTACTGATCTGCTCATGTGCAGGATTACTCTGTGTTTTACACATTTTGTTTCTTTTAGAATCTTGTCACAGTGGAACTTTAAACCATCACGATATTTTGCTCAAAACATGTTGTTTTATTGAGTGGGTGTCCTGAAGTAAAATCATCAAAGAGTGCAGGCTCTAGAGTCAGTGATTTGTATTGTATGAGGCAATTGGAGGAACATATTTTGGATGGAGGGGGTTGATGTTTTTCAACTGCAGTTTTGGTGTCCTTTTTGCCGAGTTGCTTGTTGATTTTTGGGTTAGTCAATTTTGTCGTAACCATGGATAAAGAAGCAGTAAAGTCTGTGTTTTTGTTCTCTTTTAAATGTATGCTTTGCTTTGTACAGGGACATTTTAAGGATGGTTTTGATAGTTTAGAATAATACTTTACAGTTTATTCAGGATTTGGTTTTGAGATACTGGTTTCAGATTCAATCAACATTAAAATAATATTTCAGTTAAGTGGTTTTACCCAATTTATTTTATAGATCTACTGGGTAGATTTAATGCAGATTTCCTCCTAAAAACAAATAGAAATGCGTAGTGGATAGTTTCCTGTTGATCTTATTGATCACATCGGAATCTGTTGTCAAATATAATTTTAATACTAAATATACATGCGTATCATAGCTGCATCACCTTCATAGCTTATACATTCCAATTAAGAAATGGTTTTCCCAAACCAGAACATTATCTTATTTAAAAAAATATTGCTCCCTAGAGGACTGGTACATTACGTAGTGAGACAAGCAAATTTTCTCTGAAACCACTTAGCATTGTTTTCTGATTTAACCCTAGGGTTTTGGAATCATGGCTAATTAATTATTCATATGTACGAATGGTAATTGTGCTCTGTGTACACGACGTGTATGGGAAAGTTCAGTTTTATGCGCCGGAAAATTTTTATGTTTTTGGTATCAAAAGATGCGCACGGCTTGAGACTAAAAAGTCATAACAGTTGAGTCGCGAAAAAGGGTTAAAGAAATTTAAGCAAATTAGGCCGTGTCCAAAACCGGCATCTCGAGCTACGGCTACGTCTATTGCCGGCTTGTTCCCACGTAGTTGTAATTAGCAAAGACCTAGACAATGGCTTTAGACAACAGTATGGCATTGATTTGGCAGTGTTCCAAAAACAAATATTTGTAGTTGTGGAACACAGGGAAATTTGAGTTTCACACCTGTAGTTTTGGATTGATGGAGTCACTCCGGGCTAGAGGCCATTACACAACCCAAGTGTTTGGAACTGTCTGCAACCTTTGGTGACCTGCCATTAAGGAGCTGCAGTTGGCACATTTGGTGTCTATATAAATGGTGTGCTGAAAGATGATGTGTTTGATAGATAAACCCGTCAGTGTCCCAAACGATCCAGCAGGCGCTTCACTTGGTACATGTGAATACATAATTGGGTTTCGAGAACCATTGAGATTGGAGAAGACAAACGAAATGTGTAAATATTTATAGCACTGGATTTATGTATGTCCTACAGACCATGCCACCTTTTGACATGGTGGCTATTAGGTGCTGACAGGCAGATTAAACACCCAAGAATTTCCTGACATTTTGTCACTGTATTGTACATGTACATGTAAAATGTGAAAAATTTAAACATGCAAGCCATAACAGGGGGCCATTCCATAAATTCTGACATAGTGACACAGATTTTTATAGTTCTGATGTAACGTAGTCACCCTCCAACAGTGATTATGAATAGCAAACTACATGTACTTACCTAACAAATTAAGTAAGATTTGAGGCTTTGCATGGTGGAGATACTAAATAATGAAAGGTATATATGTGCGAATAATTTCTCAACTAAGAGAATGGTTTCGAGTTTATACCTTTGGTTCTTTTCAGAACCATTCTCTTAATTGAGAAATTATTCGCAAATGGTGTTTCCGCAAACCTTTCATTATTTAGTACCTAACAAATTAAAAAACCTTTGAAGTCATTCTTAATGATACTTGAATGGAAAATTACCTAGTACCAAAGTAACAGAGACAGGAAAATGTCACGTTTTAGACCCTAAATTTATGGAATGATCTACCGAGTGGTAGTAACAACAAATAAAAAAGAACACTTACACATTCTTTAGTTGTAACTCTGGTATTTTGGACCATGAAAAGACTGTTTCTGACAAATTTGCATCTTTTGAAAGTCTACATGGTGTATCTACAGGATTTTATTTAAGATTGGACATTGACATTTACGTATGTATTTAGCTTCAAATGCATGTTTTCCTTGTGCATTTCTTTAAATAGAATTATATATTGTGCGGTGGATTTGTATGCAGTCTGTTTCCTCTAACATGTTTTTACCTGCACGCCAAAAAGGGCAAACTGCATTGATCAGTCATCTGATATATCTACTTCATGTATATTTCATGGAAAGCCGTCAATTTGAGATTATTCACACTCCGCCGGGCGCGCTGAAACATTACCGGCAGATTCTCACATCAGCCTGCCCGTCAAAGATTCATGACGATGGGCCCCAGCGTGACCACTGCACTTTTGTATCAGGCCCAGCAAGAGTCTCTATATTTTGGCAGAAAGGGGTTGCGCGCTCTGTATCATCAGGCGAAGGGGGGTGGGGGAAATATCTGACAGTTGCACATGACACACAGGTAAACCGAGGGGTCAAGTGAAACAACTGCCTGTGATTGCGACTGTCACTTTATATTGCGCATTTGCAATTCAGAGTGTGGTAGAGAGAGCAGAGACGAAAGTGACTATAAGTCGCTCATTCACTCAACCAAAAAAAATAAATAAAGTCCCCCCTTAATACTTTTTTTGTCTAACTCAAAAACTACTGGGCACATCTTGCTCAACTTACAACTGATGGTACAGAAATTCCTAAGCAATCCAGCAATACTCTTTGTTTGGCCCAAAATAGTGATAATGTGTACAGAATTATGCAATTTATGACGAATGGTACCCAAAAAAAGTTGCACTTTTGTATACGTGCAAGGTGAGTGTGAACCACATCTTGCACGTATTTTAAAGTGCAACTGTTTTTGGTATCATTGGTCATAAATTGCATAAATTCGTACACATTATCACTGTTTTGGGCCAAATAAAGAGTATGGCTGGATTGCTAAGGAATTTCTGTACTGATTAGTCGTTATTTGAGCGAGAGGTGCTCAGTAGTTTTTGAGTTAGACAAAAAAGTATTGGAAGGGGGGGGGACTTTCTTTTTTGGTCGAGTGTATATTGAATGACCAAATTGTAAAAGACATCGTACTTAAAGTATTGGGAAGTTTGACCTAAGCAACTGATGTAACTTATCTGAAAATATTGTATGTCTAAAGGATCCTTTTTCCAGGATCTTTGCAAGTGACACGTGTTGATTATTTTGTTTAACAGGATGCGATAAAAGTTCACAATTATCCAATATCCAACGGTATAAACTATATAAACAATGTGAGCCATATGAAAACAGACTTAGCTTGACTCAATTACAAACTTGTGCCACAATAAAATAAAAAATGTACACTGTATCTAGATCGCTCTCAAATGAAGTCTGATGGTGTTGAATTCGCAGTCTTAATTTTCCTACGAAGACGACTGTCTATGAGAGGGGTCTACTTGTTAGTCTTGTTATGAACATTATGGTTTCTGACATATGGGAGTGTTTTCTCTTGTTATCTTTTACTGAGTCAGTAAACCAATTGTGTAGCTTGGAAAAATTTTGCAAAAAAAGTAACCATGCTGGTTGACTTAAAATACCTTACATGTGTTAAGAGAGTTTGACATGTTTTTCTTAGGACAAGTTTCACAGCTTGATGTGCAGTGAATGTTCAAGAATATGCATGTAAATAAAATGGGGAAAAGTTCCTGCATAGTGCAAGTTTCAGAGAACTTCAGAGGAAGGTTCTGGTTAAAAAGCCAAAGGAGTTTTAAGTGAAAATTCCAAAACAAAAGAAATCATTCTCATTTCAGGTTCCAGATTTCTACACTGATGTCTTCAGAGGGTTAGCAACCAAATTTTATCCAATTTTACAAATTTTACTTTTTTCCCCTGGCATTATTTTATTGTTTTCTTGTTCACTACAGCTTTGATGTTGAGAATGGCCTTTCATTGAGTTGGAGTACAGATATTGTGGCTGCAACTTCTAAGAAGAGACTTAACATTTGATTAATTTCTGGCGTTTTTTTCCTCTTTGTTCTCTGCAGCTTCGATGTCGAGAATGGCGCATCACCGAGTCGCAGCCCAGGCATCGACGCCGCCAGCCCTTCCTCGGGGCTCATTCTCTCGGCCAACCTGCCACAGAGGAGAGAGTCCTTTCTCTACCGGTCAGACAGCGATTTTGACCTTTCGCCGAAATCGATGTCCAGAAATTCATCCATCACAAGTGACTGGTAAGCGCGTCTTGTGACCTACATGTATAGTGTATCTCCAAAAATAGCGAGGTTAAGTTACGTGTTTTGCTAAACGCGTACGGCAACGCGTGCTGGATGGTTCACGTTCCCGGGAAAAGAATTGAACAAGGCATTTTGTTGAGCTCGTGTGTATGAACCTTTATAAAAAAAGGTTGAAAAATCCTTCTGTTTTAATAATGAGATCATCTTTCAAGTCTGTTTATTATGACAGTATGTTATGCAACCTATTATAACAATCTTTAAAATGTTTGCATACGTGCAAAATAAAGAAATAATTTTTACTGCCCTGTTCTTCACATTACGAGAGCTGCCAAAATCACTCGTTTGGCATTGCATACAGCAAGCTAGCAATTGTATTTGTGTTGCGAATGCATATTTTTGTGATGTTCACGAGTGTGTCCAAGACGCTACAAGGTACTAGACCTACACCTTCTTTTGCGAAAATGCCAAACTACTTGTTTGACGGTACATACAGCAAGTCAGCGCTTGTATGCGTGTTGCCAGCACATATTTTTGTGACAATCATGCGTATATCAATGACGCAATGCAGGTCCTAGGTCTACCCATTCTTGCGAAAACTCATAACTCATCCTCAACTTGAAGACAGTTTTCTTAATAATTACAAGTCACAAGCATAGCAAAATAAAAAATTCTTCCTAATCGTTGATCTAGGATTTTTAATTTTTTTTTATTTGTGAAAAATTGAAGACATGTGAGTTACTATTTGCTATATTACCATGATATCTCAGAGAATAATACGTTATGCTTTGTTGTGTTTAGTTTCAGTACAATTTTTTTTAAGGGAATCTGGAAAAAGAGAGCTAACAAGGGTTGGGAATAGAGATACAGGCTTGATAGTGGGAACATGTATGAGCGCAAGTATTTATTGCCGTGGCTTTGGGAAACAGTCGGAGAAGGTTTACACTCCTCTGAGCATGTTGTCTTTCCAAACAGTTTTGCCGGCTGTCTTTTCTATGTGACTGAGTAGAGTACACATCAAGTTGGGGAACTTTGTTGATTTAAGCTAAACTCAGTAGGAATTCACACAATGACAGTGGGCAGGGATTTTCCCCAATGTGTTTGCTTCAGGTGGCATGAATAACACTAACTTTATTAGTTTTCCGCAAAGTGACTACTGAAAGTTGCATTCCCTGTTCTATTTTTGAGTTTCATCCCAAAGAAAACATTCCTTTTCTAAATTGCTACATGTATGTTTCTAGCAGAACAGAAGTTGTTCACTTTTGAATGAGACATCAACTGAAAAAAAAATTGGCTCATGTTTTACTATTGAAATATTACAATTTCGAATTACTGGCTGCCAGGCAATAGTTCCAGTCAGCTGGTTCCCGCCCCACAGTCAGCATCGATAATGTACGGACTGGGAGCCAGTTAGCTTGCAGAGCGGATCTGTTTGTGACCAAAACAAAAACCCTTTTTAAAGAGGTTTGCAGACGTTAAAAAAATGGGGAAACAGGAGAATTGGGGGTTGGAATAAAAGATACCAAGTTGAAAATTAATTAATTGCAAAAAATTGAATTTGTTGAAGACCATGGGGAATGCAACTTTAAAGAATCATAAGCTTTAAAAAAAAAATCAGGAAATTCCTTGTTTTTTCCCAGTTTTTACCAACACTAATATATCTGTGTATCATGTAATAATACATATTTTTAATTGGTAAACGTTTGATTTTTAAGGATGAAAATATGAGGGTCCCTAATAATCAGCATTCGCTGCAATGGCTACCCTCATTAACCCTAACTCCCTGGGCATTTTTGCTAGGATGCATCCTCAATCCTGCAAAATCCTCCTACTGTCTCCATGTAAAAAATTGCATACAGCCTCAATCCTGCAAACTCCTCCGTTATTTCTTGAATGTGGTCCTTGGAGGGGTGACCACTGCCTCAATCCGGCAAAAATCCTCCGGCAATCACTGTCAGTATGTTGAGGCAAAGCCAGCGACATCATGGAGCAGTGCGGAGGATTTCAAGTATAATCTACCTGTAGGCCATAAATTTGTGCAAGGCTGAGCGCAAACAAGGTCCGGCCCAAGACCTTGATACAGTGCATCCTCCAAAATCAGCCACACATTTTTGCCATATAGCCTCAAAATCTTCCGTTTTGCAAAGAGGATTTTGGAGAATTAGGGAAGCTTAGGGTTAAATATTGCTTTAAATAGATAAAAAGCATGTACAAGACATTTTGAAAGTCCGCAAGATTTCAAATTTTACGAATTGTCAATGAATGTTTCTTTTTGTTTGATTCTTTTCCAGTCACAATGCAGAGGACGTGATCGTCACACCATTTGCTCAAATTCTTGCCAGCTTGCGGAGTATCCGTAAGAACTATGCCTCTCTCACAGGGTTACCATCCAATTTTAATAGGTAAGTAATTTTAATGCAGCACCTCGGCCCGATTTCGTGGCTCTTCTCTGACCATAAATGGAGTATCTTTGTGAAATCAAGAGTGCGTAGTGGAAAATTCTGGGCTAACAATAGAGTGTGTAAAGTTGACCTCGAAATCCTGTGAGATTTTATGAGAATACAGCACATCCGGGCACCATGTAAAGGATCTACACTTGAAGTGTGTAAAGTTCTATTTTTTGTTTTGTTTTGTGTCCCGACAGGGCTCATCCAATCAAGAGCAATAAATGGGTATTTTCGAAAGAAAATAAAGCATTACAATTTACAACATATTGAAAATATTGCAAATTGCTGACTATTTAAAAATTAAAATTGTCAACATCAACTTCCGTTCAATCGATCACGCGGATATCAAGCACTTGGGATTAATTCAAACATGGGAGTCTGTGCATGACTAGGCTAGTCAGTATTTGGTGCCAAGACATTCACATAAAAAGTGAACGTGGACTGGCGAGACTTACACGCTCTGTAAACATTTTTCAAGGGTTAAAAAGTACGGGTAATTTAGGCTTGTGCAAGGTGCTCATTTATTTATTTCCACCTGCCAAATTATTTACCCTGCCAAATCCATTAACAGTGGGTCATTTCTGCTGGATTTTGGAACAGTGAACTTGCCTACCGGTAGGCCTTGCCATTTACATGTAAGACATCATGTTTACATGCGATCTCTAATTTGTGCATAGAAAGTGTACAAGTGCACAGGCGCGTGGGTGTAAACGTACGTTAATGTGTCTACCCCTTGGTGTCAACAGGTCGAAGCCATTAAGGAAGTATATCAAATTAGAACCCACGCATCTGGAAATCGAGGGCCAGATTCGCAGTTGCCGTTAACTTTTGACATTCAATTGAATGTGAATCCAGGGTAGTCGTAATGACTTGCTATGCAAAGACTGTGCATCAACAAGGCGTGCATTCGGGGGCCTACTCAGCACGGTACAGTTGTGTTTTGTGAACCACAATAACCCATTTGCAGTAACCTATACCCTTTGGGATTTACATTTGAAAAACATCTGGTACACTGACTTGCTCAGAATGCTCGGCACATTTTGACTTTGAATTCTCCAGACCAAAAACACTGTTGCAAATCACATGATTCGGGGCAAGCTTCTTGCATAGTTGCGCAAGAGACGCTCAGCACCAATACATTGTTCACAATGGGTGAGAATATGGCACAAAGACACCAGACCATGCTGGAGCTGGGGGTTGCTAGCATAAGGCTTGCCCCGAATCACGTGATATAGTAACAGTCTCTTCGGTTGGGAGAATGCAAAGTTAAAACGTGCAAAGCATCGGATTAAGTCAGCGTTCCAGATTTTATTCAAATTTAACTTACAAACGGCTTTTACATTGTACAGGTAGGTCGATCCAAAACATATGAAAATGAAAAGCACTGTTGTTTTTATTGGCAAGAAAACAGTACAGATTTTATGTCTCCCACTGTAGGTCTGCCATCCTGCTTGACAGATATTTTCATGGTCATTGCTCCACTGATCTCTCTTAGATCAGAGTGTTTGAGAAAGAAAGTCAGATTTCTGCCTGTTCTCTTCCACACACTGTTGCAATACCTACAAATGTAGATCATAGTAGAACAAAAGGATATTCTAAGGCCAAAAAAAAAAATCTCCGGTTTCTGGTATGCGCGCGCGTCGCCGTAGCCATGCGCGTCAGCAAAATGAAAAAGTTTTTTTTTTCAATAAAAGATGATGTCTCAAAACCACCAAACTCACTGGTTTGACTGGAATCCTGCTGCTGCACAATTTTAACGTGTTTTTAGATGGGGTTATGATCGAGAATAAGCTTTATGTGGCCTCTCTGGACTCCCATATATTTGCACTAAGTTTAGTCGGGCACGATTTGCAGTCATCAGCCGACATTTGAAGCAAAAAAGATTGGGGAAGCTCCATACCAGAAACCGGAGACTTTTTTTTTGGCCTAATAGTCTTTTCCTACTTACTGCATCTCTTTGGAATTCCTTGCCTGGTGCTTGTTTCCCTCCAACCTATGATCTGTCGTGTTTCAAGAGGAATGTTAATTCCTTCCTTCAGTTTTCCTGAGTATACTCTTTGTATATCACTTGCAGCGTAGCCCTGTACATTGAGTGGCTTTTAGTCTTGCTCAGAGCATGTATGCATAAAAAATGAGGCACTTTTACCAGAATTTCAAAGCCAGTTCTGCTAGAAATCTTCCTGAATTCCCCATCATGCAGGAGCCTAATGACAGGTTCTTTGTACCTGAAACAGAGGTGTGAACTCTCAGCTTTAAAGCTGATTTCAGCTTTTTTGTTCCTCACTTGCTGTGCACAAAAGTATAGGAGATTTCCAAAGTTCAGCTTTTTTTTACACCTTTTTCAGCGGTTTTCAGCTATTTTTATCAGTGGTCACTCACACCCCTGCTTAAACGTGCACGAGGCATCGAGCTGTGTGGAAATATATTGAGGTTGGGTTGTACACCTTCCTTAATCCTACAAAAAAATTTCAAAATCCCATAGTAGATTTTGAAGCGTCGGATGAGCTGAGAGGCTGAGTTCAGTTATCAATTTGCTCACTTTGCATAAAGTGAGCTGATATTGGCTCAAAAATTGGCTGGCCAATAATATTGGTTCAAACTTCACAATGCGTTGTATTAATAAAGGCAATTAATTCTAATCGAGGCCATCAATCCTGTTCCCAAAAGATTAAATTCCGTACAAACAAAATTAACAGTATGGAATCTATAGGCCTCCTAAGTTATATAGATTTTTAAGAGTCCTGAAACCCTGTAAATCACTGCAATTAAAAATGTGTCCGTGTGCTATTGAATTTTTTCTCTATTTACTGAAAAGCATTTTATCATTAACATCATCATTGTACCTTGACTTCGTGCAATTTGACCTCAATTATCCAGAATGGTGGTGCTTAAAGCACACCCCAAGGGAAAAACAGAGCTCTCCCTAGTAGATCATCAGGAATCTAATGGGAAAGTGTGGGCCGAAGATTTCAGGGTTTTTTTTTAAGTCAGCGTCAGCTCATTAACCCTGTCCAGGGGCTTTATGGAATTTTTATTAACTGCCATATTGTGCCCCATCAAAAAATCTTATCAAGTTTTATGCGTTGAATTATAAAGCTAATGGTTGTCAGCTGCAAGTACGTGTTTATGTCAATTTTGTGTATGCGCAATGTGCTTAACAACTACAAAAGTTTACATGTATAGACGTTACTCATGAGAAAGCCATTTTTGATCGTGTTCCCTGAATCTATTTTGTAAATTCTAAACTGTTGAATGGTATGGTGCCAGACTATTTTATGATTGGAATGCATGCCAACTGCCAGACCTCATTTTCAATAATTTTTTTTTTAAATGTGATTTAAAACATTAGAGTATCGCCATGTTTACTTACACTTTTTACGTCATTCATCAGAGCAGGCTGATATTAATATTTAATTAACTTAATTTCATTTCTACGCGCAAGTTCCAAAAATGAAAGAGTTTACAATAAAATCTATTTCTGGATTTAAAATGACTGGGAATATTGATGTAAACAGAAAAATAGCATAAAGCAGGCAGGTCTTGTCGTCCTGCAGTAAATAAAAACAAAAACAATGAAGCTGGCTGTCTTACACCCACTACCTTTCTCTATTAATAAAACATATCAATTTGTTTATGGCAAAAACCGCTCCTATTTATTTTACCTGATTCAACCCGATTTTGCGCATAGCACGATTGTAACAAAATGTAATACAAATGCGCGTACGCGCAACGTGTACTGTGTGTGGACGTGAGCGGCCGGCCGGCGTGACAAGATTTGAGCGTAGTGTACGCACGTACAACGCAATGCCCACGACGTATTTGAGCAGGGTTATGATTGGCGATCATCTTCTTCAATCCTCAATGTACGGGCCTTAACAATGTCCAATCAAAATACATGTTAGATAATTAGTTAGACCAGAACTTTCCCTAACAACACTTTTTTTAACAATGCCGTACGGTGGCGCTGTTTGTGTTTACGGCGAGTTGAAGCGGTGCGGGTTTACTGAAAACCTCGATTTACACACAGAATCGTGTTAAATTCTGCTAAAACAACAATATATATCCTGAAAAGTACGGGCTTTGTTTTTAATATAAATTCAATATTTTATATCAGTATGATGTAGAATAAAATTATCTGTCTTATATTCTTTTAACAAGTCAAAGCGGTGCTCCGTTTTCCAATGGTGTACAAAAAAAAACAATCGAGGCGCCGTTTTTGATGGCAATTCCCATAGCGGAAAAATCAGTTCCTGTGTGGACGCTTGAAAAGGAGCGCTCACGAATTGATATGGTACTATTTAAACCTAATAAAAGACCCCCCCCCCCCCCTTCCTAGAAAAAAATGTTCGAGTTCTTGGCTTCTCGGTCCAAGAAAGCAATTACACTTCTTCCTAAATATTGTTTGACATTTTATCAAACAACGGTTGTAAAAAAATCCAACTTTGCCTCTTTACATACATGTACAAGTACATGGCTTCAATATCTAGTGAATGCATTAAATTTGTGGCACAATATGTACAATTGGTACATTGTGATGTCTGGATGTTTACATCTGTGAGAAAAGGGGTATAGGGGAATTCACACAAACGTATTTCTGCGAAATGGTGATCAATATACCGGCATATGGTATGTGCATTTTTATTTGGATTGGGACAGACTGACATTTGCCTTACTATTTGGATTAGTTCAGTGTGGGTGTCTTTTGAAACGTGGGAATATCTGGCCTTCTGTGCTGCCAACTGTATATCATTTTTGGTTGAAGAATGCAAACAGGATATATCTTTTACCAGGAAAATTAGAATCGGGGCATGCATACTTTCATGGGTAATTTTCTGCGCGAGTACTTTTTGCCCATGCACCAATGAACTTTGTGGTTTTATATAAATCAATCTTTTCAAAGTACTACAGGGCGTGAAATTTTATATAGAAATTGCCATGAATTCAACTGCATGAGTTGCTTTAGGTGGCCTAGTAAACATACAGCGTTAATTTCTTCATGTTGTTTTGTTTAAAACAAAAAGTAAGGTCAGTTTGGAAATTGAGACGAGTTTACGTAGTCACATGAGATAGGCTTGCAATATGGAAAATCAGTAAAATTCCATCAGCATCCTCCCCAGGTTGTGCCATGCGATATCGGCCCTCCACTTATGTGATTAACTGGATGGGTTATGTGATATTGTTCCCCCCTCCACTTCGGTTGTGCAACTGACGAAGTGGGTAAATTTTTTCCTTCAAAATCTGAAGTTGCATTTGTTAATCATATTTCGCACCGCTCAGGCCCCTTCGGCATGCAAGGAAATATCCCTCTACCATGTCTACAGTTATTACTTCACTGCAAGTTTTTACAGATTTGACGCTTCAGTTTTCCTGATCAGTTTTCTGTTTTGTCGACTATAAGCACACGGTGTTGCCATTACAGGGCTGACAAAAGCCTGCCGTTTCCATGGTGATGTGTATATATAAGTTTCGTACTATCAGTTTACAAAAGCCCTTTTGTTTCCCAAAATTAGCTTTCGCTGCCACTTTACTGTTGCACTCAATTCAACACAAATGCTTAAACCCTTGCTAGTTTCAAAAAATAATCTTATAAGTGATCTTTTTTTGACCCAGCAGGCAGTCGCCAAAAGACAAGTTACATCAAATCAAGCCCAACCCACCCAATGTTGGTAAGTGCATGGCATTGTACACAATGTCATTTTCTTTGATCCATGTACTATTTATACCCCTTGTCTTCTTTACTAGTAGTGTTGTTCCAAGACTTGAGTAGGAGTTTATAAGCCAGTACAACCATTCCCTTACCAGAGGGGTAAAGCCGCTGCTGCGGTAGCAGTTGCTTAAATGAGATAATCAAATCCAATCTTGGGAACCTTGGCAGTGCTGCCCGAAGAATTCCGAGTGTACATGTACATCATCTAGGTCTATTGGAGCTAACTTTCCTGGAGCGCTGTACTAAACTTCTCAAGGCTGGACTTGATTCTCATTGTTAGCCATTGTAACCACCACGGTGGCTCTACTGCATTTGTCAGAGATTTTTGTTTTTTTCAGGGAAATCTCAGACCAAGATTGCAAACATTGATAAACAGTATGCAGTGTGCTGTAGATTGAATTTTGTGTCGGCGAGATGTACATTTATTTTCCCATACAATGAATATTAGGAATTTCTACATTATAATACATGCTGCTGTCTGCATGTCCGTCTCATGTAAACTCTCTCGGCTGTTACTAGTAGGCGATCGAGACAGGTCTTGCACAGCGTGCAGATTGAATGCTTATTTCCCATGCATAATTTGTTACAATGTTACGGTCTGGTGATTACAATGTATTTGAATTGCCCATAACAAGTTTTACAGTCCAGTACTCTTATACACAGTCAGGCATGAAATGAACATGCACTACACGTATAGCGGAATCGTGACACCAGAATTACAAGCCGATACTGCGGTGGGCCACGCTCACACGCGCGCACGCTGCAGGCGTTCTTAAAGACAAGGTGCGCGTGCATTTTGGTAACTCTATTGGTCGAAGGAACCCTAAGTGCATGCGTATAACTTGTACCTGAGCGCGACTCGTGCGAGCCCGGTGCCACCACAGAAAATGGCGGTCGCCAGAGTAGTCTATAAGGTTACACCCCTATGTTCCGACACCCCTATTTTCCGACGCCCCTATGCTCCGACACCCGTATGTTCCGACTGTACACATTTCTATTCCTAACCCTAACCCTAACCAGGGGCCTTTGTCAAAATTTGCTTAAGCACAAAAAAGTCTTGCTGAATAAAATCAGGTTACCGGCCAAAACTCCACTCGATTATTGTGTTAAGAAAACAACGGCTATATACCAGTCACAAGCAATGCACTTTACATGGAGTTTTGGCCGGTAACTTAATTTTACTAAGAAATGCTTTTTCGTGCTTAAGCAAATTTTGTGCTTAAGCAGCTCTATGAAATTGGGCCCAGGAGTAACACAATCTTTTGTGCGGGTTGTCGGAGCATTGGGGTGTCGGAACATAGGGGTGTCGGAACATAGAGCAGTCACCATCTATAAGGCCTTTTCATATTATTGTCCCCCCTACCCCTGATGGCTTCTTTATTTTTGCCTTTTTTGTCATTCTTAAAGATGACAACTATGCGAAGTTGGCGCTGGAAACCATGGAAGAACTGGACTGGTGTCTGGAGCAGCTGGAATCCATGCAGACACATCGATCTGTCAGCGATCTGGCTACCAGTAAAGTAAGAAAGATATTCTTCTTTTTTGCGATCCTTTATTCCTTCCACTCCCACTCCCTGCAATCCATCAAAACCCATCAAAATCCAGATGGACGTTTTGAGGATTTTGGTAGGATTCGCTAGGATTTGGTAGGATTGAAGAAGGTAGAATGCAGCCACTGCAGCTTCATGCCACCATGAAAGTTTCAAGAACTGCATAGTCAAGGATTTTGTAAAAATGGGTTTGAAAATGTGTCTTTTTTTAAATACAGGACACATTTTTGAAGCAGTTGTGGGTTTTCAATGTTTTGATAGATATTACGGCAATGAATGTATACTATATCCATGTATTGATCGGTGATATGATTCTACCACAGCTGTCGAGGGGTCAAGTGAGTTCAAATGGTACACACGTGTGTATCATGAATAGACCCGAAACATAATGACGTCACACTGGTAGTTCTCAAGTACACATTCAGTCATACACTGTTCTTCCGAAAAACTGGATTTTGCATCAGAAATTATTTAATAATTTTGGATGCAACTGGAAAAGAAAACTGGAATAAGGCCCAGTATGGAGTTTATAATACTTGAGGTGGATATCGGGGTGCAGCTGTAAGCCTAAATCCACAAATCCTTTGGTGGGTAATCGTAGGGCTTTTCTTTTGAAGATATATACTACCCACACAAAAATGCCCAAGGGCTTGCTACTACCTCTAGATTTTTTTTCTCTCTTTTTTTCCCCCATCTTCTATATTTTTTCCCCATTAATGCCTGAAAAGTGATACAGTGAACCAAACATTTTTAGTAACCTGATGCGAACGTGGGTGTGTTTTGGCTGACAATACTAAGGCTGTTAGTGGGGGAAGATGTGCAGTTAATCCATCCAATTCATTTGTTGATGTACGAAGTATGCGTGTGGGTGGAATGATGACTGTGGGGGGGGGGGGGGAATTATGGACATTTGATAAGTGCAGCAACTTGGTGCAAATTTTACCTTTGTGTGTGTTTGTGTGTACGTTTCAATATTGGCTTCTGTGAATGCCTGTCTCCACATTATGTACTAGAAATATTTGCCTGCAGTGCTGTTGCAATCTTTAAGTTGTCCGTACCAAAGTTGAATTGATAGATTTTCAATTTGGTGTGCTTATATACATTGAAAATTGATGCCATTGTCTTACTATCAATCATCCCATTAATTTTAAGCGAGGGGAAAGAAACTTGTTTCTAATTTTAATTCTAAAACTCTTCAGTCTTCACCATGTTGAATTTAGCACTCTGTTTACATTTAGCCAACATTATTTCTCTTTCTTCCATTCTTTGCTACACACAGTTCAGACGAATGCTCGGCAGGGAACTTTCAGCATTCTCGGAGACCAGTAAATCGGGCAACCAAGTATCAGAGTTTCTATTAAGCACATATATAGGTAAGTAATATGAGGGACACTCAGTTCTTCTCCCCCCCCCTGCAAAACCCCCATCCTCTGCCCACCCCCCCCCCCCCACAATCCCCCTACTTGCAAACCCCCTACTTACAACCCCCAAAACTGCAAAACACCCTGCCCCCATTCACCCTCTCCCCACTCACCCCCTTTCCCTCTCAATCTCCCCTTCCCACTCACCCCCTCCCCCACTCACCTCCACCCCCCTCACCCTCCCACACACCCCCACCCACACATGTGTGTAAACACCAGCAATCGTGGACGCCCCATTGTCCCTAATCCTCTTTCCTTTGTTTCTACTCTAACTTTATAGCGATAGCTCTCATTGGTTTTGCACACGATTTGAGATCGTGGACGTTCGGTCAATCATGGACGTATTGTTTGCGCCCCAATTCTTTTGTCCTACGTCCACGATTGCCGGTGTTTACATACTCACTCACCCCCACTAAACCCTCCTCACTCAACCAGTCTGACCCTTCCCACTCACAACCCCCTCCCTTCAAACCCCCCCCCCCCTCCCCCTTCCCCCGGCTCTTATTATATGTGTTTCTCTATCGATTATTGTAAAAGGGCCTCACAGAATTTACTTTTTAAATGAAGGAAAACTAGACTGGCTTTAAGAGCAATTTGTATGAACGCTGGATATATCACGTTGTATCAGGTCGTTCACCTAGGGCCGGTTACATCACCACTTCATACTGACAGTTATTGATTTGGCTCGTCATACTCGGTGATGTGTTCTTCTCTGCTTCCTTTTTTTTCAACGTTTGTTTACATAACGCATCTCACACCGCCTTTATGAAGTTGGTATTTTGTTGACTCAGAATTTGAGATTTCATGGAATCGATCCATTTACGTCTTGGGAACAATTCAAACACCATTAAAATAGCATAAACAGCGATAACGTCCTTTGCTCGTAAAATCCATTAACGTCTCACAGAAAAATGCGGACGGTGTGTAAACACGTAGCTCAAATAGCAACAACACTGACATGCTTACGTCATAAACATACGCATGGTTGGATTTTAAATGGGTTTTGAAGCCACGTCCGGGGAATTTTCCAATAAAGGAAAATCCCTTGTCAAACAAAAAGTGGCAATAATTTCTGTTTCAATACGTCAATGTAAATATATTTCTTGGTATTAACCGACTGCGGTCGGAGTTAGCCATAAATCTTTGAATCGTTGCTTGACGGTCGCTGCAGCGTCTGTTTGCATTTTATTAAAAGCGGCATTGTTAAGCCCCTCAAATCCTTAAGATGATTGTTTGTTTTTAATCAGAGGCTCAAACTGTGATTTCAGTTAAGCAGTTTTATAATCGTTAATTTCAGACTTTTTATGAGATATGCCTTTGTCATATTCTTGTATTCAAATTGGACTAAGTCCTTATTATGGACTCAGTGCACAAGTACCCCCTCAACGGTAAGAAAGAGAGAGTTGGGGGAGACCACTGGGAGAGACATTCAAACACATTTGACGCTCAGGCGAGGACGCTATGGCTTTGTGCACATTCAAGAATAAAATTAGTTGTGCGTACTTGTCGCCATACGTGCGCGAAGCAGTATGCTCAAGCGGTGTGTTCTGTCCACAAAAGTGGTGAAAAAAATCCCTCTCTTGTACGCGTATGGAGCCCATATTCCCTTGATTGATTTTACACAACGCCTGGTTGGCAGTTTGTCCATATGTGAGATCTTGATGTTACTTACATGCAAATAAGTAGCAGAGTCATTCTGTAAATTTGGGTCCACATTTCGTCCTGTCCCAGTTACATCTGACATCTATGATTATATAATTCTGATGAGCTCTTTAATGCAGTCGTCCTCCAAGAGCGACTATGAATAGCAAACTACCTGTATCTACCCAACAAACGAAAAAATATGTTTGAAGTCATTCTCAATGATACTCAAATGACATATTACAAAGATCCCAGGTAACAGGGACAGGAACAAATGTCACACTTTGGAACCTAACTTTATAGAATGACCCAACACTGAAATGAAAGTTCAGGAACTTTCTCTTGCTTTTGAGTGATCAAAACATCAGGCTCTCTGTCTTATATGATTTATTTATTTCACTTCAGTCAGTTATTGGTGGCAGCTTTTACATTCTCATGACATTGAAAAGGTTAAAAACTGAAATAGTTAAACTAGTACTGGCTTTATGTATCCATGATACCTACAGTTGTCCCTTTAACTTGGCACTTTCGTTACGTAACTTTTGAAGGGGTACTTACACACATGGAGTTGAATACATGTTCGAACTTTCACCTTTACAGACAAGCATCCGGACATCGACCTGCCGGTCCAGCCGCTGCGCGATGCCCCCTCGCCGTCCCCGATCCCCAAGAACGCCCCCTCCAGGTCGGACAGCAAAGGCCTGACGGCGGCGTCGGCGGCGACACGGCGGAGCATCGATGCAAGCAAGAGCATCAAGACCATCCCTAAGCTGAAACACCATAACAGCCTGACGCAGGACGTGGTGCCGCGCTTTGGGGTGTCCTACGAGAAAGAGGAGGACATGGAAAACGTAAGTGTCTCTGAAAAGTTTATCCACCGAGTATGGTGAAAAGAACGAAAAATAAAGAATCAAATTTTTTGTAAGATGGCGAGACGTGCGAGACAATTAAGTGTCCACCCAGGAAGCCAGAAACAAATTTTCAGGGAAAACAAGAATACATCGGTGCACCCATAATTTATTATTAGAAGAGGGGTTGTTGCAAGGGGTTTGACCTTATTTGTCACTAGAAGGGTCTGTTATTCCCCTTTTCTTTCTATAAATATTCTGCAAATCTTTGGAAGGAAAGGGAATAAGGAGACAAGAGCATTGATTAAAAAAAGTCCTTTTTGCTCTTCTGGTTAGATTATTGTTTTTAAAAAAACCCAGTAAATTAACTTTTGGGGGGGGACGGGGGGCCTGGTGAGGGGGTCATGAGCCCCATAGGACCCTCCCCCAATCTACCATTGTTTGTCTCTAACAATTCTAGCCTTTCTAGATTAACTCACAAAAGTGGATCAGTCTTGATCGAGTGCAGTGTATGTTTGACACACACTCGAGTCAAATTGCCTAGACGTCAGTATCCTACAAGTTGCAAGTCAAAGCTTGTTTTTTGGAGACCAGCCTTTGAAAGTTGGTCGCATTGCTGGACATGAATTGCTGCATGTAATGAAATGTTTACCCCAGTAGATTGACATTTGTCCTGGCATTCAACCCCATCTTGTTCCTACTTTCACATTTGTACTCAGGTGCTTAAATGTCACAAACCAGCTGCTAACCATTAAACTATGAACTGCTTCGTGCTGTTTTGGCCTGATGACAAATTGAATGTCGCAACTACTTTCTGTAGAACTGATGTTAACGGATGTTAACTGACAACTTAAGACATGAATGTTACTTATTTAAATACTGACCGTGTTTTCCCAATTGAACCAATTTTCTACAGGAAATGGCTAACGTGGATCGGTGGGGATTTGACGCTTTCAAGATTGATCATCTAACAAACCACAAACCGCTCACGGCAGTCACCTTCACGATTCTACAAGTAAGTTCCTTCATCTAGTGGCACCATATTAACTATGGGAATTGATTTTTATTGGAAGCTACTGTTGTCTATTCAATGTACAGATTCTGGCTTTATGTTAAAGTGTAGACCTCACCTCATGCACAATAATAATAATAATTACGGGAAATGGGTCATTTGGGAGACCACTTTTCTGCAGCAGCCGAGATAAGCCATCTTGTCTGTACCATCACAAAGTAAAAGTAAAGTCTGTCACGAGCCAATGTGGCCCATCAGGCCGGCGTTTATCTTCGGTTTAAGTAGCATGAAATGACTGAGAATATTTGTACTCCCACTGGATGGCATGCTAATCCGTCGCCGGTTACTCCCAGCTAACGGCACCCATTTTATACTCCTGGGTGCAGAGAGGCAAGTGGGTGTGAAGTGGCTTGCCCAAGGACACAACATATGACCAGCAGCTGGATTCAAACCCCTGACTCTCAGATCATGAGTCATGTCTTTCCAAGAACACAAGCTTTATGTTCCCTATCAGGGTTCGAACCCACATACCGTCTCACACACACACACAATATGAATTGAAAAATGTTTAATTCTCCTTTTTTTGCTCTGTGTTTTTCAGGAGAGAGGCTTATTAAAAACATTTCAGATTCCCCAGAAGACGTTAATAGCGTATGTCATGACGCTAGAGGGCAACTACAATAAGGATGTCAAGTATCATAACCAGATCCATGCTGCAGACGTTGTCCAGTCAACCAACTACCTTCTTTCAGCGCCAGCACTTGAGGTTGTTATATATATATTTTTTTATTGGAAAAAAAAGGGCCCAGGAAGTGAATTTTTCTTAGGAACTTATTTGTTCAACTTTCTACTCTTAAATGCATGCAAAATATTTGACATCCCTTTTTGGTTAGTTTGATTGAATTACGCCCTTCTTTAAACATTAAAAAAATGTCCAGGCTTTTCCGGACAACTGAGGGCGCTGTTGCTGTGATGTCATTTCCGGGAGACACTGTTTAGTTTATTGGTTTTCTGTTCAAATTGTGAACCCGAAAATCTGTTCATTAAAAATATCTGTGAGAAAAGTTTGTTCATTGGCTTACTGCCATGTGCTGACACAACAACGAATCACCAGAGAACAGAAAATTTACGACAGCAAAATATCCAAAATTCTAGCAACTTTTGGTGTTGAAATAATTGTAACATTGAGGTTTCTGCCTGGAATTACATCACACTTTTGCTCATGAAAATGGAAATTGGCATTGGCATAAAAAACAAAAAGGCCCCAAAATACGCTTGAAAAATGGCAAAACAAAAATTGAAAATGAAGTTAAATGGGACGCAAAGGTGCATTTTGAAGTACTACATAAAAAAAATTATATTACATGGGCCCTTTAAAATGCTCTGTGGGGTTCGTCAGCTCTTTCTACAACTGTGGTTTGATGTAATATTATCACATACCAAATTCTCTAAACATGTCCTGATTTAAGACTTGAAGTTGGGAGATGTCCGTGCCGAGCTGACTGTGAATGTCACTAATATTTTGTTTTATTTGTGTGTCTTTCTTTTCACTGTAGAATGTATTCACCGACATTGAAATCTTAGCAGCATTATTTGCAGCAGCAATACACGACGTGCGCCATCCGGGATTGAACAACCAATTCCTCATCGCATCAAGTAAGTTACTTTTGTCATTTATCAAATGTAAGCTTTGTCTGCTTCACGTGATAAAAAAAAGAATTTTGTGAGATTACAGTCACCTGATTCTGTGTTAAAGGGAAAATACAACATTTGCAAACATCAAAAAATAAAACTACCAAATCATTTTGAAATACCTTGCTGGACTGTTAGTGAATGACAGTGTAAAGCGTCCTGTAAAATCATGGCACCTGGTATACTGTCATTTTCAAGAAAAGTGGTATTTTTGTATCAATTTCCAACGCTGATCGGCCGATCAGCGTTGGAAACAACTGGCTTTTTTTTCAAATACTGGCCCCAATTGACCATCGCACTTGTTTGCAATCGATTACAAACCTATGAACGGGTACGAGCCAGCTAGACTGGTTCCCTGACCTTACAATTCCCCAATGTATGTAAACTGCTCTGTTTCTTTTTATATGGAGTCAGGGAACCAGACTACAGGAAAATGATCGTTTTTCTTGGTTTTTATAGCATTTTCGAACCCAAAACCTCAAAAAAGTCAGTGTAACTATATTTGCTATATATTTCCAATCCCCCAATTCCATCCATTTCTGAAAATTACAGCAAAAGCAAATGATGTATATTCCCTTTAATTTGTGGTTTATTTCACTCTTGGATAGGTTCGGAACTTGCAATCTTGTACAACGACGAGTCGGTCCTAGAGAACCACTCGGTGGCGGTGGCGTTCAAGTTACTGCAGCTGGAGAACTGCAGCTTGTTTGAGACGCTGACGAAAAAGCAGCTGCAGCAACTCCGAAGACTAGTCATAGACATGGTAAGTTGCTCCTTCCTCCTGCCCCTCCCCCTCCCCCTCCCCCCTGCAGTTTCTGCTTTGTCCAAAACTCAATTTTGGATCATGTTTTCCTAACACAACCAGTTCCTCCCTGACGAGCCCAGTCAAGCCACCGCGTTGGTAGACGACTGTATTAAGTAGATGAATCAAGTCCGTTCTTGGGAATCTCCACACCTATACCTGAAAAGATCTGAGCATACTGTACACGCGTGCATCAGCATGAATATAGAGAATTGTTAGGGATCACAATCTCGATCCAGTCTTGGATCCAGACTACTCAGAAAATGTGTTCATTGGAAGTTGCAATAAAGAACTTAGTGTTGGTACATCGCCAAACTGTGAGTGTCTGTCATTGCAAAACAAGAGACAAATTTAACAAGTTTTAAAATACCACGTATTTTTTCCATTATAGCTTATACACTGTGCAACACAACACAATGCTACCAAAATAGAATGAAGATATCTCCCTCTTTTTCATTACATAGGGCGTAAGTGTGCCATTTACAAAATCTGTCGCCAAGCACGGTTAAATTTAATGCATCTGATTGCCACCCACACATAATGGCAATTAATATGTTGCAAACAAGAAAGATTTAAATTCAAATAGTGGGGATGCAAATCTTGTGTAGATACATACAGCAATGTGGGCCTACACATCTACTTCTGCACCCATTCCAATACATTTTTTTTCTTTCTTCCTTCGTCCTCTTTATCTCTCTTTTTTTTTTCCATTTCCACTTTTTGCCAAACGATAAGACAATTTTGCTTCTAACGAGAGTGACAAATGAGATTGTCACACTTTTCCTCCAACAACTCGTCTTCTCATCTGACCCCGTGCCCTCCCTTGTCTGTGTGCTTGTCAGATTTCCTTGCGTGTCGTGTTCTGTCATGCTCACGTTTCACGGCATCTAATCAGGCTCGGCAGCATCGTGTTACATCTCCTCCGTCTTTTTTTCGTCTCATATTTGTCTTGTCTCCTGCTGTTCTCGGCTCACACTTTGTGCTCTTTTTTTCATTTTTTCTCTGGAAAATTATTTTATTGTAATCAGATATTGGGGGCGTTTTGTTGTGAAGTATAGCTCTTCCAGTAATATAATTAATAGTCTGGCAATCTCCAGATTTCACACATTTTAGATACCTATCTATGTGCAAAGTCTGAAACTTAAAGGGCCATGACATGAATTTTATTTGGGAACATCTTCTGTGAAAGTTTTGACTCCTCTTAAATGTATGAAAACTATTTGTCATCCCTTTTTTGGTTTATCTTATTGAAAAGTGCACAATTGTTAAACATTTTTTTTTTTTTAAATCCATGGTTGCCTGACCAATGAGGGTGCTGTTGCTGTGGTGTAATTTCAGGAAGACACTGTTCAGTTGGGGGGATGGGTTTCTGTTCAAATTGTGAACCCAAAATTTGCTCAAATGTTACAGATTTTTAATAGAACAGAAACAATTAGGGAAAGGTAGAACAGGACTAACAGATTGAGGTTTACCTGAAAACAGAAAAAATTGACCGTCCCTTCAAATGTTAACTTTACCCGATTGTACTGCAAAATGGCAATTTCCAAATTTATGGTCAGTTTGTTGTGACTGGTCACAGTTGTACAATGTTGGATTTTGAAGGATATAGGAAGATAGTCCAAACAATTGTCCCTGAAAATATTCATTTTTCTCCACCAGGTTTTAGCGACTGACATGTCCAAGCATATGAGCTTGCTGGCGGACTTGAAAACCATGGTAGAATCCAAGAAAGTGGCCGGGTCAGGAGTTTTATTACTCGACAACTACAACGACCGAATGATGGTACATTTCCTCTTTATTTTATCCTGATATCTTATTCACTTTTTATTTGATTAAATCTTCTTTTTTTCATTAGAGCATTTCCATGATATTAAAGAGTATGATGTGAAGCCTTTTGTTCCATGATTATTGTTCCATCTAAGAATTAGACAATGTTTTTGCGTGAGCATTGCAGGCATATAGGATCATTTGCATTTATCCCAAAAGTAACCTACCATATTATTAGCGAAAAGCTTACTTGGATTAAGTATCGTACTTGTACTAAACACCCCCATGAAACCATTCCATCTGGCTTGCTGTCATTTAGAAGAAATCAAGAAATATACGTGATTTCCAACAATCAGTCAATTGACTGATGGACGAAATCGTGTTTTGTGATCAAAAGGTTGTGCGTGGTTTTTCACTGTTTTCTCAAAAAGTGTAATATCCACTGAGCTGAAAATTTAACAGGTTAGGTTTTGAACATTCTTCTTTGAATGTTGAGTGGTGTTGTTATTAGAAACGAACAGAATGAATGAAAAGCAAATGACCCTATCCGCTCCGTTCACAAGTACCCCCTCACCGGCAAAGAAAGTACAGTTGGGGGTGACTGAACGACGCCATCTTGCCTGACTGCAATATTTTGCTGCGGAGCGCGGCCACTGCGTGTATAATACAAATCCCCTGGTGTACGTGCATCACACTCAAGGAACGGTGCACGCGCATCAACCAGCGAAATGTATGTGTCCCGCCCATGAAACGTCGTTGCTAGGTAAAAGGGCACCCTCTTTTGTTGGCGCACAGAGCCCATATACCTTTAAAGTTATGATAATTCCGCTTGCCTGATAGAGCAAACAGAAATTTACTCATGCACTCATCCATTTCAAATTCCATTCCACAGGTTTTAAAGAACTTGGTTCACTGTGCGGATCTGGGGAACCCCACCAAGCCGCTGGACATCTATCGCAAGTGGACGGAGCGAGTGATGGAGGAGTTCTTCCTGCAGGGTGACCTGGAGAGACAAAAAGGAATGGAGGTCAGCCCCATGATGGACAGATATAACGCCTCCGTCGAGAAGTCGCAGGTGAGTTTCAAGATATCAAGGAGAGTAGGGGGGGGGGGGACATTCAAACGCATTGCTTGGGTTTGTACACATATAGAATAAAAAAATAATGCGTAATTACAGGGTGAGTAAAAAAAAAACGAAACCCAAATGTCGGGAACATTTTTTCAGTGAAGTTCTGCATGTAGCATTTTCAAAATCTAGGATATGAAAGCCCAATTCATAAGCTTTCTTTTAGTACAAGAAGCATTCAAATCACTTATGTACTTTTCAAGTTACGGAATTTTAAACACAACCACCATTTTATGGTTCTGTCCACGGATCACAAAAAAAGTTTAGTGTTCTTTCGGCAAAATGAAACCAAATTGCATAGGGACGTGTGTGAATTGTTTTCGTTTTGATGAAAGAATGCACACCTTTTTTTGTGATCCGTGGACAGAACTTTAAAACGGTGGTTGTGTTTAAAACTCTGTAACTTGAAAAGTACATGAGTGATTTGAATTATTCTTAAACTAAAAGAAAGCTTATGAATTGGGCTTTTATATCCTAGATTTTGAAAGTGCTACATGCAGAACTTCACTAAAGCAATGGACCCGACATTTGGGTTTCGTTTTTTTACTCACCCTGTAGATTAGATTTTTTTTTAAATTGGACAGTTTTTCTAGTAATTCAAAAACTATTCCAATTTGAGTGAGCCATTTAACAAAAACTCTGCCCATGTGTTCAGTTACTGAAGCAACGGATTTATTCAGTTAACTTTGCTTGGCAAAGCTCAGCTACACAACAGTGCTCACTTTTACTTAAATCAACTGTGCTATGTTTAACTTTTCTGTACTGGTCTGCCCCCATATATTTTTCTCTGTACTCATGTTGTCAGAGTTCTGGATGATGTCCATGGCATCTGCCTTGGTCTGTTTTCACCTAAAACTGTTAATATTTTTGTCTGCAAGATAAGTTTGCGTTAGCACCATGTGAATAAATCTCTTTTGTGAGTATGTGTGGTTCTGAAAAGAACTGGAGGGACTCCACGTTTCAAACAGTATGCTCTGCCCGTCGTCAGGAGAATGAGGGATTCCAAGGATGATGCGATGTATAAGGATGGGTGCGGTGAGGCGTGAGAAGGATGCAAACTGGTGAAGCTCGAAACACAAATATGGCTCTAAAAAAAAGAGATTTATTCACAACTTATCTTGTCTTAATATCTTTCCCCCATGCAAACCTTCAAATCTCATTTTTGTCTGCATTGCATTCTGCATTGCCTCTCTGCAGAGCTCTACTAGTGGGGCAGTTAGGGAAATATTGGGGGGAATTGTGCCTTTGATGATACAAGCATGGCATTTGGCACACACGGTCAGAGTATGTCATGTGAAAGATATTTGGCTATAGGGCCATCGCAGATTTGTCCTTTGAAACACATAGGTAGAATAACAATCAATTTTCAAAATTTTCAAACTGGCTGCCATTGCTTGTTATTCTATCTATATTATTTTTAAAGGGTAAATCTCTGCTGGCCCTGTAACCAAATATCTTTCTCATGACATACTCTGACTGTGTGCCAAATGCCATGCTAGTATCATCAAAGGCACAATCCCATCACCTATCTGCCGACCTATGCTCTGCTTCTCTCTTCATATTTTTTCACATGATCCAAGCAGCTGTTTGTAGTACTCTGTTCGGCAGAGTCACGGTCTACATTTTCCTGTGCTCTCCTACCCTCTGCTCAGATAACTAGCCCCCGGGCCTGTTACCTCAAGGCTCTGTCCAACCTCTTCTTCCCTGTTGTCTTACACCCTTAACTTGGCTAATGTTGAACAATTCTTTATTGTCATCGGACAGGTTGGCTTCATCGACTTCATCGTTCACCCCTTGTGGGAGACGTGGGCCGACCTGGTCTACCCAGACGCCCAAGAGCTCCTGGACAACCTCGAGGAGAACCGAGACTGGTACAGCAGCCAGATCCGCAACAGCCCCACGCCGACGTCCGAGGAGGACACCATCAAAGAAACCGACGAAGACGAGAAGTTCCAATTCGAGATGTCGCCGGTGGAGCGGCCGGACGTCACCAAGAACAACCTCGACAACGCTCCTCCCCCAAAGAAGGATTCCTTCAAGAAAGTCACGGTGTCGGGCGACACGGGATCGAGATCCAACTCGAAGGAGTTCTCGCATCCGGAGGTGGTGGAGACAGACGCCTGCGAGTACAAGTTTGCAAAGTTGAAGGAGAAGTCGTCGAAAGAGACAGACTTATAATGGGGTACACAGCGTCCTCCCATTGACACTTTTCACCCGTTGTATATTATTAGTGCAGTTTATTTATATTTAAACGAGTGTGCAGAGAGAAGTCTTCACAACGTTATAGTTGCTTTTAAAATGAAAAAAAAGTGGATTTGAAAAGCTTTTGAAAACATTGCTGCCAATTTAACAGAAATCACCCTTATTTATATTAAACGCAGACATTATAGATTTTGTTTTCGTTTTGTCTAATGCACAGCCTGATTTTGTGCTTTCCTTCACCGTTTTGCACATTGATAAAAGTTGAACGATTTTAGAGATTTGCATGAATAATTGAGAAGTTAACGCGGCACTGCGGTTTCTGATCTGCTATCGCTGCAGTGAGCACTTTGAATATGCTGCATGTGTTGCTGATGATATTCCAGTTAGAAAAATAGGGTCAACCAGTGTCATCACTAGCTAAGATGCCCCCCACTTCTTGCTTCAGCTTGCCACACCTCTTATGGGCTACCCAGGACCACCATCACTTGGCTGTTCACCCAGCTATGCCAGTCACCTACGCTTCAGGATATGTTTTCAGGCCTGCTTGGCCGGATTTCATTGGACGAAATGAGCCTGAAATGATACCGTAGAATTGCAGTACGGACAAAATACACCTTGGAATCATGTGACCTGCAAAATACACCTTGGAATCATGTGACCTGCAAAATAGGCCTACCGTACACCTTGGAATCATGTGACCTGCAGAATGCACCTTGGAATCATGCGACTCGCAAGCTACACCTTGGAATCATGTGACCTGCAGACTCTACCCTAGGATCATTTGAAATTGATCTTAGGATCATGTGACCTGCATAATATGCCTTGGAATCATGTGACCTGCAAAAACACCCTGGAATCATGTGTCCTGCAATATGGAGTGCCGAAAGTGAATACGTCACGTGCACAAAACGTGTGTAAAAGACATTAGCGCGTGATTCAGCCTGAGAACCAACATGTGCGCGTACTCCATTCGTTTGCACTACACTTTCTGGTTCTAAATGACGTCAAACTTCGGTACTCCGTTCACCTTGGAATCATGTGACCTACGAAATTCACCTTGGGATCATATGACCTACAAAATAAGCCGCCAGTTCAGTATTTCGAGTAAACCGCTCTTGAGACATTCTTGACGATATTAATGTTCATCAGAAGAATGCAACTTTATGTACAGCCAAAATTAGCACACATGAATTTGCTGCAGTAGGACCACCGCCCTCGTTAGTTTCATTCCTGCCAGTTCAGGGGGCAAACGTCACTGCACTGACCGTAGGTTTTCGTGTGATATGTTCTACAAAGCAATAGATAATTCTCGCCCACAGGATAGGAGTAACACTATGGATGCATCAGTGGTTCTGTGTTTAATTATGTAGAAACACATGTTTTTTAAACGCCATGGCCAGTTATGATGGTTCACTAGCTAGCTTTTAAAGATTTATTGGATCGCAGCCAAACAGATTCTCTAAATTGTTACTGATGTTCACCAGTGTCAAAAAATCATACATCTTTTTAGCAATGGACACTAAAGGATAACTTAGCATACTTTACTGGTTAGTGAGGAATTTTGGCTTATGTACATGCATACAACCCGTAACTAAGGATTCTGTGCTTACAGGGTTAGCACAGAATTTTTCTGCTAGCGCTGTTAGCACAGAATGGTGATCGTAAGCGCGGAATTCTGTGGTTAGCAGCCATGAAATGGCCCTGTTTCGTCCAAGTAGAAGAATTGGGCCCGGGATACCAGTACAGAATTTCACTGAAAATGAGCCGAAATTTATGTGTAACATTTGAACTCTTTTGCATGGACCTTTGAAGTATTTGAACAGCATTCTAATTATTGTTTTTGTGTACAGTGACGCTGCCAATTTTCTTTTTCCTTATTTAGTACCCCAAAAAGAACGTTTGGAGTATTAGTATTTATGAAAAGACAGCATTAATTTATTCAAGTGTTTACATCACCACGGAACAGATTGTGACGATATCTCTGAACTTTCAGATTTAGTTTCAGATATTTTCACTTGAACAAAGAAATTGACTGGAGCGGGGTTTGAACCTGCAGACCTTCGGATTGCCATCCCGGTGCTCTACCAACTGAGCTATCGAGCCCTATGTTGGCAGTTCCCCATTTTGTCAATGCCTTTGTTCAAGGGACATGTAGTTCTTGATAACATTTCAAAGTTTGTATTCAGAAACGGCAAAATTAGATTAATTTGGTTTGAGGCAGGAGCAAGATGAAACGCAGGTTCTCAGTATTGTCGACTTATTCTCACCGATTGATCCTGCTGAAGACGAAATGGCTGGTGCATATGTGATGCGCTCAAGCTTAAGGAGTTGTTTGTCGGGAATTTTCATTTGGAGATACAGGCCAAAATAGGGCCACTTCATCACATCACTTCATCACATCTCTTGGTGTTCCGACTTCCATAATTTTTGAAATAAAGATGGTATCAGCATACGGTTTTCACAGCAGTAATGCTGAGATTGTTCTCTTATCAAATCTGTAAAATTGACCAGGGGCGACAAACGACTCATTTAGCTTGATGGCATCACATATATTGGTTGCCCTTGTATCATTGGACTTTAGAGGTTTGAAAATACTGGAAATAAATTGAAGAGGGATAAGCTCCAGTTTGACAATAGACATTTTTTTAAAAAATTTTTAGAATTTTTTTTGGGGCTTAAAACTTGTTAAAAAGAATTCCGCATTCTGCATGTTACCTTAAAATTGATTTTAAGAATGTTAAAACAAATTTGGCACAGCTGCAATAACTTGACGTTCTTGAAATGATATAACTTTTGTTGCATCTCTTTAAATTAATACTAAAATGATTTTCTTATCTTTGGTAAAATGGGTTTTGGCACTGGTTTGCATGTTCCATTTTCTCCATGTATTCAACTTGCAAAAAAACTGCAACTTTTTTGTTGGTCGACTTTAAATTTGGAGTTCCTTTGACAACTTAATTATTTACCGAGATGTGTGCGCTTGGACAGTTAGTAAATAACAAGATTTCGAAGTATTTATGCAAGTTGTATGGCCAACGTAAGTGAGGAATGTACATTTACATGACAGGAATGTGGTTCATGTTAAGATACGACGATAGAACCAAGGATAGGGGAAAGTATTCCTTGAAATAATATTATATAAATAATGTAAAACACTATGTACATATTGGCTGTACACTGTACAGAGCGCGTGTGTGAGTGTGTTTTAGGTACTTCACTATTGTACATGTACAATGTAGATATAAACCCGAAGACGCACTTGTCAAAAATTGTATATAATTAGATTTTTTCAGTTTTTCTCTGAAAGCAAAATACCACATTATATATTGTACCTCATAACATTATTTGATAATTATTTTGCATTAATATTTAAGATTTTTTTCTGTTCCTTGAATAATTGAAGGACTATATATAGAAATAGTGTGAATAATTTGAAGACGGAGCTTTCACATATTAAATATTGGAGTAATTAAGTAATGTTCTGTGGCATGTTTTTACCAGGTAGCAAAATTAGCTGGTGAGTTTCAGACATGTCCTTTAAAACAAAAAGACACTGCAGGACCTTCTCAAAATGAGGGACTGAATATTCAAAAAAATTACTACAGTTGTTAATTTTATGCAGCCAATCATGCAACAGAAGTGTGTGTCACGTAGTCTGTCAGAGGTCAATGCGTGGTGGCCATAATGGTACGAAGGATGTCATTGGTCGGCAGAAATCTAGACAAACCGTGCATGCGATCCTCTATGCATATTATGCTGTTGTTTTATAACATTTGGATTTTAGAACAATGTATTCCAAGAGTCTTGTGGCAGATTTAACAAAAAAGCACCGTTGATATTGATAGGAGTGGTAAACACCTCAAACTAATGGGGAAAAAAGGACACCTTAGTGTATTTTGTCAAACAATAATTTTTAGAATTTAAAAGATGTTTTGCAATATTTCTGCTATTTTTACCTTGTTTTGAGACGGTCTCAGCTGGTAGCATGTTACACTTAGCCCCAAAGAAAATTCACACTGATTTAGAATAAGATTTAAATCATTTTAAAAAAATCAACTTTTTAATCTTCACAGCCGAGAGGCAAAGACAGTGTAAATTGGGTTTGCAAGCATGGTGCACTATTGGCCAAAAATATTAGGTTTCACATTAGAAATTATTTATATTTTAAATCCCTATTTAAAAAAAAGTGGCAAATGAAATCGTATAAAACCACCAAACTGTGGGGAAGTTGCTCGGAAATATGATGCCAGTTCAGTGAAAATAAAAACTCGGCTAAAACACTAAAAGTCTTTCAAATGGGATGTGCCAAATTGCCACATTCAAATTCTGCACTCAAGTTTTGTGCTCAGTAAGTTTGTAAAAAAAAGAAACTTAGTCTATAAACAAAAACACATTTTCCAAATTCATTTGCCGACTCGAGGGATGTTAAATTTAAAGGATAGTGGCAAAATCAAATTTGAAAGAATTTTCCTTTCATTGTTTTATCACAAGTAGACATTGTTCTCAAATTGAGGGCAGTTTTCTTTATTCTCAATTTCATAACTGCTGCAATGTACTACTTTGCAGTGTTTGAAAATGAAAGGGAATTGTCCCATAGCCAACCCTGCACACGTTCTCAAGGCCCAAAGTAGGGATACCGATATGTCCTCCACCCACCCCAAGCCCTACCCCATACACCCCACCCCAGGCCCATCCTACCCCAACCCACCTCCACCCTACTCCCCCACCCTCCCCCTCCCCCACCCTCCCCCTCCCCCCTACCTCCCCCACCCCCCAAAAATAGGTTTCTAAATTCTGGTTTAATTTTGCCAATAGTGTACCGGTGCCCTAAACTTGTCTGTTTTTGTCATTCTTGATAATTAATACAATGCACGGAAATTTAAAAAGACACTCGAAAAATAAAATGATTCTATTTGTCAGAGTTGACTAAACCGTTACCACGTGTTCCTTCTTCTTTTCTTGTCTGGCTGTTTGTATTGAGATGTATTAAAGCGTGATGATGATGATATGAAGTTATGTAGGCCTATGAAGATGGGTCTGAAAACTCTCTGAGCGCTTTAATCTGTGAGTCGGGTGGGAGACAGGTTTGCGTAGCGGTACTTTCCTCGCCTTCCACTGCTGTGAGTCGGGTTCGATTCCTGCCTGGGCCAAAATGTGGATTGGGTTTTCAGTCCCTACCTGATTCCGTGGGTTTTCCCTAGAATATTCTTCTGGCATTTTCCTCCCACCTCTAAAACTGTAATTTCTTCTTAGTGTCTTGTCTACAGGTTTCTTCAAGCTTACTAGCTTACAGTGCCTATAGGCTGCTTTTGAGGATTCCTTGGTTTCAGTACCAGAAATATACTATTAATAAAATAATAATAAATAATTTTGGATGCGTAGTATGAGGAAATTGAGATTATAAGTGAGTTTTTTTTACTGCATTCAGAAACAACTAATCCCCCTCCCCAACCACTGCACTTTCTGGGCTCTTTTTAGCAAACTGGATTGCCTATGTGACACTGCAAAATTAGGTGAAGATACACTGTAGGAGAGTATGTTTTTGGTTGAAGTTTTTGTGACCTTGACCTATGAATACCAAATCATTTTTTTGCCAAGTCTTTTCATGCATCTGATCCACAAAACGGCCCGGATTTAGCCTATTCATGGGTGCTACGGGGTATTCCTATACAATTGTACTGCCGGGCTCTCTTCACCACTCTACAACCAGTCCAAAAAGTAAAGTAAGTCAAGTCTGTCACAAGCCAATATGGCCCATCAGGCCGGCATTTATCTCCGGTTTCAGTAGCATGAAACACCTGAGAATATTTTGTATTCCCCCTGGATGGGATGCTAGTCCATCGCAGGCAACTCCCAAGCTAATGCCGGTACCCATTTATACTCCTGGGTGGAGAGAGGCAGGGGGGGGGGGTGAAGTGGCTTGCCCAAGGACACAACATATGGCCAACAGCTGGATTCGAACCCCTGACCCTCTGATCATGAGTCACTAACCCTAATCACTACGCCACACTCTCGCCACAACCAGTCTAAGCATGAGTGAAAGTTAGTTGGTCAGTGAAAATGGTTACAAAGGCCTCTGGGCCCAGTTAAAAAAAAAAAAAAAGTAAAGTCTTAAACTAGAGTTTCATTAGCAATGAGTATACTCATTCAAGAAGTGATTTTCAGTTTCTCTGGACGGTTTCGTTTATTTGTTCATATTACACCTCATATTCATATTACATGTAATCAATCTTTCGGTAAAGTACCTTCACAACTTTCAAACAACAATTGCAGAACAGTTACAAAGAAACTTCAGAAGTGAACAAAACTAGATCACATTTCAAAATGCACCTGGTATATGACAGGTGATAAAAAGACATTAAAAAAACATCATTACTTATTTTTCAAGAAAATACTGAATACAGCCTCGTGTCTGTGGAATCTATTCCGAGATTTGACAAATAAAGCGTTTATTCCCAAAACGCGATATCCATTGATAAAAAGTGGAGAGTTTTGCATGGTTATGACACTTTAAAGAATAAAAACAGTATAACAACTGTTTGAATTGTGTTTAACAATATCACAGCCATCAAATAGAATTCAAATTGCTAGTGCCCATGTACACGGAAAAAATATTGATTGAGTATTAACTAAATGTTGCCTGGAATACATTGCAGTGATGCTAAATAATTTCCATGTACACTGAAAAATATTGACTGAATAAACTAAATGTTGCCTGGAATACATTGCAGCGATGCTAAATAATTTCCATGTACACTGAAAAATATCGACTGAATAAACTAAATGTTGCCTGGAATACATTGCAGTGATGCTAAATAGTTTCCATGTACACTGAAAAATATTGGCTGAATAAACTAAATCTTGCCTGGAATACATTGCAGTGATGCTAAATAATTTCCATGTACACTGAAAAATATTGACTGAATAAACTAAATGTTGCCTGGAATACATTGCAGTGATGCTAAATAATTTCCATGTACACTGAAAAATATTGACTGAATCAACTAAATGTTGCCTGGAATACATTGCAGTGATGCTAAATAATTTCTATGTACACTGAAAAATATTGACTGAATAAACTAAATGTTGCCTAGAATACATTGAAAAATATTGACTGAATAAACTAAATGTTGAATGGAATACATTGCAGTGATACTAAATAATTTCCATGTACACTGAAAAATATTGACTGAATCAACTAAATGTTGCCTGGAATACATTGCAGTGATGCTAAATAATTTCTATGTACACTGAAAAATATTGACTGAATAAACTAAATGTTGCCTAGAATACACTGAAAAATATTGACTGAATAAACTAAATGTTGCCTAGAATACATTGAAAAATATTGACTGAATAAACTAAATGTTGCCTGGAATACATTGCAGTGTTGCTAAATAATTTCCATGTGCACTGAAAACTATTGACTGAATAAACTAAATGTTGCCTGGAATACATTGCAGTGATGCTAAATAGTTGGCAAGATTTTGAATATAGGTTTTAAGTAACTGTACTGATAAACTATACTTTGTACAAATAAAATACAAACGATATCTGTGTAATACTGCAGAACAAAAAAATAATATTGCAAATTACATTGCTTTTTAATATCTGTTTAGGCTCTACAACATTAACTCATAAAAAAATTAAATGCAAATTGCTCTCCTTTTTCTTGAGTAATATGCATAAATTGCAAAACGTTGCGTTTCGCTTAACTAAAAGTGGCTCATTACAGAACATCTTTGAGTTGTAATTTACTGCAACTAGCATGTGAAATTTATACACTGGATTTTCACGTATTGCAGCACTTAGGCCTAAAATGTACTGTGTATAACACTTGGAACGCCTTACATACAGAACTTGAATTCAAGCAATTCACAATGCAGTGCGCCATCTTGCTATGGAGAGTCCATTTTTCAAGTTTACGGTTGACAAAGCACGACCCATTTTGATGAGTGTCAGTAGACAACTTGAGCTACTTTGTTATAGATTGGGTCATAGCGTTCTGCCGCCTTACGAAAAACACCATATTGATCGAAAGAACAGAAAAGGTCAAACATATACTGGAATCATACGCTCACGAAACTATGTCGAAAACCTAACAATTTCAAATGTCCCGCGCTGCGAACGAATTTGTCGACCATCTCCCACAATGCACTGGGAAAAATGAACTCTTCGTGGCAAACTCTTGGTGGCGTACTACTTTGTGAATCGCCGAAATTGCCGGGCATTAAAAATGGCAAGCAGGTTTTACAAATGATATATATAAGATTAACATTTTAACTTTGCGTATACAATAACAGTTGGATAGAATACAATAGTAAGAAAATTTAACAACCTAACCGCAAAGAATTTGCAAAACTACCGTCAAGTACGAGTACTTCCAAAGAGTAAAACTTAAGGTACAAACAGTACCAACAAAAAACAAACAAACAAACAAACAAACATGTTTCAAACAACAAAAGGCATTTTTGTTGGATTCAAATTCCAAGTGTTCAGCCATTTCGGAACCCATAATGCATTGCACATAGTCAGCTTATGTCCATTTTGAGCATTTCAGATAATTCTAACTTATTTGTGAATAAAGCTTAACACCTAAAACTTTAAAAAATCATGGCATATTTGCCATTTAGTATTTCATGTCTGAAAATATAGTTAAGATCACTTTGTATGGGGTGTGGGAAGTTTAAAAGGCACTTTGGAAGTTGATAAACTCTGTGGCTTAATAGAGGTGTTAGTGTTTTTCATAAACATCATTTTTTTACATTTAAAAAAAAACACATCACATCATCAACCTAGTCAAAGTATGATTTTTTTTACAATTTCACACCCACCAGGTGTATCATGCGTGTATGACACCACCCAAAACTATTGCAACAAAACCACATGTATCGTATTGCCCATATTTCCTGTGAATATTTTGCCCAACAATGAATGATAGGTCTCATGAAAAAAACAGATTTTGCCTCAAAAATCTTTAAGAGCACCTTTGCAGTAGTTTCTTTTCATTACCTGAGTTGAAGACACTCTGTTGTTATAACAAGAGTAATGTTCAATGAAACACGCTCACTAAGAAAATGACTCCACTTTCTAGTGCATACAGACAACACATTTCCACTACATACCTAGCCTTAAGTCAAGTCCCACGCGCTTACCTGGACACGTGACGCACCCTGGATGCTGACACGTAAAAAGACTAGCACGAGCGGCGAAGCCGCGAGGGCCTTTACCATCTCGTGGAGAACGCTTGTGGTTTTCTTTACATTTGTCTACCGATTTGGTAGACATGCATAATGCATTACCCGTTGTGAATTGACCTATGAAAATGCAAAATTACTAACGTAAATCAGCCGTCGTCTGGCGCCAGACGGCACGCGCACCATGGCGCGCGTGCTGTTGCTGGTAACCGCAAACCACCGTTAGATGATTGGTTTATATTGCTTGATTTATATTACGTGAATAAATGAATAAGTGATTAGTTCCGCGAGATTTTTCGTGCTAGTCTTTTTACGTGCCAGCATCCGGGGTGCGTTACGTATCCGGATGGTCCGGGTATAGGCGGGTGGGACTTGACTAAAGGCTACTACATACCACAAACTGTTACAATTTGGTCCCATTCTGAATACTGCACTTCTGCTGAACCTTGTTGCACAGCCTCATCGAGAAGTCTATTCGTAGTAGATTGCGTAGACCGTGGCCGTGGCATAGATGTGTTGATTCTCGTAGGAAGCGCAGGCAAAGTTGTCCCTGTCAGCGTCCCACAGACAGCGGCTGCCCAGCCTGACGTCCTGGTCTCGCTTCTCGCCAATGTTGACGATACAGACAAGCTAAATGTAGATAAAAATAACAAAAAGATGGATGCAACTTAAAACCCTTCCCAACTTTTAAAGCTACAGTCCATCATTTGCAGCTATCCAAAAAAGTAACTGACGTAATTATTTGTTGAAAAACATACTTGGTTGAAAGATAGTAAGGGGACTAAACTCCCTGCGAAATCATTCTTTCTGGCATGCTGTCATTTTGAAGAAATCAAGGAAAGAAAGCCTTTCCAACGGTGCGTCTAAGACGCAACGTTGGAAATTTTCGTCAGTAGTTCGGTTTTTTTTATTGCTCCTTGAAACAGCTTCATAAATCACATTTAAAAGCCCTTTTCACACTAGAGCTTCTCAACCCGGGTTGAGTTCAACCCGGGTTGAGTTCAACCCGGGTTGAACTCAACCCGGGTTGAACTCAACCCGGGTTGAACTCAACCCGGGTTGAACTCAACCCTGGGTGAACCAAGTGCTGTCCCGGGTTGATTTTTTTATATTTTTCAACCTCGCGCTCAACCCCACATCATTTTACACTTGTTAATTGCAAACCAAGCTTATTTCACTTGTCTTCCAGGGGTTGACCACGAAAACACAAATTCGGGTCCACATAAAAATGTTTTTGCATTTTCTTGTCATTTGGACCTTATAATATTCCGACGGGTGCCATCTTGGCATCCTTGCACATTTTTGTAAAAAAAATAATAATTAATATGCAAAGTAGCTTCCACGTGGTACGGTAAAATATAGGTTTTCTATATATTTCTGCAGGATTTTGTCCAAATGTATCAATCACAGTGCCTAGGCCATGTTTGGGGGGCAACAAATTCATTAAAGCTATTTTGCAATGACTAATTTATGTATTTCACGCATAATATGCAAATTAGCATCCGCCATTATCTTAAATTTAACTTCAATCTACATCTCCGCATGAATTTGTCCCATCGTATCCCAAACAAGGTATGTAAACACATGTTCTTATGGTGAACAAAAATCTCAACCCTAGCCGGGAGCAGGGTTGAGTTCAACCTTAGGGTTGACCCAGGGTTGGCTATGTTTTCAACCCTGCATCAACCCCGAGATTTGTGTAGTGTGAAAAGGGCAAAAGGCCTTATAACGGGTGTTGAAGGCTACATCCACACTGGCATTTTTGCCGTTGGCTGTGGATGTTCGCAGTTACACGCCAATGTCAAAACGAAAGCTGTAGCCCGATACCTTGAATCGTTGGTAGTCTAGCGCCTTGACTCTCAGCTTGACCTCCTGTGCAATGCTCTTGCACTGTGTGCTGCATGAGATGGGCTCGTAGGTCATGTTAGCCAGTTCCTTCTCCAACGTCTCGCACAGTATCTGCTTGACCCGCTCGGGAACAAACCTGAAGTTGAAAAAAGTTCACACATCATGACCAAAATAACTGGTGTATTGTAGTGTCATGTCAATGTTTGAATTTTTTGTCTGAGCCCAAAGAACACTGAACAAATCGTATTTACTGAACAAATTGTATTTTGAAGAAAAAAAAATACTTGTCAGATTAAATGGAGTGTCCTGCCTTATGTGCAGTGGTATGTGAGTTTGAATCCTCAAGGATCATTGTTCTGTGTCCTTGGGCAAGACACTTTACTACAATTGCCTCTCACCACCCACGAGTATAAATGGGTACCCGTGAGGACAAAGAACAGGTCGGGCTCCAAGTTGTATGTGTGTTTGAATCCTCAACAGGGGATCATGGTGTTGGTGTCCTTGGGCAAGACACTTGACTACAATTGCCTCTCACTAGCCAGGAGTACAAATGGGTACCTGTAACTAATGAGGACAAATAACAGGTCAGGCTGCAAGTTGTACACATAAGTGGGTTTGAATCCTCAACGCGGATCATAGTGTTAGTGTCCTTGGGCAAGACACTTTACTACCATTGCCTCTTGCCTCCAAGGAGTATAAATGGGTACCTGTGAGGACACAGAACAGGTCAAGCTGCCCCCCCCCCCCAAAAAAAAACTGATCCCATAGTCTGATGAACAGGGGTCAAAATTGTGCAGCCTTGTACACTGGTAGAACACCACATATTTGTCAATGTTTCCTCATTTTGTGACTGAAAACAAAACATGCCCCAATTCTTTTGAAAACTGCATCACTTGATTTCCTTCATTTGCCAACAGAATTAAGAAAGGGCTCTGTGGATCAGAAAGTCATCACAAGTCTTCTCAAGTAAAATTATACATTATGTATAAGTCTTCCAGTCACAAGTCACGCCACAAGCTTTTCAATTTTTTGTTGCTCATCCCCCGTTACTCAAGATCGAGACCAGCCTTGTGAATCGACTTGTGCCAACTCAATTACAACTCTGCTGCAGTCCTCACCGTTTGGGCGGCTCCATTCGGTAACTGTTCTCGTACTCCTCCTTGTGTTTTGGTGCAAACTCGTCGTCATCCTCGTGCACCGGGGCCACGGCGAGGGACACACAGCTCTTGGAGCCCGTGTTGTGAGGTCGCGGGACCATGCTGAAGAGACTCGAGCGACCTAGGCCGGCCTGCGTTCCCATGGCTAGCTTGGCAGCCATCTGAACCGCAACGCTGTCAGGATTGGCTGTCATGGCTGTACAGGACAAGACAAAGGCAAGCCCAGTAAGGCAGGCTCCAGGGCAAACAATGTCCCATTCAATAAGCCATTTGCGAGTTAAATTTTGAATAAAATCTGGAACGCTGACTTAATCCAATGCCTCTCCCGACCAAAGAGACTGTTACTATATCACACGATTCGGGCAATCCTTAATTACTGTTTGAAACATTTAGTCTCACATGTTGGTCTACCCTGGTTGGAAACTTACCACTTTTGGTAACGCTGGATAATAATATGGTTAAACAATAAACAAGGTTTAGTTGTCTGGTAATTTAACTCTTGTCAGCTGGTTAAAAACTTATTTTCCAGGTTTTAACAGTTTAAACAAGCTGAGGAAATAACTCCGGTTTGATTATCAGTACTTTTTTGTACAAAGTAATGTAGATATTGTAACCAATTTAGGGTGAAACTTACCAGATTTGATATGTTATTTTACTGAACACTTTATTCCAGTCACCACTAAACCGGGATTAAAATTTGATCACGTTTCTCTGTCCTTTCTGAAAACTAGTCAATTTTTCCTACACTAGTGAAAATTTGCTCGGTTTAACTAGTTAAAATTTAAATGTGGGTAGTGTACACTCACTTGAACTCTAATTTTTCTCACATATTCCTAAAAAAAACTGTCCTACATGTACTTACATTTTACACATCTCCATTAAAAATGTATTTTCAGGTGAACAGTCCAAGCAGCTTTAATCAGTGAAAACTTTACAAAATGATTCCTCCTTAACTATAGATCTTTCTGCCAACAACTCCCACAAGATATTACGATAAATGAGAGACCCTAGACAAAGAGATCACAACTCATCAATTGTCAACTCTCAGGCCATTAAAATAAAAAACAATGTTCCTAGTCAGCTTCAAGGACTCACAAGTGCTCGATGATAAATGAACATAGATTGTCACATGTAAATTTATCTATAAAATTCCAAAGATTTGTGTTCATTCTAGAATAACGTCTTCCACATTTTGTTCCGTTACAATCTCATCCATGCACAAAACTGCTAAAATTAAAAAAAAGTCAGCTCTGAATGAAAACATCATTAAAAACAGATGATAAACTAAAAAAAATTATTCAATGGCCCTGGAAGACAATGTATACAATGGCGATCCATGGTGACAAATTCTTGTTTGAGACTGAGAGACGGTGTGATTTAATTAAAATTTAATTAAAAAAAGGTCTGCCGATGGGAGTAAAATAAACACTATCACAGCCCACGCCTACAATCCATTCATTATGTATACACTCTCACTCCAAATCTGTTCAATCAAAGAAGTTAATTCCCTTTTAATTAAAATGCACAACGTTGTCATTTCCTGCTAGGTAGCCAATTAATTCCACTGCCAAAAAAAAAAATTCATTCTGCGAGACGCTGTGAAGTCTGCTTTAAACTGCAGACATATGCTAGGCCAAATTGTTAGCATTAATTGACAGAGCAGCATAAGTTAAACAACAGGTTTAAATGTTGAGCATTATTAATATTATTATTAAGGGCCATCGGCGGATCCGGGAAACCCCCCCCCCCCCCCCCACACACACAAAATACATATTGTTCCCCTTTTATTGGATTTTTTTTTTGCTTCAAATGTCGGCTGATGACTGCAAATGGTGCCTGACTAAAACTTAGTGCAAATATATGGGAGTCCAGAGAGGCCACATAAAGCTTATTCTCGATCATAACCCCATATTAAAACACATTAAAATTGTGCAGCAGCAGGATTCCAGTCAAACCAGTGAGTTTGGCGGTTTTGAGACATCATATCTTTCATTGAAAAAAAAACTTTTTTATTTTTATTTTTGCCGACGCGCATGGCCATGGCCATGGCTACGGCGACGCGCGCGCATACCAGAAACCGGAGACTTTTTTTTTTCGAAATGGCTATCGTTACGGCAGTCGTTGTTTAGCGCCCTCTACGATACTTTTTTGATACGCACGCAGGTATATAATTATTTGTTTCCACATGTTTTAGCGAGCAGTGCGACAGCTCAGTCGATAGAGGGTAAGATTTTGCACCGCGAGGTTGCGGGTTCGAATCTCAGTTTTGCACTTGAATTTTTTTCCTTTTCTAACCTGAGGCTTTGGAGGATTTTTTTTAAAAGGGAAATACAGTCCGAATTTCATAACGTTCAAATTCACTTTTTTCCTTCTAATTTTATATTTTCTTGTCATGTTTTTATAAAAGTTGCAGTCTACCGTAACGATAGAAAATGGGAAATGCGTTACGGCTGCCGTAACAATAGCCACTGCGGTTTTTTGGGGCCTAATTTAATGTTGTGTCATTCCCTAAACTTCCTAAAGAAAGTTTTCCTTTACAATTTTTTGAAAAATGTCACACCAGATCATTGTTTTTAGTGTCAGTGCATTGTTCCATTGTATTTGTAATGGGAAAATATGATCATTCATAATGCACAGCATGCACGCAGCGCATTATTTAATTGTGTCAAACTGTCATAACGTTCCGCACTTTTTGTGCATGGTTTCCGGTTCAATGATCAAGTTGAATGCGAAAGTTTGAGTTTCATTGTGTGAGGACAATCACTGCAACTTCCGCTTGTTCCATTATAAATACCCAAATATGAGCGCAGGCAGACACCGTTTAAAGGCGTCCTTTTTTCCTTACCCTTCAAATGTACCGCTTCGTCAAGTTCAAGGGCAAGAAATCAAGGCGACAAAAGAATTTACAAATTTCATCGGACATGCGGCAAAACATCCATTTTTGTTTTTGTTCGTGACTTTTGCATTACACTTTTGGACCACGAGAGGGCGCTAAATTAGTTTAGCGTTCGCGTCACACTGCCGCGGAGATCAATCGGGAAAAATAGTACTCAAATTAACTTTTACAGTTTTTTTAAGACAACCTACCTTTTTTCATTTCCTGTTAAACTTTTATTTGGTTAACTTATGATTTTTTTAAAGTAAATTTTCTCTCCAACGATGATTGATGACCCCTAAATTTAATTATAATCTAGCGATGAAACCAAAGCAGCAATTGAGCCGTGTTTTCTAAACTCTCAAGTTCAGTTCATTATTTTTCAATAGCGCCCTCAATCACTCACGTGTTCAATTTAAAGCCCATTCCCGCGACTTTTGTTGTGTCTTGTAGTTTTTGTTGCACAACTTGTAGCGTTGTGTTAATGCTTTTGTAGGATGAATACTCGGAAGAAGTTGACATTTAACGGCGGTAAATCTTATGGGTGGATTGGACCACAGTTGAAAGAAAAGTCGCGGCGTGGCAAGACGTATTATGGGTGAGTTGACTTATTTTTTTTATTGAATGTTGGGCCCGTCATTCCACATGTGTTCCATTAGTCAAAACTACTCGGTACTAGCTCTACTGAGTGGAGCGTTGAATTACGGGTACCCCTCCATACAAACGCTCCACCGATTTGCCATACTTTGGTAGCACCATACACGGTCGTCATGACAGTATGCATTTTGTGCATGCCCTCGCGAGGACAAGGCCCAAAAAAACTGATAAAGAAAATACAAATGAGGAAGACAGTAACCCTGGATAGATCCACACATTCATGACATTCCATATGACCCCTCAAATTGTTTCAAACAACCGGTAATTTTGAAAAAAGAACAAAATAGTCTGAACTTACCGCTCACAATTAAATGTGTCTGCCGAGTTGCTCAGTCTATTTCACTGACATGACTGATGCATAATTCATTGCGCGCGTGTGTGATGTCACTATTGAAGAAAAACAAGTTGCGCTTACTCAATAGCTGTTTTATGTAGTCATATGTGCCCCGCGCCGTCTGACTGTGGGTTTTTGGTGCGGGGCACATATCAGTACATGAAACAGTCATTGATTAAGCGCGACTTGTTTTTCTTCAATAGTGACATCACACACGCGCGCAATGAATTATGCATCAGTCATATCAGTGAAATAGACTGTGCAACTCGGCAGACACATTTAATTGTGAGCGGTAAGTTCAGACTATTTTGTTCTTTTTTCAAAATTACCGGTTGTTTGAAACAATTTGAGGGGTCATATGGAATGTCATGAATGTGTGAATCTATCCAGGGTTACTGTCTTCCTCATTTGTATTTTCTTTATCAGTTTTTTTGGGGCCTTGTCCTCGCGAGGGCATGCACAAAATGCATACCGTCATGACGACCGTGTATGGTGCTACCAAAGTATGGCAAATCGGTGGAGCGTTTGTATGGAGGGGTACCCGTAATTCAACGCTCCACTCAGTAGAGCTAACTCGGTACTATTTCTGCGCACTCGCATTGAATTTGTGTATGACAGCGCGCGCTCGTTTCAAGCGTTACCTGCGCAGATTATGGAGGGTCGAGGAATGTACGTAGCCGTAGGCCTACCCACTGGTTCACACTGACTGGAGTCTGAAAAACGTGTGGGGTTTGAATATAAAATCTTAAGGAAAGAATGTTGCAACCTGACGCTGCTTTTTTTCTTCATACATCATCTCAATGAAGGTCAGTCATTGCAAAAATGACGATAAGACATTGAATGTGGGACTAAGAAATATTTCCAATTTTGTTAAGAAATACTAAGAAAAATTTCTTGATTCTCCATAGACTTTGTACAGTCACAGCCGCTGAAGTATTGCCTCAGGTTGCAACATTCTTTCCAATCTTAGCCCTACCTACTCCTAGAACTATGATGCTCCGCGTGAGCGGAGCATCATAGTTCTAGGAGTAAGCCCTACCCTGTACATCATACATGCATGACACGTAATGTATGTACATGTAAGGACCCCGTACACGTTCCATATAGCCCCATAAAAATATTAAAATGATAAATGTGGCCAATTTACTGGACTAGCCTACCTCCGTAAATATGGGCCATACTTGGAACATGTAGGCTTCCCCGATAATGTAGAACTATGTCAAGTTTTGACAAGCACACTTTTCCTAGGGGTTATATTTTTGGAAAGTTTTCTGTACACGTACGTCACTTTTTATCAATTAGGCCTAATTTTCAATCTAAAAACTTACTTTCTATGGCTGGAAAGAATTCCATATATGGACATCACTTGACACCCTGTGTACAAACCCTACGAGACTGGTCTGAAAAATTCTAGGTGTTTTCTCTCTAAATGCTTTAATATTTTCCCTGCAAAATTTCACTTTTTTGGACATGTTTTACCGCTTTCTGAAGGCTGATAAATTGTTGCAGGGAAATCTAGTGGCGTAGGTATATGGAATTCTGTCCCTATGGGTCTTTCATCTATTTTCCCTCCTCGACTCTCACTCTCTAGCCTCCTCCAATCCTCTTTATTTACCTGTTACTTACTTCACCGGGATTCGAACCAGCAATCTTGTTGTTGAATCACACCAGCCTTATCCGCTACACTAGTTGAACAATCCTTGCCAGTAAGGGACTATTGGATGTATTTATTAAAAGTATTAAGGCTATGAATATTTAATAAACTAAATATCCATGAAAAATTAAATATTCATGATGACGTATTGCACTATCATTGGGTACAGGTGGTGACGTGTGTCGATGTCACGTCACGCACACTGCATACATCAATAACTAATGCCACAAATGGCCGCCAAGCTGATGTGTGCATCCAAAGTGTGCTCTAAAAACACATTTTTCCGAAAATGGCTCCACATTTCTGGAACTTTCTGGATTCATCTTAGGTGAAATTACAAGGTGGGGTGAACATTGATGTGTTTAACTGGCAGATAACTGAGTTACTAGTTTGAAATTCATTTCATATTTTTTAATACTCTACATTTGACCGTCTTCATTGCAGGGGCTTGAGCATTGCTGGTGAGGGGATCAAGGTCGGTGATTATGTCTTCATCGATGGCGAGGACGAAGACCTGAGCTACGTGGCAAAAATCATTGAGCTCTTTGATAATGGTAAGCCTGGGTTTAGGGTAAAACATTAGCCCTCGTTTTGTAAAAAGGGTGGGAGGAGGGGGGCAGAATCCGCCCTCCTTAACCCTAAAAGGGCTGGGTTATTTTGACCATCTCACAGCCGGGGAAGGGGGGGGATTACCCTCTAAGATCTCGGCCATTGAGTGACAAAATATGACGGAACTCGGTACATGCATAGAAGAACTTAACATGAACATACCCAAGAAATTTCATGACTATACGTCAAAGGGTTTTGGAATTGTGGCTAATTAATTATTCATATGCATGAATGGTTATTCCGTTTTGTGTACACTTCCTTTATGGGGAAATTCAGCTGTCACGGTGCGTAGCGCCGCAAAAGTTTTTTGCAGCGCGGCAACTCTTGGTTATGGTTTTGGTATCAAAAGTTGTACAAAACGCGAGGCTTCAAAGTGCGGACACCTCGGTTCATGGAAAAAAGTTTTCAAGGGTAACGTGGAAAAAGTTGAGGGGGGGGGGGGAGGCATTCCGCCCCACAGCCCTTTTAGGGTTAATATTTATTACCCTGGTATCATGGGTTTGCAAATTAATTTGTGCCAAGCCATTGTAGACTAGCAGTGGATGTTTGGCCGGCGCTAGTTGTCTTTCAGTGAACATTATTTTCACAGAGGCTTTCTTTGATTGGCCGATATGTATAATGAAGTCATGATTATTGGCTGCATCGGCTTTCTTTTTGTAAGCACTACTTTGCCTAGAGGAATCCACGACGACGTTCGACAAACTAACGTTTACTAAGAGAACAATGGTGCCAGCCAAATATCTACTACCTTATACAGTGAAATCTTGATAAGTCAAACCTCAAGGGAACAGGTTCAAAATTTGACTTAAGCAGAGTTTTGAGTTAAGCAGGGTTGTATATCATTGTTATACTACTGAAGGGAATAGATTCTTTGTTTGACTTAACAGTTGTTTTGAGTTATCAGAGTTTGACTTATCGAGATTTCACTGTAGTTTAAATACTGGTGTCTTGTAGTACCAATTTAATTTTTGTGAAAAATGTACATATTAAGCAGTTGACTTGACTAGAATTAATAATAATCTCAAGCATCCTAGGAAATCATGGCACTTGGTGTGCCGTCAGTTTCAAGAAAAGTGGAATTTTTGTATTAAAAATAACTGACTTTTATGAGTTAGTCCACATTTTATTTGCAATCAGTTACACATTCGTGAACTAGTCTGGTTCCCTGACCTGACAATCCCTGACATCTATAAATTGCTCCCTTTCCTCTGGAGTAGGATCAGGGAACCAGACTACAAGAACAGCATTTTTTTTTCTATGTTTTTACAGCATCTAGGAATACAAACTTTCAACAAGTCAGTGAAACACTATTAACCCATCTCATTTCTGTAAATTACAGCAAAAGCAAATATTTTATATATTGCCTTGTTTTTGTTTGTTTGCTGATCGCAATGATTTCAGGGGACACAGATTCCAACGATCATCGTCGCGCCTCGGTGCAGTGGTTCATGCGACCCAAGGAGATGCAGTCACTCATACGAGGCCGGCAGTTGCCCGAGGGCGCTGTTCTCTCCAGCACCAACGAGGTCTTTGCGTACATGGTGAAATCGGACCGGATCACCGAGCGAGAGATCGATGCGGATACGATTCTTGGCAAATGCGAGGTGGGTTAGAAACAATGGGAAAAAAAATAGGTTTATTACATCAATTTTTTTCACGGAGTATTGAGACTTGCTTCAAGCTTCGATTGCAGCTGAGTTTTCGAGCAGTGGGGCCAATTTCATCGAATTGCTTAAGCACAAAAACCTTGCTTAATATAATCAGGTTACCAGCTTAAACGCCATGCAATGTACATTGCTTGTGACTGGTATTTAGCTATTGATTGTTTAGCAGAACAATCGCATGGAGTTCTGGGCCCAATTTCTTGGCTCTGCTTACAGTTGGCGAAAAATCCCTGCTTACTACATGTATAGCAGAAAATTCCGTGCTTACGGTAAGCGTATTTCAGTCTCATTATTGAGGAATTTTGGGTTCTGCCCATGTGTATATCCTGTAACTAAGGATTGTGTGCTTACAGGGTTAGCGCAGAATCTTTCTGCTAACGCGGTTAGCAAAATGGTGATTGTAAGCACGGAATTCTGTGGTTAGCAGAGCCATGCAATTAGGCCCTGGTGGGTAACCTGATTATATTAAGCAAAGTTTGTTTGTACTTTAACAGCAAATTTTATGCTTAAGCAGCTCTATGAAATTGGCCCCTGTTCAGAGCATTCCTGTGGCTAACACTTGTTTGAAGCCTCGTAATGCTGTTCATTTTTGTATAATTTAGTATTCAATTGACCTATCTCCATTTGCGAGTTAGCCACGCCCCTTGGGCAACCCTAGGAATTTTTGTACACTAAGTTTTGTTTGTCTCAGATTTTTCACGTTCCGGGCTGACTTGTATATCATATTTCACAAGCTGCGTTGACGTGATTCTACCGCGATTCTACCGCGATAGGTCAATTATTGGAACTTTGCTTTAGTGGCATATTCAAATATTCAACCATTTTACATTGAGGTAAAACCCTTCTATGACTATCATGTATATCAATGTTTTGTTGTTGGTAAAGCTGGCTACTAACATTTGACAGATTTTAAAGATGCAATTTTACATTGAGTATTGCTCATGGAAGCTCTCATAATCATGCGTCTAAAGTGGCCGTCCACAAAAATGTGGCATTTGACAAGCAATAAAACCTCTCAACTTGTTTGAATAAAATTACATCAGAGATGTTTTTCATTGTCTTCTCATTTTTCTAATATTCTGTTTGTTAAAATGGTATTCGAATATTCAGTGAATGATCGAATATTCGGTATTCGGTAAATTCGGCACAGCCCTAAAAGGCCTCTAATTCCATTTAGTTCCATAAAACAAACATGAATTTCACCCAAATAAACTTTGTGATCAAATTCAGGTAGTTGCAGCACCGCCAAACGCACCCCTGCCGAAGACCACCAGCGCAGAACTGCCAGTGCTGTACGTTCGCTGGCTGTTTGACGGGAACCAGTTTAAGCCGGTAATGGAACCCAAAAAGGTCAACGGTGTCCGGAAAGATCCGGACGTGAATACTGGCAAGACGCCAAGCAAAACACCGGGCAAGAAACAAGAGGTCAAGGAGCAAGTGTCAAAGGTCAACGGCACTGGGAATTTGGAGAAAGCTAAAGAATCGGCCAAGTCAAAAACTCCGAAAAATGGTGAGATTCAGTGAAATGATACCAAATGAAATATTGAGTGAATATTTGCTGAGAATTCATTTCAACATTCTGGCCTCCACTTTAACATCTTTCCAATTTTACCATTTCACTTGCTCACCGGTTCAATTTTTTTTCACTGTTGCTGAGACCGCAACGTTAATCCGCACACATGCCCGATTCTGTTCTATAATCGTTCACATGATGATCAGTCACATGATGACCAGTCACATGATGACAAAATGGCAGCTGTCAATTTTGAATCACGTGACTTCCTTCATGGATCTGATTGGTCATAACATAAATATTGCGTCCGAAGAAATCAGAGTGCTGCCCGCACACCTTTCCGGTGAAATCTGATGTGAAAAAAATCAAACAAAATGATTTCATCCGATTGCCTGGTGTACAGTCAGATTGGTCCGATTTTATAACGCGCACCTCTCCGATATGTACGTCTGATGGCCCAATGATCCAGTGAACCGGTAAAATCGGAAAGGTGTGTGGCGGGCTTAAAATAGGGATACACGTTTGACATTATTTTTATTATTTGACATATTTGACAAAAACAATCAGCCCTTGTTTAGTTATTGAATTATTACTTTACAATTTCAAAAAAAACTGGCTGCCAAACGATATTTCCGTTCTCACGGTGAAGAATGATCCCCCCCCCCCCCCCAAACACACACACACACAAAATCAGTATTGATAATGGATCGGAAACCAGTCTGCTTGCAAATTGGATCTGTTTGCCTCCAAAACAAAAAACTTTTTTTTTCATTTGCAGATTTTTTTTTCATTTGCAGAATAGTTTATGCGGTACCCGCTGCTATGTACATCAGATTCGAACCGGCCAACCGATCCCGTTAGCTCGGTGGTCGAGTGGTAAGACATCTGCACTAGAAAGCAGGAGGTCGTGGGTTCGAGTCCCACCCGGGTGATATTTTCCAACTTCCACTCGGGAGGTAACACACTGAGAATACAGTGTGTAAAAAACGTCGGTGAAGGGCAAAACCTAATTTGATTTATGTTGATTTTGTTGAAGAGCATCTTCAACAGTTTTACCATTTTCCATTTACCTAGACATCAAGTCACCAGGACAACGCCTGAATATCTCCGACGTCGAGTTAATCGACGAACTCTTCAGTTCAGATGAAAGCAATGACTTCGTCAATTTCATCAAGTTTCCCGAAACCACGCCAAGTCAGAAAGGTCGTGGGAGCCGTGCTGTCGCCTCCGTTTCCGTTTCAACTGCCAAAAAGACCCGCTTCAGCGAAGCAACGGATTTCCTTTCCAAGCCAAAGATTTGCGTCAAGAAGATGAACATCGCATCCGACTCCGTAACATCCAAATCCTTCACAAGAATGAAAGCGTTGTCAGAGCGAAAGCGAAAACCTCCGAACGGCACTCATCCTGACGTCGATTTGACGGACTTCAACGTGATACCAACGTGGAAGGCGACCGGCAAGAACAGACTATGCAAATCAGAAAGTAAAAACAGAAATCGGACCGTCGATAAAGCACAGACTCAGTGCGATGGGCTCCTACGGGGCCGGAAAACCCCTCGAAGAAATTCAGTGAAGAAGATTATATTTGAAGACGAAGCTGATGATGAAGATGTTTTCGAAGATGTAAAAACTTCAAGACGGATGAAAGATGTGTCTTGTGAAGAAGACCTGAGACGGAAAACACCAAAGAGAAAGTCTCTGTCGACAAGGAAGTTGCAAGGTGACAACGATCTTAGGGAAGAACCGACAAAACGAGGGAGGGAGAGGCAAAAGTCTACTACCAAGGTGAACAAAGATATTAGAATTAAAATCAGTTAAAAAATTTGTCAAAAAATTTAAAACCAAAATGGTACCTTTTATTTTCTCGATCAGCCCTCCAGCTTCATTTTACTGAGAGTCAAATTTCTTTAAATCCTATGAAATTTGCAAAGCATTTGAGGTACCTCAGTACTTGATCATATTTGACAATAAGTTTAAAGGTAATATGCAACATTTGCTTTTGCTGTAATTCTCAGAAATGTATGGATTTGGGGGTTAGTATTTTATAGCAAAGATTGTTACACTGACCTGTTTAAAGTTTTCTGTTCAGAGATGCTTAAAATACCAAAGGAAAAAAATATGCCGTTCTTGTAGACAGCTTCCCTGACCTTACTTCATACGAAACAGAGCAATTTATAGACGTCGGGGAATTGTAAGGTCAGGGAACCAGTCCAGCCAACTTGCACCCATTCACAGATGTGTAACTCCTTGCAAATACAATGTGGACTAACTAAATTTGGTAAATTGGAAGGCAGTATTTGAAATGTTTTTCTTTTCAGCGATGGTAGTTGGAAATTGATAATTTTATTGGGGCAGGCGGAAGCCTATTAAAAGATGTAGAGTCTGTGCTCATCAACAGATCCAAGTTTTTTTTTTTCCTTAACGAATTTTCAACTTGTATCTCATTTCTATGGGGAAAAAAATAAACAACTGGTTTCCTATTTTGGTCATCTGTGACCCTCTGTTTTGAGGTGTCTTTCGCACACAGTGGACTGGTTCTTAGCCCCTACATGTACATTATCGATCCTGATAGTGGGACACCCACACCTACTGCAGTCTACCCTGCAGTAACTGAATTATTGTCATGCCGTATTCCGCAATTAATGTGTAATTAACACATTAGAGAAATTAACGGTTTACCAAATTAAACCTGTGTTCCTATTTTTAAAGGTGACCCGAAAAGCCAAACAGCAAGTAGAGAGTGACGAAGATCAAGATGAATCTGATGAGGACAGCGATTACGAAGAGTCTTCTAGTGATGAGGAGATTGCCATCAAACGAAGGAAGACACCAGCTAAGAAATCTGGAGGACGGAAGAGCATTCAACCCAAGACTCCAGTCTCAGTAAGTACTAGCAGCCAATGTCACTAAAAGTTTTACACAAGTGGAATTCAGCTTTATGTCTGTGAATTGACTGACTACAGTCATTTCAGGTGACAAGTTACAGCTCACAAAAAAGGACAATTTAACTGATTACTAATGTTTGCTTAAGTAATTACAACCTTTGCAAACATCAAAAAGTAAAACTACCAAACTATTATAAAATACCTTACTTGACTCTAATAACAATGGGTATTTTTAAAGTGCATGTATCTACCATTATTGGTGCTCAAGGCGCTACATCGTTTACGACAGTCTTTAGAGTTTGAGTGCTTTTGTTGCCTTAGACGAAACACACGTGATGCGATCAAGCTAAATGAGTCGTTTGTCGACCCTGGTCTAATATTTTTGTTTTTACAGATTTGAAAAGAGCACAATCGCAGCATTACTGCTGTGAAAACCACATGCTAATACTATCTTAAGTTTGAAATTTATGGAAGTCGGAACACCAAGAGATGTGATGTGATGTAGTGGCCCTATATTGGCCTGAATCTCCAAATGAAAGTTTCCGACATTTAGCTTGATTGCATCACAAATGCACAGATAACAAATGATGTACTTTACCTTCATGTAAATATGCTATTACTAAATATTGGCCAATGTCGCTTGTGTTTGTATTTTTTTTCCCCATATTTTTATGCCGATGTCTCACTCAAAAGTGAAAAACATATAGTATTACTTGAAAAGACATTTTTTCAACGATTTTGGTAACAAATTTAACCTGGATTCCCATCTTTAAAGGTGACCCGCAAGGCCAAGAAAGTGGTAGAAAGTGATGATGATCAAGATAAATCTGATGAGGAGAGTGATTATGAAGAGTCGTCTAGTGATGAGGAGATTGCCATCAAGCGAAGGAAGACCCCAGCTAAGAAGTCAGAAGGACGGAAGAGCAACCAACCCAAGACTCCCATCTCAGTAAGTTCCATGCCCAAGATCCTGGCATGAGCATAATTATCTTTGGAAAACCAGTTCTTAAAGGTAACATCCATCATTTTTAATTTGTGAATTAACCCTTACTCTCTGAGGGTAGTTTACTGCATGTCAGTTGGTTATGCCAATGCCCTCCAGCTGCAGTATATTGGCAGATAAACTATCTTGACAGTGAAGGCTCCAATTGGCAGGAGTTGGAGGCCCTGGAGGGTGCCTGATACTGACCAGCTGGGGGCACTCACTTTGTTATCAGAGGACTCTCATTGTTCTCTGTGGCATGTATTGGAGTGCCTGTCCAGTTACCCTTGAAATGACATGGCAGATATTGGAGGGCCATGCAAAAAACATAGGAGATTTTCTTGAGGCACATATTGGCATGCGTTGGAGGGTCAAGTAGGGTAAGGGTTAAGTTTGTTTGAAGCAACAAAAGTGCTCAAAAGTGCTGAACAACTGACCTGATAAAGTTTCAGCTGAATGAATGCTGTACATTCCGAAAAGAAACAAAACAATATTCTAGGATCTCAATTTCAAATCAAAAGTTGCCGGGTCATGTTTTGAACTGGGTCTGAATTCAGCGTCCGAGACATGTTCTCACTGAGCCAATTGCAGCTACGCGATGTCGCACACTGAACTGAAAACATAGTATCAACCGTGCGTGCATAGGCATTGTGTCAATCAATGCTTGTGCACGCTTTGTCAAATTAAATACGAGCTTCTAACGGAAATTTCCAAAGCATCGTTGGAAATAGCCTTTTGTCATTGATATCTTCAAAATGACATCTTGCCAGAAAGAATAATTTAACAGGGAGTTTAGTCCCATTACTATCTTTAAACCAAGTATGCTTTTCAACAATAATTACGTCAATTACTTTTTGGATGGCTGCAAATGATGGACTGTACCTTTGGCTCAGAGACCCCACTATTTGGCAAATTCTAAACATTCATGTAGGTCTTCCTTTCTGTGCGCCAAGGTCTTAACATGTCTCCAGGAAGTAATAAGAGTCTCGAGTTAGTTGAAAATCGTTGTCTTAGCTGTGCGATGAAATTGAGCCCCAGTGTCAAATTTTGAGAGATTTTGATTGGGTAAAACTGGACGTAGCTTCATTTACTGACATTCGTTTACAATGTAAATGCCTCGCGTTCTTTTTGCCAGGTTAGGTCAAAGGTCAAGGGTAAGACACCACGGAAGGACATTGTGCCACACATCACGGAGCGCCGCACACCGTGTAAGACACCGGCTAAGGTGTTGGAGCATGCTAGAGCCAGGTACAGTGCACACAGTGTCAAACATGTGAACATTTTATCTGTGGTTTTGAAACATTGAGGGTTTAAAAACATGTTTTGTTCTAAATGCTTAACCCTATTAACCCAACTCAATCCTCCAAAATCCTCATGGTGGTTTTGGAGGATTTGGAGAATTGAGAATGAATGGTGTTTGAGAAATGTGAGGATCTTGGAGGAGTGAGGATTGAGGATGAATGGTATTTGAAAAGGAGGAGGATTTTGGAGGATTAAGGATGAGTGCATTTTTGAGGCAGGACTGTCTGACGATTTTGAAGGATTGAGGTGCTGGGTATCTTTCATTTGAACACAAGTACAGGATTTTGGAGGATTGGGGATGGTTGCTAGCAAAAAGGGCCTGGGGAGTTTAGGTTAATGAAGTACATTATTTCTGTATTCCTGAACAAAATGGTAATGTCATACTAAGCTTCATGCTTTACAGCTGCTATATTACAAAAAGCGGACGGCCTGTTTTAATAATGATATGTTGTCTCTTGTCTTTCTGTGTTTCTTTATCAATTGAGTACTTGTATTTTGCATAAGTATCAAACACTACAAGAGTTACAGATTCGTACATGTGCATTCACAGAAACTCCATGAACTTTTATTATGGATACCAAAATTTACATTCGAGCAACAGTGCCCCCAGAAACTAGAATAAACTGAATGAAAAGTGAAAAGTGCTAAGGCTGTCCCGAATACACCAAATATTCGAATATTCGACCATCAACTGAATATTCAAGTAGCTTTTCGCTGGTTTGAATATTCAAGGGGGAAAAAAACAAAAAACAATGCACGTACACACATGTGCTGTTATTTTAATCGTAAAGTTGGGGCGCTTTATTGTCAGATGCCACTTTTTTGTTGACGGCGGCTCATTGTTCCCATCCTTTAGCAGATTAAAGCCCTTAACAGTTTTAAAACACTGCAAAACACACAAATGTAAACCGGCGCTATTTTCATGCAACTTTTGACTGGCGTGGCACGCAATTGCTAGCTGCCACGTGTAAAACTTGATTGATGAATTTTGAATATTCAAATATTCGGTCCAACACAGTACGAATAATCGAATACTGAATTATTCGAAAATGGAAAGCCCTAAAAAGTGCACCTTTTTTTTTTTAGGTCAAATGGTTGTCTCTTTTCAGAGTTCTTAATATTTACACAAGGTACATGTATGTGTAATTATAAAATTCAGCTCAAATGTAATTTTTTCCATTAATTTTTGTCTTGGTTTATTTCCTGTGTGTGCATCTAGACTGCATGTGTCTGCAGTTCCTGACTCGCTGCCGTGCCGGGAACATGAATTTGACGACATCTACACATTTGTCAGGAGCAAGATTCTGGACGGGACAGGAGGGTGAGTCAAGTCACATCTGAATTACGCGACTACGGCTTGCAATCACACACGTGCCTATTGAAGCGGCTACAGCTACTTCTCATAGACCTGTGTGTTAAGGCTAGCCATAGCCAAGTAATTCGGATGCAGTCACTCAACCAGTGGTTGCATCCAAGGCCTAGTTTTATGCAGCGATCAAGCCGAAAATTGAGCTTAGCAAGTACACTTTACCAAAAAAGAAAGTCCCCCTTAATACATTTTGTACACTCAAAAACTACTAGGCACATCTTGCTCAAATTACAACTGATCAGTACAGAAATTCCTTACCAATCCAGCCATACTCTTTGTTTGGCCCAAAACAGTGATAATGTGTACGAAGTTATGCAATTTATGACTAATGGTACCGAAAAAAAAGTTGCACTTTTGTATACGTGCAAGGCTAGTGTGAACCACAACTTGCACGTATACAAAAGTGCAACTGTTTTCAGTATCATTTGTCATAAATTGCAAGAATTCGTATACATTTTCACTGTTTTGGGCCAAATAAAGAGTATGGCTGGATTGCTAAGGAATTTCTGTACTGATTAGTCGTTATTTGAGCGAGAGGTGCTCAGTAGTTTTTGCGTTTGACAAAAAAGTGTTGGAAGGGGGGGACTGTCTTGTTTGGTTGAGTGTATATATGGCAAGAAAAAATCCGATGGGAACCAGTCACAAGAAATATTCATCACGTGGCATTTTGGCTGGTAACCCGTTTTTTTTTTTTTTGCTAAGCAAATATTTTCTGCGCGCATCAAATATTTGTTTTTATTTATCACATTTTTTGAGAACAATTTTCTGAAAAGTTAACAAAGAAAATGACTGGAGAAAATGAAATGACTGGAGAAATTCACGACTGTGTGTTCATGTGCGTGTTCTGTCAAATTTGAATGAAAAAAAACCCCACTTCAGTACCTATGTTACAATGTACTATATTACAAACAAACACTTCAGTACCTATATTACAATGTACTACACAATTTGAATGCCGAGTTTGTTTTCAACAAACATTTCATTATATTTCAGATGTATGTACATTTCTGGCGTGCCCGGCACGGGCAAGACGGCAACCGTTACCGAGGTGATGTCATTCCTGAGGAAGGAGGTGGAAGAAGATGAAGATTTCCCAGAATTCACTCTGGTGGAGATCAACGGGATGAAGCTGACGGAACCACACCAGGCATTCGTGCAGATTCTGAAGGTAGGAACGAGGGGGAAAAGGTGCTATTTACGTGGCTTGGGAGAGTGGTTAAGGTTTGTGAGAGTGGTTAGGGAGAGTGGTTAGGGTTTGTGACTCATGATCAGAGGGTCAAGGGTTCAAATCCAGCTCCTGGCCATATGCTGTGTCCTTGGGCAAGCCACTTCACCCCTACTTGCCTCTCTGGAGTATAAATGGGTACCGGCATTAGCTAGGGAGTAACCTGCGATGGACTGGCATCCCATCCAGGGGAGTAGAAATATTCTCAGTCGTTTCATGCTACTGAAACCGCTGGCCTAATGGTGCCACATTGGCTCGTGACAGACTTTACTTTTTTGACTATTTGCCTGGCTGCCTTAGGGTATTTTGTCCATAGTCTTGCCCAGTGCAACAACATTCAACACTTGCCAAAGTGACAAGCCTGCCCAGTGTAGCAAGATCCATTAGGTCAAAAGTCTCAAGGCCAAACTGCCTCAGAGTCTGTGGTCACCAACTGCAGCAGGGTACAACTGTGGCATTGTTCAATGAGACTAGCTCTCATTGTTTCAAAATTGGCCGTTTATGCACTGGTGTTGATGGCTCAATGCAGCAAAGTCCCACAGACTTTTACACCTGATGCACCCTGTTGCATCTGGCAGGGTTGGGATTAATTCAAGTTTTTATTGGATTTTGCCTTTTTAGTACCCTAGGCAATATTCAACAATGTATTTTACAGGCTCTCCGACAGCAGTGAGTATACAGTGTTTATATAAATTATGTCTTTTGCATCTTTTTGATACAAAGTGAAGTTGTTCAATTTGTTGCTCTTGCAGAACCTGACAGGTCAGAAAGCCACAGCCGAACACGCCTCACAGCTCCTGGAGAAATACTTCACGTCTGCCGCCGGCAGGAAGCAACCCATCGTACTCCTAGTAGATGAGGTGAGATTGGCCACTACAGACCGAAATTTGCTCAGCACAGAAAATATTCGCTTGGCAAAAACAGGTTACCAACTAAAGTCACACCATGAATATTGCCTGTGACAGGTTCTCGCCTGGTTTGTCCTCGGCAATTTTTTTTATTGATTTATGTTCTAATGTTTTCTTTCTGGTAAGGATTCCTCAAAAGTACCCTAGGCACTGTAGCTCGAAACTTGCAAGCTTGAAGAAACCTGTAGAGAGAGGACAATGAGAAGAAATTACAGTTTTAGAGGTGGGAGGAAAACCGCAGAAGAAGATTCTGCGTCAACCTGACTCTCCAAATGAGGGGGCAACTGTTTCTGCTTTATAGTAGCACCATGAAATTCGGACCACCTCTGTTTATTTTTGTTCAACGAACTTGTTTTCTGTAAAAACAAAAGTAAGTCAAAATAGCAATGAATAAATCATTTCCAGAGCCAGATAACTTCTAAGCTCAGAAAATATTCACTTATCCTAAATTTGTTACCAGCCAAAATGTCATATGATTTACATCACTTGTCACTGGTTCTCAGCCGATTTCTGCTATGCACATACATTAGCTTAGCAATAAAACTGCTAACTTCATAAAATTGGGCCTAGGTCATTGCAGCTGTCTTACAAGGAATATTTGTCGTTTTTTGTTGTTGAACAAATTAGTTGGACCTGTTGTGGACCCGCAAGCAAGGCGTGCTCTACAGCATCTTTGATTGGCCCAGCCGGCCCAAAGCTCGTCTCATCGTCCTGGCTATCGCCAACACCATGGACTTGCCCGAACGTATCATGATGAACAGAATATCCAGCAGACTGGTGGGTAGTATAAACCGATACGAGTTGCTTCAACTTCTTGTGATTACTTGGCAGGCTTTCCACCATCACTGAGATGTTTTAAAGCTCACTTTGGTATTTCACACAATGCACTCGTCTGTAGTGATATATACAGAACTATACAAAGTGCACGTGTGATGGGCGCTCAGGCACAGAAGCGTCCCAGTAATGGCAAACAAAACTGTAACCGTAATTTCAAAATGGGATTAGGGTAGACCAGTGTTGTAGTCGAGACCGGATAGTCCAAGACCGAGACCTGAAGTTTTGAGACCAAGCCTGAGACTGAGACCAGCCCCTCCCCGGCGGACCAAGACCGAGACCGATATGGTCCGAGACCGAGACCGAGACCGCAGATAATAAATAACAATAATCTAAATACAAAACAAAACACATAATTGCAGTTGTAAGTTGTAAACTTTTTTGTTCACGAAGATTACAGACAAAATTTTGGCCAGTGGCAGTGTTGACAAATTGACATATGATACCTTGCTTGAGCAAGAAGTAATACACAGGCCGTCATAACCAACCACAATATTATGAAGATTCACTAACAAAGTTGACAACATGATCTACGGGTAGCAAATGTTTTAACTATCAACGGTACTGAACGAAGTGAACACAAAGTGATCGATCGAGCTGTAAATGCTGTAAATGCATGTTGCCAGTCTCGACTCGAGACCGGCCAGAATATCGAGACCAAATGGGACCGAGACCAAGACCGAGACCACAGCTCCCGAGACCAAGGCCAGCAAAAAGTGGTCTCGAGACCGAGACCGAGACCGGTCTCGAGACCTACAACACTGGTGTAGACAAAAACAACAAGAAATGCCTAAAATTAGTATGAAGTAAAGTATGTCGCAAGCAAATGGGGCCCATCAGGCCGGCGTTTATCTCCGGTTTCAGTAGCATGAAACGACTGAGAATATTTCTATTCCCCCTGGACAGGATGCTAGTCCATCGCATGTTACTCCCAGCTAATGCCGGTACCTATTTATACTCCTGGGTGGAGAGAGGCAAGTTGGGGTGAAGTGGCTTGCCCAAGGACACAACATAATGGCAAGCAGCTGGATTCGAACCCCTGACCCTCTGATCATGAGTCACTAACCCTAACCACTAGGCCACACCCCCCACAATGTCAAATTACTGCTTCCAATTGTTGGCTGAAACTCCCTCCGCTTTGATCAAAATTGACCAAGTAATTTTACCCATTAGATAATTTGGGTACTACTCAAAGGGAATGTACAACATTTGCTTTTGCTGCAGTTTTCAGAAATAAATGGATTTGGAGGATTAGTATGTAATAGCAAATATTGTTAAATTGAGTTGTTTCACATTTTGGGCTTGTAGATGCTGGAAAAACGAAGAAAACCATTCATGTTCTTGTAGTCTGGTTCCCTGACCCCACTTAAGATGAAACAGAATTTATAGACTTTGGGGAATTGTTAGGTCAGAGGGTCATTCTAGTAGGCTTGTACCCCTTCACAGTTGTGTAATCAATTGCAAAGAAAACACGGAATAACTAATGATGAAAAAGTAGGAGCAGTTTTGAAAAAAAGCCAGTTTTCTCCAACGCTGGTCAGCCGACCAGTGTTGGAAAAATGCAGTTTTTGTTGAAAATGTCAGCACACCAGGAGCCATGATTTCACAGGATGCTTTCCCTAACAATCCAGTAAGGTATTTTGTGATAATTTGATCATTTTGTTTTGTAATGTTTGCAAATGTTGTATCTTCCCTTTAAGATGTGCCTCTGTTCTCTTTTAGGCATGCAACTTTTCCTCGGATCTGCTGATTTCCTTGTTTTTTACTTGACACTTATGCCATTCAAAATTGAAAAGCACTGTATAAAGTCTTGTAAAATTTGGAATTTCCTCTTTTTATTTTTACTTCCAAGTTGCTTGCCTGTCTCTTCGCATCATACCGGCCAGTGTGCATCTTTCCATTGTGCTCTGGTTGCATAATGATGCGTACATCAAACTCCCAGGCTGATTTTATGCACTTCTTTGTCTTGTTTGCATCTAGACAAGGATGATCCAAAATTAGCCACAATATTTTTTTTTTACGAAAACTCACTCTATTTACTTAATGGTAAAGTAGATCTTTTGCAGCTATCCAAAGAGGAACTGTCGAATCTATTGTTGAAAAGTTTTACTTGATTTTAACCCTCCTACTATTTAAGAGGTCACCAATGGTCAAAATGTTTGTATCTCACCTCCTGGCTTACTGCGTACAAACCAATGGGGGTCTTGACCAATATTGACCCAAGTAATAACCAGGCTAACAATGCATGTTGCCATAGGAGGGTTAAAGATAGTAACGGCACTAAACTCTCTGTGAAATTATTCTTTCTGGCATGCTGTCATTTTGGAAGAGTGGGGGAGTTGGTCAAAACAATGTGCTTCATTTTGGACTAATTACAAGTATTTGAAATTGTCTTCAAATGGTGCAGGGTCTGACCCGAATGACATTCCAGCCCTACACTTTCAAGCAACTCCAGAGCATCGTGCAAAGCCGTCTGGAAGGACTGCAAGCATTCGAACCTGATGCTATCCAGCTAGCTGCTAGGAAGGTAGGTGGTTGGGTGACAGATATGGTGAGGGACGTCCCCAAGGGAGGGGACATTCCTAGGTAAGGGAATTATCCAGGGGTGGGGGTGGGTGGAACAGTGAAAGCTGTCTGGAAGGACTGCAGGCATTTGAGCCTGATGCTATCCAGCTTGCAGCTAGGAAGGTAGGTGGTTGGGTGACAGATATGGTGGGGGACATCCCCAGGGGAGGGGACTTCCCTAGGTAAGGGGATAATCCAGGGGTGGGGTGGATGAAATAGTGAAAGCCGTCTGGAGGGTCTGCAGGCATTCGAGCCTGATACTATCCAGCTTGCAGCTAGGAAGATAATTACAATTGCTGAACGTTTATTTCAACGTTGTTATGTCACTAAAAATATTAAATCGTTATGTTAACATTTAAGCATACAAAATATAATACGAAGTAATTTTACACAACACCGTTATTAATAAATGAAAATATATGCATAATCCACATAACAATACGGGGATAGGGTGAAGCGATCGCTTTTGTTCCCTGACCCATTGGACACTTACAGACTGAAGGACATAAGTACGAACTAAGGACAATGACAGGCAAACAAACAAACAGGAGTATCATTAAGCTATTGGTGTATGTTTACAAAGTATCAACAGACTACAAATAAAATGTAAGAAGTTGTGTTTTTAATTTTTTGGTAAATGTAGATAGAGTTAAAGATGTTTTAAGAGGGATACTTAGTCTATTCCAGATACTCGTGCCACGTTGAACTATTCCATTTTTGAACACTGTCGTTCTATTGAAGCCAACATGAAGATTTTTCTTCGCGATACTCCTGGTTTTATAACAATGAACATTTGAAGTTAAAGTAAAACATGAGCTAAAACACAAAGAGAGCAAATTATTCATATATTTGAATACCAATCTTATTCAGATAGGTGGTTGGGTGACAGATCTAGTGGGGGACATCCCCGGAGGTTGGGAAATCCCTGGGGGTTGTCTCAGGGAGGGGGTTATCCATGGATAGGGGTGGGTGGAGTGGTGTGATCGAGTTGAGCAGCATCAATTTTTTTCAGGCCCTAAGGGAAAAAACGACTGTCATCCCAGCTTGAAATAAAAAATGCTCGGTTCCCCATGACTGCAGGCTGGGGTGCACGTGAGATTTCAATGGAAAGCTCGTACTTTCAGATGCAACCGAACTGACAGTATTCAAGTTCATAATTTAAACATTGCATAGAAGAAAGTCCATTAGATAATGTGGGTACTACTTAAGATGTTCCTGGGTTCTCTTTGCATCATACCGGCCAGTGTGCATCGTTCCATTGTGCTCTGGTTGCATAATGATGCGTACATCAAACTCCCAGGCTGATTTTATGCACTTCTTTGTCTTGTTTGCATCTAGACAATGGATGATCCAAAATTAGCCACAATTGTTCTTTAATGAAAACTCACTCCATTAACTTAAGAAGAGCTTTGTTGGGTGGGACTCGAACCAACGAAGTCGTTGATTTGAGTCCCGCCCAAGTAAGCTTGTTAATGTTTTCTCACAAGTCCTCAGATGACACTGGGTATAACAGCTTGTGAACACCACACACACATATCCCCAGTATGTAAACACTTTCGATCGTGGACACTCTATTGTCCTTCTGTTGTTTGTTCTTTAACTTTTTTAGGAAGACCTCCCATACGTTTTGTACACGATCGTCAATTGTGAATCTTAGGGAATTGTGGACCCTATTGTCCCCTATTGAATGCAAAAACAAACCCACACACACATACACCCTTTCTTCTTTATAGTATGGCGGTGATTAACCCTAATTCCCTAGGATAATTTACTAGGAACCTTCCTCACTCTTGCGAATTCCAACACCATATGGTAAACTGCACACAGAAGCTGTTGGACTCTGATTGTTCGTGGTATGCCTGACCCCATGTACAGCATAATCAGTTTACTAGTGCAGTACTCACTCCAACAGATTCCAACAAACCCTGGTGTTGGAGTTTGACTGGATGGGGATTGTGTGTGTGTGTTTGATTACCCTGCATACTTGTGGATAGTGAATAGACCACCAACGCAAAACTGTTGACTATCTGGTAAGCTCTGTATACTTTTGCAAGCAAAAGCTCTCCGTAATGGCTATTTGACAAATCCTTTTTGTTTTATTCAAGGTTGCAGCAGTGTCAGGCGATGCCAGGAGAGCTTTGGATATCTGCCGCCGTGCCACGGAGCTGGCCGAGACCACTAAACCCACGGGGAAGAGCAAAGGCCCCCTGGTAGGAATGAAACACGTCGATGCCGCGCTGACTGAAATGTTCAGCTCGCCCAAGATCGTTGCCATGAGGTGTGTAACTTTTCCCACACTTTCAACTGAAACTCTTGCTGCGCTTGCACTGGACTAACTGTTGTAAAAAGTTGGTAGGTGTTGTTTATGGATATCAATGCACCAAGCTCGGGGTTTCCTGATGTGCAGCGCGGTCACATGGCCGGTCCTATTTAATCGATAGAGGGCGCACCACTTGCAACTGAGCTAGCGGTACAGTGGTATTTATGTGCATAAAATCCTATTCGCTTGACGGGAATGGGGTATTGTATCGAGATAAACGAGTTTCGAGGTATCCGCCTTTGTGATAACTATAGTTTACTGTATCTTCTTTGTTCCATTGTTTTCACAAACTTTTTAAAGTGTTTAGGGCATTTGAGTTTTAGTTCCATACTTCAAAAAATAAGTTTTGTTTCTTCAGAAGGTTGATTTTCTTATATTTGTGTTGTAGGCAAGCCTCAAGACACGAGCAGATCTTCCTGCGCGCCATCGCCACGGAGTTCAAGATGTCTGGCTTGGAGGAGGGATCTTTTGAAAAGGTCGGACACATTGCCAACAAAAACATGAAGAAATGTGTTTGAATTGCTGGGTATTTTTGCCAAAATTTTAGCATCAAACAATGAACTCCTTGGGGAACTGAGATGGTTAAGGGAATGTCTTATGCTCAAAAGATCTTTGCAGACTGTATGAGCTCCGTGCAGGAACACGAGAGGGCGCTTTTTACCACATTTGGGAGCCACGTGGACAGGACACACCACATGTGCGTACTGGTTCAAACGCGTATAGCACGAATTATGCACAACTAATTGTGTTGTGAATATGCACAAAGCCAAAGCGTCTTCGCTTGAGCGTCCAACGTTGTATGCAGTGCATTCGATGCTCTCCCAGTGGTCTCCCCTCAACTCTCCCTTTCTTGCCGTTGAGGGGGTACTTGTGCACGGAGCCCATATGCGACATCAGAAAATTATTTTTGGTGTTCAATTACACTTACACGCAGTTTATCTTTATCCTTTGGTAGGTATTGATCCAGCACATATCCATATGCAGACTGGAGGGTGAGTTTCGTGTAGTGTCGGATGTCTCCTTTTCTTGTTGTTAAGTAACTTTCAAAAAAAATATGTTAACAAAATAAGATGTGAAATGGATATTGGAAGAAGTTCAGGACCGTCTCCTAAAGCCCGGCGCACACCTTTCTGACTTCACTGGATCTTCGGGCCATCGTACAGAGGTGTGCGCTTAAAATTCAGACCGATGTGACCGTGGCGACCAGATGAAGTCAAATATGTTTCTTTCTTTTTTCGCATCCGATTTCATCGGATCCGACTCTGATTTCACCGGACGCGATATGTTAACCAATCAGATTCACAAAGGAAGTCACATGATTCCAAATTGAAGGCTGCCATTTTGTCATCATATGACTGATCATCATGTGACCGATTATTGAACGGAATGGGGCATGTGTGCGGGTAATGTTGCAGTCTAATTGCAATGGTGAAAAAGCCGTACCGGTGATGGGGTGATCCGGTAAAAGGGTAAAATGGGTAAGGTGTGCGCTGGGCTTAAATATTGGAGAGGAATTGTTCGAATAAAGTGGTAGACTCTGTGCCCAAGAAAACGAAAAGATTTGCTCCATATTGAAAGAAAAGGAGGCGTGTCTTTACATCGTTCACAAGTACAGCAGAAAGTTGGAGCGTAACATTATTGAGAAAAATAGGTTTTCAGACATTTCATGAGTAACAAACACTGGCCTTCAAAATACGTTGGTACCTTCTACGGTTTTGTACACGTGGCAATTGTTTATCCCAAAAGACAACTTTTAAAATCATGATGAACTACCCACTAAGTTCGAATACCCCAATGGCTTTTTTTTTCATTACCAACTTTCAAAACCATTTTTGCGTTTGACTGTGTTTTTCTGTTCAGGTTTGCACCCACCTGTAGTGTCTGAGGTTGCGGCCGTGTGTAGCAGGCTGGCGTCCTGTCGCCTGATCCTTCTAGAGTCGGGCACCAATGAGCTGAAGCAACGAATCCGACTCAACGTCAGTCAGGATGACGTGACGTATGCACTCAGGGACCACAGTGAGTGACCACGGCGAGTGTCTACAGAGACCATGGTGAGTGACCATAGCTAGTGGCCATGATGATGGACCATAGTGAAAGAACCATTGTGGGTGACCATGGTTAGTGACTATGATGACCAATCATGATGAGTGACCATAGTGAATGACTATGAAAAGTAATCATGGTGAGCGACCATAGTGAACTACTATGATAAGTAATCACAGTGAGCGACCATAGTGAGTGACCATAGTGAATGACCATGGAAAGCAACCAAGCGCGTGACCATTATGAGGAACCAAGGTGAGTGACCATTGTGACAGACAGTGGTTAGGGAAACCTTTTTTAGTAACCATAATGAGTGCCCATGCATGGTGAGCTTCCATGGTGGCTGTGATGAGCAACCATGGTGAGCAACCATGGTGAACAACCATGGTGAGCAACCATGGTGAGCAACCATGGTGAACTGCCAGTGGTGGCTATGTTAAACAACCTTGGTACATGTAAGAGGCCATGGTGACCAACCATGGTGAACAGCCATGGTGAGCTACCCATGGTGAGCCACCCCGGTGAGCAACTATAGTGAGAGATTGGTGCGCTGATGCATTGACTCATATTCAGGACTATGCTCATAGCTTCTACAGTGAGTGATCATGGCATTCAAAAGACTCACTGAAACTTGTCAATGAGTAACCATTGGATGAGTACTTCTAGGCTCCCAGAACGGAACTCGGAATACCGTTTGTGGCACAAACTTGATCATGAGCTTTCTTAAAACAAAATGCAATTTTACCATAACCTTGTCTATGCAAATAGTCATCAGTTTTTTCAGCAGTGTGATTTTGTATTTATGAATTTTCTTACTCAGAGATGAAACTTTTCAGATTTTAATCTGAAATCAGATTTTTTTAACTTTTCCAATGAAATTTCAGATTTTATATAGGCCTAACAATTTTTCCACAAAATGTTTTTTTTTTTCATTATAATTTCCAAAAAAAGTCCATGAAAAGTCGATGAAAACGGCACGTAAAAATTTGCACAAGTGTAAAACACCAAGACCAATGCTCATCAGATCCTTTTCCGGCTGGAGAAAAGGTTAAATACTGACCTATGACATGGACAAATTCACTGTGTCCCACGTTGATGCGCTGCGCTACACTGCACTGTGCGACGCTGTGGCTCGGACCCAAGGTCCAATTTCAGATTTTTTTTGCCAAGGCCAGTTTCATCTCTGCTTACTGTGTGTATGTATTTTATATTGAGAAACTGATTATCTTTACAAAGTACTTAACTATTTGCTGTTCAACAGTTTTGATATTCTCGTATTCAAAGATTTATGTTAACATTATGTTTCGTAATATTAAAAACGAAGATGTGTATTTTTTTTTGTATTGATATACGTGGCTTCCAGTTTTGCACAAATGAGTACTGTTGATTTTTTTTTTATGAATATACATACTATGCAAATCGCAGCAATATTTAATCAAAAACTCGATATTTGACAATTGATGAATTAAGGTAAGGTATTCTATTTCATACATATTCAGCGACAATATTCGTGACAAGTTCATATTTTAGTATTTAACAAAAAGAAAATCTCTGTTTCACCACACAATGCCGTTTCTTACTACGCGGACAAGCTTACCACATCTAGTTTGCTCACAGTATTTTTTTTACATTATTTCCTTTCAAAATTTCCTCATATTTATAAACATTTATGTTTTGTAAAACGGCAATTTAATTTTTTCAACACATGGAGTTGATAACAACATCCTTTGAGTTATGTTATTTTTCTTAGTTTTGGTTTGTTTTTGTTTGTGTTTTTGTAGTTTTCTTTTGTATTTTTGGTATTTTTTTAGGTATAATTTCCTATTATGCCTTCAATAAATATATAAAAATGAAATTTGTTGCAGTTTGGAAGTTCCACTTTCTTCAAATACACTTGTGTCACACACTGAAAAACAAACATTAATAATTGCAGAAATCCGTATAAACTGCAAGGCTCACAAATGAGTTTATTGATAGCACATTCCATATACACATTCTGATATATACATGTAAGTACATGTACCCTGATTAAACACCACTACTAACTTTTTTACTTTTGGTAAAAACAAAAATAATTTTAAGCACTTTTTTAATACAGAAAAGCACTTGTTTAAAGTGGCAAAAAGTGATAAAAACACGCTTTCTGTATGGATAGTGGGGAGTGGGGCCTAGAGTATGGGGTTAGTGACTCATGATCTGAGGGTCAGGGGTTCGAATCCAGCTGCTGGTCATATGTTGTGTCCTTGGGCAAGCCACTTCACCCCCACTTGCCTCTCTCCACCCAGGAGTATAAATGGGTACCGGCATTAGCTTGGGAGTAACCTGCTATGGACTAGCATCCCATCCAGGGAGGAATAGAAATATTCTCAGTCCTTTCATGCCAAGGAACCTGGATATTGACGCCAGCCTGATGGGCCATATTGGCTCATTACAGACTTGTACTTTGTATGGATAGCAGTTTTTTTTCATGGCTTCATCAATATATTTTTTAGTTACAGTTGCTTATGCAAAAAGTGTGGTGCAAAAATACTTCATTTATAATTTTCCTTTTTTTTTATCGGCAAAATACCAAGATAAGGCCACAAAAAAAAGTCTCCGGTTTCTGGTATGGAGCTTGCCCCAAAAGTGGTGCGGCGACGTGGCTTTTTTTTTTTTTTACCTGTTTTCTTTTTTTTTTTTTTTGGCTTCAAATGTCGGCTGATGACTGCAAATGGTGCCCGACTAAACTTAGTGCAAATATATGGGAGTCCAGAGAGGCCACATAAAGCTTGTTCTCGGTCATAACCCCATCTAAAAACACGTTAAAATTGTGCAGCAGCAGGATTCCAGTCAAACCAGTGAGTTTGGCGGTTTTGAGACATCATCTTGTATTGAAAAAAAAACTTTTTCATTTTGCCGACGTGCATGGAGACTTTTTTTTTTTGGCCTAAGCAAGACTAACCCTTAAAAAATTTCAAATAAGTGTGGCAAAAAAACAGAAACACTGTACAATTAAACCTTTAAGTGGTCAAAATGTACCTTTTATAATTTTCCATAAAAGCGAAACAAATTATTTTCAATGGAATTCTTTACATACATTAATATATACTTGCACAAAAGAAATAATAAATGCTTTACTTAATCAAAACATCAAAGCGTTAAGTAAATTCATCTTCAGTTTTATACTGATCTGCGAAAATAACACATCCTGTCATGCTACTCCAATTGCAACGTATGTTCTCCAATCCAAACTTAAGAAATATTTCTACAATTTTGGGTATTTTATAAGGGTATGAATAATGGCCAACTTCATTTACAACCGGATAAGGCCTGGTCGACCAAAAACAGCCAGTGCCGCATATCCGCAGCCAGGCCCTTGGCCGGTTTTAAACGTATTTGATTAATACCGGCCAAAAACATAGTTATTCTCATCCGTAAATACCTTTCAGTTAAAACGTAAAAACAAGTCAAAAAAATATAAATTTCCAACGACTCTGTTCAACAATTATACTTTATGTTTTGTGAAACACCACTCTAGTTTATATGTTTATGGTATGTGCCTCGCGCGAGTAGTACTGGAAATCTCCTTATATGGAGATTGGCCCGCTCGTGGCACGTACTGCGTGATGTGGCGCAGAACGCAGCAGTGCTGGGAAAAAAAGTGTTTAAATCCAGTAGATTATATCAACTGTTTAAAACCACCCATGTGATGGGCTCTCGACCAATAGGAATGGATAAACTGTCTTAACATATAATGAACAGATTGTAAAGAGACTATATACACTGTATATTGCTGAAAATGTATGTACATGTACTGTACATATTTAAAGAAGTTACTCAAACGATTTTCAGAAAAGCCTTAGTCTTCGAAGCACACTACTTCAGCTCTTTAAAAACACAACCTACTTGTAATATGTAGGACATTTAACATAAAGAAAAAATCTTACAAACAATTTTAATACTTAGTCATGTACTTAGCACAATATTTTATGTGCTTAGCACAATATTTTATATTTTTTATATTGTACCCCAGAAAAACTTCCTATACACTTCACAAAGTAGGCTGTGCATATCTTTGGTTGAAAAAAAATGAAAGACCCTTATCGTGCTCGGCACACACACACAAAAAACACATTAAAACACAATAAAAGCACATGCACTCTGTGGAACTCTAAAACAAAATGGAATTAAGATAATGTATTCTGATGATCAATTGTTTTTGTTTTTGTTTTTTTTTTTTTTTTGGTCAAGATGAAGTCATTCTTGCTCATTAGTTCACTGATTTCAACATGTTGGTCACAAGATGGAATTTTTGCGTCGGGGTGATGTAAATCAAAATAGGTTTTGCCCTTCACCGACGTATAAACACTGTATACTCAGTGTGTTACCTCCTGAGTGAAAGTTGGAAAAAATTACTCGGGTGGGACTCCAACCCACGACCTCCTGCTTTCTAGTGCAGATGTCTTACCACTCGACCACCAAGCGAACGGGATCGGTTGGCTGGTTCGAATCTGATTTACATATAGCAGCGGGTATCGCATAAACCATCCATAAGATGGAACTTTTTTTATTTCTTATTTTAGCGGTAAGACATCTGCACTAGAAAGCAGGAGGTTGTGGGTTCGAGTCCCACCCGAGTGATTTTTTTCCAACTTGGGGAGGTAACACACTGAGTATGCAGTGTTTATACGTCGATGAAAGGCAAAAGCTAATTTGATTAACATGTTGGTCCTTATCAAGAAATTGTAACTTTGCTATGAAATAAGCCCTCGGAACCGTTTTATGTATATTTAACCTGTGGCGGTTGATCTTTTCTGCAGGCGTGCAACTTTTCCTCGGATCCGCCGATTTCCTTGTTTTGTTACTCCTCATGAATGCCATTACAAATTGAAAAACACTGTACAAAGTCTTGTGTGGTGTGGAGTTTCTTCGTTTCTTCAAAATTCCCAGTTGCATGCCTGTTTCTGGGAATTTTTTATTTTTTTTCAAAAACGGAGGATATAACACAGAAGGCAAACGAGGGATAAAAACATTGCGGTCAGATTATGATGACAACAAATTTTTGCGAATTCCTCGAACCAATCACAGACTGTTCTTCAGAAAATTCTGTTCACAGAAAATTCTTCGAAAAATGTTCACCAGTGTTGAAATCCTTTCCGACTAATGCACATTTGTCAGGGATACGACCAAGAAAAAAAAAATACTGCAGTTCGATTTTATTTTTCACACTGATGTGGAAAAACTAAGTCATACCGCAGCTGTGTATATAGAATAGGAGATAATATACAAACAGCAGAGACACAGTTTGAAATCGCGGGCATATTTTTGAAAATTGCGGCCAAATTATATGGCATCCTGGATTGCGATTGTAATCTACAGGGTGAGTTAAAAAAAAAGTGACCTGGATTAATGATTTTGTTTTCTTAAAAAGCGATCAAATTTGATACACCAATGAAGTATGTCTTAAAAGAGCATGTTCTTCCACTCATCTGAAAAAAAAAAGAACTACTGAAATTGATCCATGCTATCAACAACCTAATTTTCAACTTTTGTGTTTTATTTTAATGCTGGGTATCCCCGGCCCCAATCCTCTGGGGGAAAAAAACTTTCGTATTCTTTTACGCTTTTAAAAACAGATTTGCTAAAAACAAATTACAATTTTTTTAAGGGAGAAACTTGCAAATAGCATTAACAGCACATTATAAATTTAGACAAGTTCCGATAAATTACTCAAACAAGGCATGTATGTTTTTTTATATCTAGAAAAAAAAATCCAGCTCGACTATACGACTTCGTCGGCCGTTTTCACCTGGTCATTGGCTTGCTCCTTGGGTTGTACAGGAGGCAGCTCAATGTCCTTCGTTCCTGTCTTCACTCTCTTCTCTTTCTTCTCTTTCTTCTCTTTCTTCTTCTTTTTCTTCTCCTTTTTCTTCTTGGGTTCGGCTTGACTGGTACCCGCGGAGTCTGCCGGCATCAATATTGATGTGTCTCCCACCCGGGAACCAGTGGAGAATGTTCTGTTTCTGGACTCGTCACTCTCTGTACCATTTGGGGGAAAAAAAGTAAATGAAAAAAAGGAAAGAAAAAAAAGGGAAAAACCCAAAACAAAAACAATTTGCACATGTAGATGTTTAAAGGTTGCATGAAGTGAATTTTTCTTAAGAACATATTATTTTGTGCAACTTTCTACTCCTCTGTATAAAAAATATTCGATATACCTTTTTGGTTAATTTAACGAAAAAGTGAACTTCTTTAAACCTTTTTTAAAAAATCCATTTTTTCCCGACAACTGAGGGCGCTGTTGCTGTCATTTTCTTTCAGGAACACACTGTTTAAGTTTAGGAGTTTCCTGTTCCGAAATTGTGAACTCAAAAAATTTGCTTTTTCATTGAAAATATTTGTTAGAAAAGTTTGCTCATTGACTTACTGCAATGGCCTGACACAACCAATCACCACAGAAAAGACAATTTATGACAGCGAAATATCAACATTTCTGGCAATATTTGGTACCGAAATAGCTGTAACATGGAGGGTTCTGCCTGCAATGACATCACATTTCTGCTCATGAATATGGAAATGGACATAAGCATAAAAACCAATGAGGCACCAAAATACCCATAAAAAATAGCAAAACGAAAATTGAAAATACAGTAAGCTCGGGCTAAATCGGCACTCGAATGCCGATATCTGCTGTAAGTACTCATTTTGCCGACTTACATGAATGTTTTTTTTGCACACACGATTCATTGCACCATGCACTAATTGGCTTTGATTTACCCTGGATTATCTCCTTAATGCTTGAGTTGAAACCAGCAAATTAATCCTTGAATTGTATCATCACGTTTGGGGTATTGATAGTGGAGACCGCAATACATATGTACGAGCACAGTAACAAATTAAATGCGTGCGGGGTCCGGTATATACCACGCACGCATTGACTGCAGCAGTAGTCATTCAATAAGATGACCTCCTAAATGGACAGAGCACATACGTACAGCCTATAGGGGGTCCTGGTATGCAGTAGGACACCCTTTTTCGACACCGATGCATGCAGCGATCATGGGCCGTGCGAAACCACCTTTCACTCGACACTTTGCCAATGGCAGTACAGGAAGTAGATGCCAAGGCGTGATTTGTTGAATTTTTTTGTTGGATGCGTTTGATTTGCCGACTTACATAAAGGATTTTGTAATGCTTTTTATGGAAATTAACCGAGAGCATGCCGAGAGTAACACGACGATTTGAGCAAAATGACGACTTATAAAAGCCGACTTAGAAATAAAAACTTCAATGGAAATGCATTAGGCCAAAAAAAAAAAGTCTCCGGTTTCTGGTATGCGCGCGCGTCGCCGCAGCCATGCGCGTCGGCAAAATGAAAAAGGTTTTTTTTCAATACAAGATGATGTCTCAAAACCGCCAAACTCACTGGTTTGACTGGAATCCTGCTGCTGCACAATTTTAACGTGTTTTTAGATGGGGTTATGATCGAGAATAAGCTTTATGTGGCCTCTCTGGACTCCCATATATTTGCACTAAGTTTACTCGGGCACCATTTGCAGTCATCAGCCGACATTTGAAGCCAAACAAAAAAAAAAAAAACAGGTAAAAAAAAAAAAAAAGCCGCGTCGCCGCACCACTTTTGGGGCAAGCTCCATACCAGAAACCGGAGCCTTTTTTTTTTTGGCCTTACGGACAATTGGCACTTTAGTCAGATGGTCAACTTGAGCGATTTGACAAGTTGTACGATGTCAGTTTAGCCAGAGTTTACTGTAGCTTAAATAATAATAATAATAGCAAACATTTATACCGCGCTGAATACTACGTTTCTAAGCGTTATATGATGCTGTTGTCCTTGTAGACAATTAGGTGAAACAAGGGCAATTTTGTGTTGACCAAGCAGCAGATTGGGGTAAGACATATTACAATGATTTGTATAAGTGAGTTTTTAACATAGATTTCAATGTTTCTAAGGACGAGGCATTTTGAATTTTAGGAGAGAGACTGTTCCATAATTTGGGAGCGGCGACGGAGAGAGCTCGGTCACCATAGCGTGTTTTCTCTCGAGGACCAGGCATAAGTTGAAGATGTGGAAGAGCGTAGCCAGGTTGATGGAACTTTGGGATTTAATTAGTTCTGAGATATAAGTTGGACACTGACCATTACGAGTTTTGAAAGTAAAGCAGAAGAATTTTAAACTGTATGCGTTGAATAATTGGAAGCCAGTGGAGATGACGATGAATTGGGGTGATATGTTCATGACGCTGTGATCGTGTAACGATGCAGTATTTTGGATACGCTGAAGAGGTACAAGATGGGAGGAAGGCAGGTTAATAAGGAGGCTGTTGCAGTAATCTAAATGGGAAGTGACAAAAGCATGAATAAGACGTTCAGTAGAGGACGCAAAACTGCATTTTCACAGACTGCGTTGTATGGCAATTTATTAGATGTGTACCTAACGGGTCCGGTACATGTGGTGTGCTGATCACCCATCCACCAGTAGCAGGTTTAGGACTAGAGTCAATCTTTTTGTCTTTAGCATCGGGACCTGGGAAAAACCACCATGTAGAGAGATCCAAACATTAAAGATGTACTGTCCATAAGCAGTAAGTAAAGTCTGTCACGAGCCGATGTGGCCCATCAGGCTGGCGTTTATCTCAGAAGCATGAAACAACTAAGAATATTTCTACTCCCCCCTGGATGGGATGCTAGTCCATCGCAGGTAACTCCTAAGCTAATGCCGGTACCCATTTATACTCCTGGGTGGAGAGAGGCAAGTGGGTGTGAAGTGGCTTGCCCAAGGACACAACATACGGCCAGCAGCTGGAGTCGAACCCCTGACCCTCTGATCATGAGTCACGGACCCTAACCACCCTCCCCACATGAAATGCTCATGAATCAGGAAACTGGCATAAGCATAACCAAAGAGGCATCCAAACACCCTTGATATGGAACACAAAGGTGCTTTTCCAAGGATTGCATTAAAAAAAAATTCATCGTGTGGCCATTTTACCTTTTGGGTCAGGTTCATGTGGTGTGATGATCACCCCTCCACCACTAGGAGGTGCAGGGCTAGCGTCAATACCTTTGTCTGTAGAATCCGGACCTAATGGGAAAAACATCATGTCAAATGATCCAAAGATTAACAAAGATGCACTGTCCACGATCTACAACAAATTCAATTATTTTCTCCTGACAAATTTTGAACATGTATGTTTTTTGTTCTTTCAAAAGTGTCTTTTAATTCTATTTTTGGTCGTCAGCAACCCTCTGTTAAACGGCTTTCATTTTAGGTTTCTTCTGCACACAGACAGAGCTGCCCTGCAAGTTACTAACACTGATAGAGGCAGGAACCAATCTACCTTGCAAGAAGTGAATTATTTTTGGGCTACAAAATGATTCAAAAGTAGCAAGTATTTATTCATGTGATGTCTCATTCAAAAGTTAATATATTTGTAATGCTAGAAAAAAATAGCAATTTATAGAATTTAATATTCAGGGTAAAACTAATGAAAATAGCACAGGATCTACATCTTTTTTAAGTAATAGCATTTGGGGGTAGAATGAGATTATCATATTGCACTCAATGGAATTTGGGGCCTATCCGGTTCGTGAGTAAAAACGTCATACACACGCGTGCATCACTGATTACTAGCGCCCATTGGATAAACGCTCAAGTTACGTTAACTTCTGGCTCCATTTTCGCTATGCTACACCGTGTGAAGTACCCTGGTTAAGATAAGATGACGTTGCACTAACGAACCGGATGGGCTCTATGCGCCAACAAGAGAGGGCCCTTTTTTACCACTTCGATAACCCTGTGAACAGGACAAACTGTATATGTGTGTACTGGTTTGTGCGCGTCTGGCGCGAAGTATGCAAAACTCATTTTGTTTCTGAATACGCACAAAGCCATAGCGTCTTTGCGTGAGCATCAGGCATCATCGGCAATGCATTCAAATGTCACTCCCAGTGGTCTCCGCCAACTCTCCTCCCTTCCCTACCGTTTAGGGGGTACTTGTGCACGGAGCCCATAATGATACGTAAATTGCGCATCAGTGGTTCACAAGCTTTCAAAGCAAACTTAAAGGTACAGTCCATCATTTGTAATGTGTGCATTTTGTTCATTTGAAGCAACAAAAGTGCTCAAAATATTAAGAAGGCTGCTGAACAACTAACCTAATGGAGTTTCAGCTCAGCTTCAGCTGTATATGTACCAGTAGAGAAAAACAGCATTTCTAGGGTCTTGATTTCAAATCAAAAGTTGCTGAGTCATGTTTTGAATTGGGCCTGAATTCAGTGTCCGAGACTGTTCTCACTGAGCCGATTGCAGCTACGCGATGTCACGCACTGAACTGACGAATAATGGCAACTGCGCGCATGTACGTCATGTCTTTGGACGCAATGTTGGCAATGCCTTCTTTCATCGATTTCTTCAAAATGACAGCTTGCCAGAAAGAATAATTTCACAGGGAGTTTAGTCCCCTTACTATCTTTCAACCAAGTATGTTTTTCAAAACTAATTACGTCAGTTACTTTTTGGATGGCTGCAAATGATGGACTGTAGCTTTAACTTGGAAATGTAATAGACGAATCTGAGCAAAAGATGATCCACCGTGCACAACTGAACCCTAACTCCCTGGTGTCTTTTAACCAAGACCTGAAGTACTGAACCAAGTCCGCCAAAATCCATCACTGACCCTGCTTCACATGATGCTTTAAGACCCAATCCGCTGAAATCCACCACAAGACCACCTCAAGTACAGGTGGATTTTGACGAACTTGGTACTCATGGTTTGCCAACTAAAATCCCCCAAATGGGGGATGAATTTTGATTAAGTTGTGCAGGTTAGGGTTAATGGATGAAATTTTTAATGAAGAGATATAGTGTAAAATAGTTAAGTCACCAAACTCACAGAAAGTACCACAGTTAGGGAAAATGAAATCAGAGTGCCCCGTTTTTAAATTGACAGGGATTAAAAATTTAGTGTAAATAGTAAATAAAGCAAAATTAAATACAAAAAAGAAAAAAAATTTATAGCACACACCCATGGTTTCACCAATGTGAATTTCCACAAACACTGACAAATGAACAATGGATGTTCCAGTGTTTCCCCTGCCCATTCAAACGTGAGGTGGCCCACCTCAATTTTTGCCAATATCACCACCTCGCTGTGAAGATTGGCAAAAAAGGAAATACCAATTGAAAAATTTTCATTTTGTGTAATATATGAGCATTTTCCTTTACCGCCATGTATAAAGAACTCACAATTTCGATGTGTTTTTGGAATCATCGCGCATTTTTGTGAGCGCTGCATTCTTTTCAGTTTGCAGACTGTAAATTTCGTTTCAATCATCAACTTGAATTGTTACCACCTCGCTTAGTTCATTAGCCAGGGGAAACACTGGGATGTTCAATGGATTTTTTTAATGAACTACGATCCACAGAACCCAACAAGTACACCAGTAAACATAACATATATCTTGCATGTGTCAATGTGCAAAAACTTAGAGAAAAAAAATTTAAAAATAACATTTAGAAATTATATAACTTTTGTGAAAAAAGGTGCAAGTAATACTTGTTAATCTTTAGAAATAAAAAGTAGTATTTGTAATAATAATACTTCTTAATCTTTAGAAATAAAAAGTAGTATTTGTGAGGTGCTATTGCAGACTTAAAAAATAAGAAACCAAAACACCAAGTAAAATCTCAAAGACAATGTAAAATTTTACAAGGTCTTTCAATTCTCCATTCACCCGATCAGAATGCAAAAGATGGAGGATTTACCGGCACACTGCAACAAATTCAGGATATTGTTTCTCTATCTTCAGCAATAACACAAAGACGGAAAAGGAAACAGTTATGATATGAAACTGAAAATAAACAAAGTACACAATGGACACAATTACAGTGCAAGTCTCGACCACGGATCCTAGACACCAGGATAAACGACTGTTCTGAGCTCTAGTACAAAATGCACTGAGCGGACTTGCCTTAATTGGTTAGACGCGTGATAACGGGCATTAATACCCGTTGGCGCATAATCGCAAATTGTCCAGATGTGCCATTGTGTTGGGTTTTTGCATGACATCTTAAACAGAAAAATTCATTAAACTGTAAGCAAAATTATTTCTTATTTAAGATATAATTGTTCCAAATTATTTAACAAAATAAATACTTCAGGATATAACAGATGGTATTGTGCAGTTTTTGTCGTCATGGATGAAGTATTTACCCAGGAATAAACGTCAAATTTTGAGGAGAACACCGTTTACCCAAATTTCGTTTGTAACAAGGCTTTTATTAAAAAGTTTTAGAGAGATGTGATTCCAAACCGATGAAACAAAAGCGACATTTCATTGTTCATCTGAAAGCTTAAGATATTGTGCTCGGCGTTACCATGGTTATGTAGTTATCACTTATCAGAATTCAACAATAAAGACCAAAAACGTAGACTCATGAATATTCAAAAATATAATTCGCTGGCTTGACAGACTTCGAGGCCAGATCGGGCGCAGAGCCTTGCAAATCTGAAAGCCACCACGCGCAGTGGTCTTTGTTGAAAAGTATTCATGGTATTTGCCACGGGTACAGGCCGTTATGACGCGTCTTACCAAGAGTTGGGCCGAGTCATTAATCCTGGTGTCTAGGATCCGTGTCTAGACAGACACGGAAAACAAAACAAAAAGTGAAAACTTTGGGAGTCTGTATGCCAAATTAGAATGTTAATACAAGATGCATGAATAGATATAGGCTCTATGCGCCAACAAGAGGGGGCGCTCTTTGTACCACTTTTGACATCCCCATGGACCCCGCGTGTGCATACTGATTCGCGTGTATGGTGCGAAGTACACACGACTTTGTATTCTAAATGTGCACAAAGCCAGAGCATGTTCGCGTGAGCATCAGGCGTTGTCGGCAAAGTGTCCGAATTAATGTCTCTAACGATGGTCTCCCCCAACTCTCCCTTTCTTATCAGTGAGGGGGTACTTGTGCGTGGAGCCCATAGCAAAACATATTACATTTTTAAACACAAAACTGAGTTTTGTTTTTATCCAAAAAAAAATGGCAACTTTATTTTGTTTGGTTGTTACAATCAGTTATTTTAAAGTCTTTAAGTTTAAGTTGGAATTATCTTAATGTCATGCATGCCCCCCCCCAAAAAAAACCTGATACCTTACTTAATATATTTTTGTAAATAAGTGCTTCTTAATTTCACATTATCGTTGTCACATTAATGACATTTCGCATTTTACTGCATGGGATTTACAACTCCAATTTGGCATTTTCGACTCCCACTGTCTAGAACATATAGAGTGAGAGGTGCTTACACGGGGCAGGTGAAGCATTGCATGATGGGAGATGAGTTTGTGGAGCCAGCGTTGGTTCCAGAACTAAACTGCCTCTGTCGTGGTACTTCTGTACCATAAGCTTACCCTGAGCGGCGGGCTTCAAAGAGTTGCCGTCGGCCTGCTTGTCGTCTAGATCGGATTCACTGTGGACTTTGCTGGGGGGGGGGGGGGGGGAATGAACTCATTAACTTTTGTTTAATTGTGAATGGATGATGATTTCAACTTAAAGGCCTAGACCTTTCTTTTGTTTGTAAACATTGGCCCCATTTTATATGGGCTGCCGAAAGCGCATAAATTGACGTCGTGGTTGGCAACATATTTTTGCCCAAAAAAGTTCCCATAACGCCCTCAATACGTAGTAAAAAGGCATGTTTAGGAATTATGTTGTCGCTTTGTTGGCAATGTTGTATTTCCAACAATCAAATAACATTTTGGATATCTGTAATAACTCTTCTTCATTTTTGCAGTGTTGGACCTTCCTTAGTGTTTGGCAAAATGTGCAGTTTGCCAACCAAGCTTATAGAAAGGTCCGTTGACTGTTGGTTGACTCGTGTACAACTTGGTTGGTGCTGTGGTTCTTTCCTCGCCTTCCACCTCTATGACCCGAGTTCCATTCCTGCCCTGGTCCATGTGTGGATTGGTTTTTCAGTCCCTACCTGATTCCGTGGGTTGTCCACGGAATATTCTTCTGGGTTTTTTCCTGCCATGTCTCAAACTGTAAATCTTTGCATTGTGTTTTATCTGCAGGTTTCTTCAGGCTTGCGAGCTACAGAAATCCTTGGTTTCAATACCAGAAATCATGGGTGTCAATCTGTGGGGGATGGGGGGAGGACATGTCATCTCCGAATAAAAATTGTAGCCTACATTTGCTCTATGATAAATTACATGTAGGATAAATGTGGACAAAAAAATCTGCAATTTTACAGGATATGTGTACATTGTCATTCAAAAGTAATCAATAGAATTAAGCTCAAAGAATTCACACAAATACATCATGTTATATTCAAGCACAAACTTGACTAGTGCAAAACAGGTGCATTTTACAGATTGATTAATCCTGGGAGATCATTATCATAAGCTATTGATGTACCATGTGGCTAATGTTGTATAGAAGCTGCTACTGGTAGATGGATTTCTATTTTTAGAATGGGGCGGCTGAATAACCGTATCAACCAATAACATATGACTGCTTACATATGCGAGGTGCTACCATGGAAACGGTTGCTATGACGCAAGGCTTCATTGATCAGAGCAATTCTTCAAATAATACCATCAACTCTACCATTTTGTGAGATTTCTTGTTTCATATGGGGTTTTTTTTTCAGAAAATTCCTTTGGGGGAGAAAATTGACATTTTATGATTTTTCCCCGTTTGACAGACAAATTCCTCCCTTAAAATAGACACATTCAACTTACCAGGTTTCGTTCTTCTTTCTGACAAAGTAATATCCACCAGCTAATATTGCCAGGATTGCAAGTATACAACCGACCACAATACCCACAATGAGCAAAGCATTTGGTCCTAAGGGAATAAGGAAAAAGTATACATCATAAAATTATACACGTCACTTGTAACACCTTTTTTTTTAGGGGCCAATATGTGGATTGGGTTTTCAGTCCCTACCTGATTCCGTGGGTTTTCCTCAGAATATTCTTCTGGGCTTTTCCTCCCACCTCTAAAACTGTAATTTCTTCTCATTGTCTTCTCTCCACAGGTTTCTTCAGGCTTGCGAGCTACAGTGCCTAAGGCGCTTTTGAGGAATCCTTGGTTTCATTACCAAAAATGATTAATAATAATAATAATAATAACCAAAGATTTGAACACTTATAGAATAATGATGAGTTCTTACCAGGTTTAGGAGTAGGTTTAGGAGTGGTTTTAGGATTGGGTTTAGAAGTGGGAGTTGTTGACGGCAATGTGTCAGTATCATCTGCAAGGGAAATAGAATTACATGTAAATAAGTATCCTTCAAAAAAATTGCATGTTCAAAAAATACCTGCATAAACCTACCAGATCAAGGTATCATTTTCTTTAAAATCTACCACAAAGTTTTGGAGGAACTGACAGGATTTAGGGTTACACCTCTATGTTCCGACACCCCTATGTTCCGACTGCACATATTCCTATTCCTAACCCTAACCCTAACCCTAACCCTAACCGGGAGTAACACCATCTAGGTTGTCGGAACATAGGGGTGTCTGAACATAGAGCTGTCACCGGATTTAGGAATGCAGTGTCCTACTGCTGTTACTTAACGCAAAGCTTGATGTCACTGGCGTACAATGTAGCAACAATGTGGAAGGGGCTTTTACCAAATTATGACCCCAAAAACAGCACACACAAAAAGGGGGTGGGGGAGATAGAGGAGGGAGGCACTGCCGCACGTCTGATGTTTTGTGCTGATTGTGCACTCTGCAGACGGTCGGCTTGCACGTGGCCGCTTTATGCAGATGTGGCTTAATAATCATCAGTCTCAGGTCATTGTTTAGGTTCTGGCTTTGTCTCTGTCTCTGTCTCCATCCCTCCCCCCCCCCCCCCCTCCCCCACCCCACCCCAAGAAAACTTTCTAGCTATGCCACTGCTTGATGTCCCTTGAAAGTTGATGAGGGAATTGGGGTTGAAGAAAAAAATATGTACGTATGAATCACCCGCAAAATAAACTGGATGCGACTGCAGAGTGTTACGTGTTTCCGACCTAAAACAGACACATCAAAAACAACACTTTGTCCAGCATGCAAAAGGCCAACACAAACCATTGAACGCCCAAAGATATTATCAACTTGAAACATAAGTTCTGGAGTTTCAATACCTCCTACTCAGTTGGTATATTTTAACTACATAAAACAAACATCAAAACTCAGTCATCAAATGTGAGAGGTCTACAAATTTTGGATATTTGAGGAAGAAAAAGGAGAACATGCACATGCCAGTATGAGTTGTGTTTTGAAATGATTCTTTGTAAACAGGAACATTGAAAATACCGGTAATTGCATTTATTGTTTTGTTCATTGAAATAATTAAAGTTGCCTATGCCTGTGGTAACATGTACATGTATGGATGAGTGTGCATTTGTAAAGGGATATACAGGGTGAGTCCAAAAACTGCAATGATGCAAACGGAGCCATCTTTTTTTCAAAACCAAGTTGAAGTTTCAAACTTTTTACATGTAAGAATGACATATTCGTTAGTAACCTTGTGTGAAAAATGAAGGTAATGACATTTTACCGTTTTTCTTTTGTGAATCTTTTTACTGCGGTACCAGATTTAGGTTTGTGTCCTTAAGGTGTATAAAAATTGCATAAGAGAACAAAATGTGTCCCCCAGAGCCATTCTTTCCATGAGGTCTAGAGCTGAGACATGCATTGCCTTGCAGGGTTGCCAAGTAGCTGCGATTGTGTGAACAATGAAGGACACAGCAACTATAGTATAGCCCAGAGAAACGTTGCATAAGCACAAAGAAGTGAAACAGAAAAATAAACCGTGAGATACAGTTCGTTTAGTTTTAAATCTGTGTTGTCTATTATGTCTTCATTGTACCGTTTCCGCTCGTATGCAAAATTCTAATGCCTCGTGGACAAGAACGTAAATCGGGTACCGCAAGCAAAAAGGTTCATAAAAGACAAACGGTACATGCAATTAACTTCCTGTTTTCACACAAGGTTACTAACAAATAGGTCATTCTTACCACGTTTAAAAAGTTCAAAACTTCAACTTGGTTTTGAAACAAAGATAGCTCCTTTGCATCATTGCAGTTGTTTAGTCACCCTGGATAATGTGTACATGTACATGTATATCATGTGCGCATGTTGGTGCCGTGTAAATGTGAATGTGGTGGAATAAGATGAATCAGAAGAAAAACATGTTACCCCAAATTCTTGGTCAGACATCTAAAACTCAGAAAAATCTTCAGTTAAAATTTCAATTTTAACATGATGCAAAATGCATAATGCATGCATATTTTTAGTAGGAAAATAAAATCACCGCAAAACAAACTGCTCAAATAAAGTGTTAGTTTTAAAAAAACAATGCATTTTTTTTCTTGGTCAGTTCGTTTGAAACAAAACTTCTTTTAAGGGTTTACATCTTTGACTTGCTACATGCAGCATGGCTAAGGAAGAAAGCAGTACATGATGAACGTCCCTGGGAAAAAAGTAAATAGTAGTGGAAGAAACATTTATTTCAATGTTGCCATTTCCACACAATAAAATGTTACAATGCCGTGTAAACATATTATACAGAGCAAAATGCACGGAGTTATGTAATTGTGTATAATAATGTACATGGATCAATACTAGAACAAATTTACGACAACATTTAGGTATAAGGTGAAGCGTCACGCTTTTGTACCCTAACCTATCGACAGACAAGTGGACATGACCAAGAAAAACAGAGACAGTGACAAAGGACAAAATGGACAACAGTGAGACACACAAAGACACAACCTAGAAAAACACAAACTGGTATGAGACGAGGGCATACATCTAGAAATTATGGATCAACTGTAATGAATGTTTTTATGATAAACTCTCTCAGCGAGCAAAATGACTGACATGTGAGATGAGCTGTAAATACTGAATGATGCATAACTCATGAATGAGCATTTCAAACATTCCATGTTGGTGGTACGTAAGCGACCAAACTGTTTTCCAAAAATAAGTAGGGTGGACAACTCGTTCACATATTTCCCATTCTGACACATATGCAACATGTTCTGGCAAGATTGCACAGAACTGATTAGGGGTTGGGAAGTGAGTTTGAGTACAGGAAGTGAAACAAATTGTCTTCACAAAATTTCTGTAATTTGGAATTCCATTAAATTGTGAATTTCCCAGCTTTTTACGTTGTCCTCCTCCAATGGTATAAAAAGAATACATTATTTGCTTTTGCTGGGTTTTTTTCAGAAATTGATATATTATTGCAAATATTGTTAAACTATTTTGTTTGAATGTTTGTTTTTGTTGATGCTGGAAAAACCAAGAAAATCAATCATGTTCTTGTAGTCTGGTTCCCTGACCCTATTTAAGATGAAACGGAACAATTTATAGACGTCCGGGAATTGTTAAGGTCTAGCTGTAAGTACTAGCTGGCTTGTACCCATTCATAAGTGTGTAATCGATCGCAAACAAAATGCAGTCTAATTAAATATGGTAAATTGGGGGGAGTATTGGAAAAACAACACATTTTTTTCCAATGCTGGTCGGCCGACCAATGCGGACCAAATGATGTACATGCTGACAATCCATTTTTAATTCATGTACATATATATGAATTTTCATCATCACAAATTTGTAAGTGGAACATAAGGGAAAACCAAAGTAGCCACCAATTTTGTCGTGAGGGTTTCCCTAAACAATTCCCAGCACTTTAAATGAAAATAACATTCCCTGAATTGTCCCTGAGTGATATTTCCCCAAGAAATTTCCAACGTCCTGTGAGAACTATTTTCACTTTAACAAGTTTCCTGGCAAGTCACGAGGTGGTTGCAGCAAAGCAACTAAGATACTGATTACACACGGGCAACTTGTCTACAAGCGATGTCCTCCCTTCTCCCCTTATAGCCATCCTTTCCTCAAACAACTTGGCACAAGATGCACAAATTCCCTGAGTTTTCCCTGACTAGCTTTCCCCCTAATTCCCCAAGTATTCCCCGACTGGAAGAATAGCAAATGATTTTCAAGGTTTTCCCTCATTTCCAGAGCGCTTCAAGGAATCACCTCACCGAAAAACACCCTCATCCTGAAAGAAACAGGGTGGTCTCAAACTTTGCATGTTGGTCACCTAAATATACATGTAGCCAAGATCATGTCCATGGTGATATTCATGAATTCAAGGGGGGGGGGGTTTGGGGGGGATGACATGCATGAGATGCCATGATTACAGCAAGCCAAAAAGGAGTGTGGTCAGAAGTATAAACTTTGACCTCTCACCTGTGCCAGTATCAGTATCTGGGACAGAACTGGCAGTTTTGCCAGTATCTGTGAGGGGTGATGAGCTCACCGTTGTCGCTACAGAGGCTGCAGGCTGCTCAGTAACTGTTAAGTATTTACAGTTAGGGGATTAACAAAAATGCTAGTCTTTGGCATAATACATGTAGCCATTAGACCACAGCAAAAAGGTTCATAACTGGTAAAAGCAATTAACTTCATTTTTTCAAACAAGGTTACTAACAAATATGTCATTCTTACAACGTTTAAAAAGGTCAAAACTTCAACTTGGTTTTGAAACAAAGATAGCTCCTTTGCATCATTGCAGTTTTTTTAGTCACCCTGTATAATGTGTTTACATGTACATGTGTATCATGTGCGCATGTTGGTGCCGTGCGGATGTGAATGTTGTGGAATAAGATATATCAGAAGAAGTAAATGTTACCCCAACTTCTTGGTCCAGACATCTAAAACTCGGAAAAAATCTTCATTTAAAATTTCGATTTTAATATGATGCGAAATGCATAATGCATGTAAGCGACCAAATTGTTTTCCAAAAATAAGTACGGCGGACAACTTGCTCACGCAAAACGTGTGTTCACCGTCGATCGTGGACGTCCTATTGTCCCTCTTTTGTTTGTACTCTAAACTTTTTAGGAAGACTCCCATAGGTTTTGTACACGACCCCAATCCGGACGTATGCTGGGAATCGTGGACGATATTGTTCTCTTTTGTTCTCTGGTAATTTTCGTCCACAGTTTGAAAAGATGAACACGTACACACATTTCCCATTCTGTCGCATATGTGACATGTTCTTGCAAGATCGCACAGAACTGATCGGGGTTGGAAGTGAGTTTGAGTACAGGAAGTGGAATGAATTCTCTTCACAATGTTTCTTGTTCAAAATTTGTTTCATTTGGAATTCCATTAAATTGTGAATTTCCCAGCTTTTAATGTGACCCTTCTCCGATGGTTCAATGGTGGGCAATGCCATGAGACGGTGGACATATTCGAAAAGCGGACAATTTAATGAAAACATCAGAAATGTAAGCATCACAACCTCAAATCAGGGTTCGAACTTCACTTTTTTTGTATCACTAGGCAGCTGAGCTACTGAAACGGACTCTTAACTAGCCCGCAGGCATTTTCACTAGCCCGCATGTTTTTCTTTTGAGTGCCTCATAAACAACAATGTGCGTACATGCACAACGTGTATCCTGAGGCAATCTTGCCAGTGTTTTTTTTTTTTTTAATCTAATAACTTAACCCTAAACAATTAATAAAATTAGACACAAATTGATACAGGTTTGCTTTCGGAATGTAATGATTTATTTCTTCTCGTCCTTTCGTTTTTGCCTTAGCCCAACAGTTTTTGACTCGCCAGCTGGGCTACTTTATAAGGTAAAGCCCGCCGCTGTTTTTACTAGCATTTGGCTCGTAGCTACCGCTAAAGTCGAACCCTGCAAATGTGGTATCAAATTAAAGGGAACAACAAGAGCTTTCATTTGAGAGATGTGCCAGTGAAGATGGAATATAGTCAAGGTTTTTGGCTAAAATTATGGATTTTAAGTAGTTATTTTGGCACCTTGGTTTTACATGCAAATTAAAATGCAAGTGTTATTGCAATTTTTTTCTGTTCCCAGGCAGAGAGAGCGATTAATTTTTTATGTCAAAAGAGGTTTTTTTGTGAGATTATAATTTTCTTGTGAAATTGTAATTATGTTTTATCTTGTGTACCAAAGAAGAGTGGACAAACTGTAGCATGAGTTACCGTAACAAGAAATACATCCCTCTAGATTTTTGTTGTTTTTAATAATTGTTATGGCAGCATATGACTTTAACCCTAATGATGTAAGGGCACTGAAAGATTTTGCCAACAGTCCACAGCATTAGGAAATTTTGAAATGCAAGGTACGTATAAATTGTTTACCATATGTTCATTTTTGTGTAACGTATTACCGATAAAAAACTTATTGCCAGACCGACAGAACTATATTTTTTTGTCTTTTTTGTAGTTTCGGAGAAAAAAAAAAGGCTCTGGTTTCTGGTATGCGCGCGCGTCGCCGCAGCCATGCACGTCGGCAAAATGAAAAAGTTTTTTTTCAATGAAAGATGATGTCTCAAAATCACCAAACTCACTGGTTTGACTGGAATCCTGATGCTGCACAATTTTAACGTGTTTTTAGATGGGGTTACGATCGAGTATAAGCTTTATGTGGCCTCACTGGACTCCCATACATTTGCACTTAGTTTAGTCGGGCACCATTTGCAGTCATCAGCTGACTGAAGAAGGAAAAAACAGTAAAAAAAAAAAAAGCTGCGTCACTGCACCACTTTTTGGGCAAGCTCCATACCAGAAACCGGAGACTTTTGGGGGGGCCTTAGTTCCTTAATTTCAAGGGATCTTCTGCGAGAACAATCCGCCCTAAATATAAATTTACAAGGTAAAACGGTACAAAGTTGAAGGAACATCCCTTCTAAATGTATGAGTTACCATGGAATTTCCCCTATACAAGTTCTCATCTTCAGTTGATGGGCTACATGACCAAATTATGTACATGTTTTCAGGTGACCATCCAATGCATGTGGATAATATGGATTTTCATCACCACAAATTTGCAAACGGAATACGAGGGAAAACCACAGTAGCCACCAATTTTGTCGTGAGGATTTCCCTAAACAATTCCCAGCACTGTAAAATAAATAAAAACAACATTACCTAAATTGTCCCTGATATTTCCCCAAGAAATTTCCAACGTCCTGTGAGAACTATTTTCACTTTAAGTTTCCTGGCAAGTCACGAGGTGGTTGCAGCAAAGCAACTAAGATACTGATTACACACGGGCAACTTGTCTACAAGCGATGTCCTCCCTTCTCCCCTTATAGCCATCCTTTCCTCAAACAACTTGGCACAAGATGCACAAATTCCCTGAGTTTTCCCTGACTTGCTTTCCCCCTAATTCCCCAAGTTTTCCCCGACTGGAAAAATAGCAAATGATTTTCAAGGTTTTCCCTCATTTCCAGAGCGCTTCAAGGAATCACCTCACCGAAAAACACCCTCACCCTGAAAGAAACGGGGTGGTCTCAAACTTTGCATGTTGGTCACCTAAATGTACATGTAGCCAAGATCATGTCCATGGTGATATTCATGAATTCAGGTATTTTTTTTGGGGGGGGGGGATGACATGCATGAGATGCCATGATTACAGCAAGCCAAAATGGAGTGTGGTCAGAAGTATAAACTTCGACCTCTCACCTGTGCCAGTATCAGTATCTGTGACAGAACTGGCAGTTTTGCCAGTATCTGTATCTGGGACAGAACTGGCAGTTTTGCCAGTATCAGTACCTGTGACAGAACTGGCAGTTTTGCCAGTATCTGTGACAGAACTGGCAGTTTTGCCAGTATCTGTGAGGGGTGATGAGCTCACCGTTGTCTCTACAGAGGCTGCAGGCTGCTCAGTAACTGTTAAGTATTAACATTTAGGCGATTAACAAAAATGCTAGTCTTTAGCATAATACATGTAGCCAATTGTTGGGACTTGCGACAAGACTTGATTGAAACTTGACCCGAGACTCGTCTTCATTTGGACGTTTTTCTCGACTTGACTTTGGACTTGATCTGCATTTTGGGACTTTATCTTGACTTGACCTGGGACTTGATCTTTATTTGGAGACTTTATCTTGACTTGACTTGGGGACTTTATCTCGACTTGACTTGGGACTTGATCTTTATTTTGGGACTTTATCTTGACTTGACTTGGGGACTTTATCTTGACTTGATTTGGGACTTGATCTTTATTCGGGGACTTTTTCTTGACTTGACATTGGACACGGTCTTTACTTGAGGACTTTATCTTGACTTGACTTGGGACTTGATCTTTTTGGGGGGACTTTATCTTGACTTGACTTGGGACTTGATCTTTATTTGGGGACTTCATCTTGACTTGACTTGGGACTTTATCTTGACTTAACTTGTGGGACTTATCTTTTTTTGGAGACTTTTTCTTGACTTGACTTGGGACTTGATCTTTATTTTGGGACTTTATCTTGACTTGACTTGGGGACTTTATCTTAACTTGATTTGGGACTTGATCTTTAGTGGGGACTTGATTTTTATTTGGGGACTTGACTTGACTTGGGACTTTAGATGAAAATCCTGTAGAGATTTAGATGGTTTACCTGAGCAATAGACAGAATTTTGAGGACACAAGTGATGATTTTGAACTTCATATTCCTAAAATAAAATCATGCTCGTTCATGATTAACATTTGATGAAATATGCAAAAAATGAAACACACAGCAATACTTCTGAATGGCACAAAATGGAACAATATCGTTTATATACTCTTCATGTTTCTTGTAATGTTTAAGATCAATGAGTTGGGACCTGAATGAGACTTGCTCTCGACACAATCTGCTGATATGATAAAGATACAGTTTCACAAAAAACATCCACAACTTCACCACATTCAAGTTTGTCAACTCGATTTCCTACCTCCTGGGAGGCTGCCATTTTCTGAAGTTGATGAAGCATTTGTTGGTGATGCGGCAGGCGAAGAAGCAACCACTTCAGTGGTCAAATTATGCGGCCACAATGAGGCCGTGCTGTTTATTGGCTGATGAGTGGCTGTGGCTGATTTGCATGTAATGAATATCCATTAGCAGGTTACAAATTTATGCAACTGTTTTTTTGAGCAAGCAATTCTTTTCTAGTTCTATCCATGAAAACAGTGACCGACAGACATTTTAAAAGCTTTCGATCTAAAAATGGTAAAAACACAAACAAATAGAACCAATGAAAGCCACATGTAAGTAATATATGGTGGGATTGAGATGGTACGTGGGTAGGGATGCATGGTGCATATTAAAGCAAGCTTTAAGCTCATATTCCACTGTACATTGACAATATTTTTCTTAAACGCAGGCCTATGAACAATGTAGCTATGACAATTTGTACATGTATGCGTTCAGCATTATCACAATTTTCCAACAGACCACAAGAGGCAGCAACTACACATACACTCAACCCGAAAGAAGAAAGTCCCCCCTAATACTTGTTTGTCTAACTCAAAAACTACTGGGCTCCTCTCGCTCAAATAACGACTGATCAGTACAGAAATTCCTTAGCAATCCAGCCATACTCTTTGTTTTGCACAAAATAGCGATGAAGTCTACAAAATTATGCAATTTATGAAAAATGATACCAAAAAAGCAATGCACTTTTTGTATACGTGCAAGTTGAGTGTGAACATTTCCTCTCTAACGCAATCCTCCAACACAAATTTCCTAAAATTAATTTCAAAATTTGTTGGTTATCTTTTCACCTTTTCCTTTACTGCATACTTTTCATGTTCTTCGAGGTTCAGTAAAGGAAAGGGTAAAACGATAACCAACAACATTTGAAATTATTTTTAAAGAATTTTTGTTGGAAGACGAAAAGTTTAGTGTTGAGTGTGAACATTTTGTCTCAATTTTGTCACGAAATGCTCACACTGAACTTGCACGTATACAAAAGTGCAACTTATTTTTGGTATCTTTTGTCATAAATTGCATAATTTCGTACACCTTATCACTGTTTTGGCCCAAATAAAGAGTAGCTGGATTGCTGAGGAATTCCTGTACTGATTAGTAGTTTTTGAGTTGACAAAAAAGTATTGGGGGACTTTCTTTTTGGGTTGAGTGTATGTACCAGAAATGTTGTCATGCCATTTCCCATGGAAAAAAAAGTTCTGAATTTTTCCAGTCGTGGGATATCATCTCACCAAAGATGAAACACAGTCTGATAAATAATTCTTGGAACGTACAGTTCATGCCTCCACATTTTGTTGACAGCAATACAATTTTGCGGACAAGAAAGAACAATTGGGCGGTGTCGAACTCCAACCTGCCCTACCTCCCCAACCAATAGCAATGCTTTTGAATAAACGTAACTAAATCCAAGTTGCAATGGGGTCATTCTAATTCAGATCAAGTTGTAGAATAAGTAAACAAGAGTTTCTTGGCAAACGTCTTTTGTAAACATGTGTAAACATGTGCGGCAACTTTGTAAGGATTGCATTTCTTTCGCGGTGTCCGCTACTTTAATGTGAATGGAAGTCAATATAGGAAGTTCTTTGTGTGGTTGTGTTACACGTACAGCAGCTTCGTGTGCCAGAATGCGAGAAGCATTTTGTTTCAGAATGTTTGTGTGTGGGATGTGGTAAAGCAGCATCCTTTAAACATAACAAATTTTGGATCATATTAACAAATTGTTAACCATGAGCATTTTCACTGAAACCGATATGGCTAACTTCCTAGTATGCGAGTATAATTCGTGCCCGTTTCACTTTTGGGTAATTCCAGTGCCACAGACATTACAAATCAGACATTTCTTTGGTTTTGTACTTTTGGGAGCTCAGTAGATTAATCATGGTTAATTGGATATGTCATGGACGTTATAATTTTTTTTTTTTTATGAAATTTAATGGCCCTGACAGAGCTTAACCATGAATATCTAATTAATTATTCAGAGGAATGATCCAAAATTTCTAGTCTGTAATCTCCTTGACCATTAACCCTAACCCCGTGGGTATTTTTACTAGAAAGTATCCTGAATCTGCCAAAATCCACCAATTTTGCCATGCAAAGAAAATGTTGGTGGCAAGTGAGTCCATCAGAATCCACCAGTTAGCCAGGAGTAAATCAGTGAGATCCTGAATCCATCAAAGCCCCCAACTGCTCAATATGGAGGTATCCTGAATCCATCAAAATCCTGCAGTACTGCTAGGCTTACTGTCCTGAATCCATCAAAATGCCCCAACTGATTCCACCAAAATCCTTCAAAACAGGGATGTGGATTTTGATGGATTTAGGTACCGGTACGTTAGGGTTAAGCCTGGTTTCCACAGCGACCTTAAGCTTACGCAGACTGCGCAGACAGTACGCGGAACAGTCGGCCAGTCGTCTGCCAGGTAGTTTGCGTCTGTCTGAGTTGTCGGCGACACTTCAGGATGAAATGTTTCCACATGGCAGTGTTGCAGTTTGGGTCCTGTTTGTGCTTCACTTTGCATTTCGTACGTCGATATGGAAACTAGGCTTTATGTTATGGTGGATGTACATAAGATTTGAAAGATACATTTTGTGGTTTATTCACTGAGCTCCTGAGGTAGAAAATATTGTCTATAATTTGTAATGTCTGTAACGCTGGAATTGCCTTTTTCTCAAGTATCAAGGTTTCCTAAAACACTAAATATATAACCCGATTGGGTTTTTTTCCATTCATTTGTAAATCTCCGGTGTTTGAAACTAACTTTGAATTCTGTATCCTGATAAATTTCATGTTTTTCAATGTATATCCTTCTTGTTTTTCACTCTTCTATGCACTAAACTGAGTTTAACCATATTCTCCTTCATATTCTATTTTTGCTGTGGAAGCCGAACAAAAGTAACACTTATAGACAAGGAACTGAAGTGCGCTGACTGCAAAAGTGATTCAAATGAGGAAGTGGTATCTGCGAAATAATTCAGAAGCAATGTTGGCATATAGACATGACTCTCTTTGCCAGAAAAATGTGGGCGTGTGATGCTCCAATTTATGAGGAAACGAAAGAGAAAAGGAAAAGATAATGTACATTAACATCACAATCAGAAACTACAGTGAGAGCCATAACAGTTGGGTCGTTCTGTAAATTTAGGGTCCAAAGTGTGACATTTCTGATGTGCCTTTTAACTTGGCACTTTGCCATTTGCCATTCAAGTAGGCCCTATCATTAAAATTGGCTTCAAATGATTATTTACTTGTTGGGTAGGTAGTTTGCTATTCATAATCACTCTTGGAGGCTAGGGAGTGCATCGGAATGATTAGGACATGGATGTCGGATGTAACAGGGACAGGAAAAAAAGTGGACTCTAAATTTATAGAATGACCCAGATATATAACGAGGAAATATAACGTAGATGCATATCACAAAACTTAAACAACATTGATAGCAGGATACAGGCCAAAGGGCACACCGGCATGTACCAGAAATGAAACCATTGTACTTCCCTAATGATCGTTAAAGTGAGCTACCAATTATTTTACACTACCAGCACTTAGAAACTTAAACACCAACCAGTTTCGGTTCAATAGGACATTTTTCAGGGCAAAGAGGGTATGTGGTAAATAATAGGGGCGGAACCGATGTGCAAAGTGGGAGGGACATTTTAATTTTTTTTTGGGGGGGGGTGTTTAAGGTATTTTGTAGAAAAATAAGAGAGGGCTGGGTGATTTAGAGAGAGGATGGAGGATTTGGGGAAAAAAAATTCTGGGTTGAGAGAGTCTGTGGAAAATATGAATGTCATGGCGGAGGAACCAATATATACATGAAGCTGTCACATGAAGACATGCACCTTCCACTTACATCGGACTTCAAATGATGTGGTAATGGGCGGGGTCGAGGGCGTGGTCAAGGGCGTGACCAGAATACCACCTATAGTGGTGGCCACGGGTGGGGTGGCGGTCCTAACTTCGTCAGTGTTTAGATCTTGGGTGGTGGCTGCCATTAATTGAAACAATGGGCATTCACAATGCAAAATTAGCAAGAACCCTGATTTGAAAGGGAAAATTCGAGAAAAGTCACTGATGAATTGAGAGCAGAGCACTACACAACAGTGCAAGTAGATGTTCTTTCTTGTGTTGGAAAACCCCACAAAAGTACTACGAGGATTTTGCTGCATAGCATGTGTTTTTAGCAAGAAAGTATTGATTGCAAATGGAACAGTTCAGAAAAGTGATTGCATACTGAAAAATTGATAAACAATATACGGTAGTCAAAGCAAATGTAGATTTTCTCTTTGCGTGTTGAAGAAAAGTACAACTACAAGAAAGTTTCTGCTACACAAGTGCACTAAGTCAATGCAACAATATATTAACTTAAATTGCTGCCAGGTTTTTTCTTCCGTTTTTAAATACCAAACGGTACTTTTCGGACAATTGCAACACTTGCAACATGTAATAAAAAGGTCTTACTGGACGTGACAGTAGCGGAGTCTTTCTCGGTTGTCAGGGGTCTGCCCTGTGTATTGCCCTGGGGTGTCCCCTGGGGTGTGCCCTGTGTATTGCCCGGGGTTGTGCTGTAGGTTATGGTCCCAGTCGAAGTTGTGAAATCTGCACACATTTCATGTAATGTTAGTACATAGCAGTTTGTTATTTGGTCAGCTGCTTTTCAGTACATTTTTTTTCTCCTTTGTTTTTAGCCCTGACTCACATTTCCTGTTCAGTATAAGGCCAAACATTTTCGTTTCCATCCAATAATTCCAGATGTTTCAATTGTTTTGTTGCTAAATTAAATAGCATCGTCATGCCTGCATGAGAAATTTCAGAATGTTATAAACAGAAAAGGGTGCTTAGAATCTGAAATAAAACATAGCTGAACCTGTGCAATTACAGAGTACATGTAGTATCGTTATCGTTAGCAATTAGTAGTTACCATGGTTACAGGGAATTAACTTGCATACAATAGGGACCATGACGTGAGTGATCCAAATTTAGATGCATATTTCTTGCACTCGCAACGTTTTTCATGCTACCGTGTTAAAACTTGCAATAACCATTTTTTTTTGGGGGGGGGGGCTATTGTGTAACAGTGCTATTGACAACTTGATATCATATTGCCTGATGAACAGGGGTAATTGTGAAGGGCTTTGAGACCTTTGGTATATAAAGCGCTGTATAAGCACTATATTATTATTATTATTATAACTCATTCATGAATTTTTTTCTGTTTATCTGCATCTGTGGAGAATTTTTAGCACAGGTCAATGTCATACATAATGGGCTGTATTAAGTGTTCCATAGACCCTAGGCACCAGTGTTCCTTAAGCCCTTCTCTTCCCATGGCTCGTATCCGGCACCAATTTCACAGCTATGGTAAGCGCTGGAGCCTGCCATTCAAGCTAAATGCTAATAAGCTAAGCAAGCCACGCCAAACTGGTAGCTAAAGCCTGTACAATGTACATGTATTGGGTTTGCTTGCTTCGTTAACAGTTAAATGTAATACGTATTAGGGTTCTTGGTCAGCTATGTATTAGTTTGAAGCTTTTCCAAAATCGGAAACTCATTCAGAGATATGCTAAAACTTTTCTCGTGTCTGCGTTGATTTGTGCATTTGTTTATGGTGTAAATCGAAGACACACAACTGCAACATCATCGATGAATTAAGGACATGCAGGAACCAAATCGAGGATGACATTGATTAGAAAACGTGTACAAAACCAATGAGTGCTGTTGCAAAAAAGTTACAGAGTATAAACAAAAAAGGAAAAGGAAGAGGAACAATAGAAAATCCTTGATTTACACCATAAACAAACGTGTCTGTGTGGGCATGTGTGTTTTATGGCACACTGGTATTTTTGTAGGCCCTCAAATTTTGCGTGGGCCCCAAATTTTTCATAGGCCCTAGGCACAGTGCTTCGATACACATGTGCCTATTGGATAATCCGGCCCTGAACATATCACCCTGTATCCGCCAAAACTTGTAGCCAGGAAAAAAAAAAAATTGGTAATTTTCTGGATAGACGTAGTATTGGGTCCGACATGAAAAGGACTTAAATTGGGAAGTGTAACCTTTGACCTCTCACCTTTGACTGTATTAGAATCGGTAGTAATGTCAGTACCTGTGACTGATGACGTACCGGTAGTGGATTCTGCCGTCGAAGGCTGCTCCGTGGTCGTGACTGTATTTAGGCAATTTAAATAAACGCTATAGTCTTTGGCGAAATGCAACAGCATCGGGATATGACACTGAATCACAATTTACAAGATGTTACTGACAGCGATTTTTGGCAATTTTGAGTAATCACATTCAGCATGTTGACTGCAGTCTCGATGGAATGCATGAATGTCAAAACAAAAACTAATACGATATGCAAACCACTTGTAAATCTTTCCTCTTCAAATTGCTGGAGATTTGCCATTAAATTCCAAATGGCTCCACACAAAAAAAACAACTGAAAAACAGGAGGAATAAAGATCCGAGAGTTCCTTCTAAAATCACACTTTTCCTGATTTCAGGATTTTTGACTGGATTTTTCATAATTTCAGGATTTTGAACGATCTTCCCGTAATTTTTGAAATCTGGAAATTCCCTGAGGTTTTACCATAAAGGTGTTTTTACCAATAAAAGTATAAAACAAGGTATGTTAGGGGTGTCTTTAGGCAAACACAAACATACATCATGGACCTTAAGTTGCTATGGCGTCTCCGGCAACCCTCGGACCCTCTGATTTGCCATAAAATTAAGATCACTCAATCTCATTCTTGTCTACTAAACTGAAACATTTATGTTAACTAAAATTAATCACCACCATGCGTACTCGCAAAAGTTGGTTTGGATTGAATGATTTGGACCAGACAGTATAGAGATTCTACAGTAGAACATCATGCAGTTGGTAAAAATTAATAACAGCAATTACTGCATCACCATTTCTATGGTTATATACGTACATGTACATCTTCAACAGAATTATCCTATAACATGTACACGTACGTATAACATTAATTTCATGCCATATTCCAAAGTGAGACGGTCCGTATGTTTGTGTATACATGTCACCATGACTACTTATTGACAACAACACAATGCGGTTCTGATAGCACATATCATGTGATCGCAACAATAAAACAGAATACAAATGATTTGAAGCACTTGAGTTTGGTTCATAGTTTACATAAAGAAGCGCAAATAGGAGCAGAGTCCAATAAGGCCACAAAAAAAAGTCTCCGGTTTCTGGTATGTGCGCACGTCGCCGTAGCCATGCGCGTCGGCAAAATGAAAAAGTTTTTTTTCAATAAATGTCTCAAAACCGCCAAACTCACTGGTTTGACTGGAATCCTGCTGCTGCACAATTTTAATGTGTTTTTAGATGGGGTTATGATCGAGAATAAGCTTTATGTGGCCTCTCTGGTCTCCCATAATATTTGCACTAAGTGATTTAGTCGGGCACCATTTGCAGTCATCAGCCGACATTTGAAGGAAAAAAAAACGGTAAAAAAAAAAAAAGCCGCGTCGCCGCACCACTTTTTAGGCAAGCTCCAAACCAGAAACCAGAGACTTTTTTTTTGGCCTAAAGTACCTTTATCATTCATTTTTTTTTGCATCGTAGGTGACACATATTTTTCCTTTGAAAAATCAATTTACACAGAGCACAAAAGACATCGAAACCATATACATGTACCCCCCACAGCAAAAAAATATTTTTAGACACTTCAAAACAAAATTTGATCTGCACTAGGCTACTGCAGGATGCGAACATTTGTAGCTTGATTGGTATCATAAATAGAATAAACCTGTGGTTTTATACGGAACTGATAATTATTTTCTCTTCCAAATGTTTAATGGCCTGCGACTTCCTTTTTAGGCAATACTGCATTTGTCTAAAATCTCTTTGTTTTAGACAAAAGAATGATTATTTTTACAGTTTCAGATATGCCAATGAATGGGCAAAACATGTAGGCCTATGTAAGTGATGTTCATTCTATTTTCAAATTCACAGTGATAAATTAATGGAATCTGATTCATACACGTACATTTTATTAACCCTAACCTTCCCAAAAGTTCTCCTTAATCCTCCTTGAATAAGTGAAGGATTTCAAAGGATTGAGGCTATATGGCAAAACGTGTGGCTGATTTTGGAGGAAGCACTGTGTCAAGGTCTTAGACCGTACCTTGTGCAGAAAAAAATGCTCAGCCGTGCATAAATTCAGGCCCAGATTATACTTGAAATCCTCCACTCTGCTCCAGGATGTCACTGGCTCTGCCTCAACATATTGACAGTGATTGCCGGAGGATTTTGCAGGATTGAGGCAGTACGTGGTCACCCCTCCAAGGACCACATTCAAGAAATAAGGGATGACTTTGAAAGAATAGGGCTGTATTCAATTTTTACATGCAGGCAGTTGGAGGATTTTGCAGGATTGAGGCTGTATGCAATTTTTAAATGGAGGCAAACAGTTGGAGGATTTTGCAGGATTGAGGTTGCATCCTAGCAAAAATGCCTAGGGTTAATAAAAAGGTCAATGTATAAAACACAAGAAATAAAATTAAATTCATACTTTATAGTTTGTCAATTTTAAAATGAAGGCACTAATTGTGATGGTTCAAATTGTGCACAAAATTATTTCCCAGCAATTTTTTTCCAGCAAAAGAGCATTATTTAAAAAAAAAAAGAAGGTTGGCTATACATGTAATACAATTCAGCACACGCACTTCCTTCGCACATCTGCGTGTTACGGTACTCTACCTCATTATTCATGAGCAGCTGCTGGCCATGTGCAGTAATGACTTAGGAACAAGCCTTGTTGTCATGGCAACCATACATGTACATTATGCAGGCACAACAATGCCCTGGGCATCTTGGTTATTTGGATTGAACGTGAAGGTGATAGAGAAATCCAGTACAATACAGCAAACAACCGCACCAATGTGTCAGAATTAAGCGCTTTTATATTTTCATGATAGCTAGACCTACACCTCTCCCCCACCCAACATGCACAACTGCAAATTACGGTTAACCCTAATTTCCAAAATAAATATATTAAAGTTGGTATATAATGCATAGTTTTTCAAAATTTCGATTTTCTTTTCCGAACGAAATTTAAAAGAATAGGGCCTATAATGTCCTGCAACAAATAAATGTGCTTGTTTGTTTTTGCAGGCCTATACAGTTTTAACAAGTGCTTTTAAATGGTGCGCTCCAGTTTAGAAAGTTTTGAGAGAAATGCTATATTCATATCTAGTGACGTATCAGCTCATACATTATGTACAATGTACATGTATGTTAATTTTGGGAACCACACGTTTGTGTATACATTCGTCTGGTTTGCCAATCCTAGGTTCGCGACACTGCTCCGTGATCATAGAAGGCCTACGTGCAGCCAGGCCGGCCTGGCTTGACTACACTCCTACGTTCTATCAGAATCTCTGCTACTTTTCCTCTCACTGGATCGCAAACATGTTGTTTTCCAAGTTTTGTTTTACGGCACGACACTGTGTATACGCACTGTGTATACGTACATGTGCACATTACGTACAGTTAAGCTGTACAGCTGTTGAAATTATTATTCATAAACTGCGCAAAAGTGCATGCGCACACTACCGGTAGGTCATACTGGCTTCAGAAGGAATAAGGAGCATCCTGCTCTTAATTCAAAAATTGAAATTAATTGATTAGGCCAAAGAAAAAGTCTCCGGTTTCTGGTATTTATAAGCACGCGTCGCCGTAGCCATGCGCGTCACCAAAATGAAAAAGTTTTGTTTTTTTCAATGAAAGATGATGTCTCAAATCCGCCAAACTCACTGGTTTGACAGGAATCCTGCTGCTGCACAATTTTAACATGTTAAATTTTAGATGGGGTTACGATCGAGTATAAGCTTTATGTGGCCTCTCTGGACTCCGATATATTTGCACTAAGTTTAGTCGGGCACCATTTGCAGTCGTCAGCCGACATTTGAAGAAAAAAAACGGTAAAAAAAAAAAAAGCCGCGTCACCGCACCACTTTTAGGGCAAGCTCCATACCAGAAACCGGGGACTTTTTTTTGGCCTTACTTGTCATGGCCCATTTTTCCATTCAATGTCTCATGGGAAAGCTCATAACTAATGTAATGCCAGAAAATTATCAATTCAATTTGAAAATCTATTTTTAAGGTGCCACACCCAAAAAGCTTTTACATACACCAACTTTAATGCTCTTGCTAGTTTTACGGAAGTCGACACAATTTGTGCACACCTGTCATTTGTCAACCTTATTGTTGTTCTTGAACTTTACCCCTTTTAAAACAAAAGAAATCCTTCTGTGCCATGAATCACAAAGAAAATAAGTTCTACTTCAATAAAAAGTAGGATTTTATAAGCAATAAAAGTAACCAAAAAAAATATATATTTTGGGAAATTGTCTCCAGGATTTGATCCCAGCTCCTCTAGCTTTCAAAAGGTCAATTTGTTCTTTTCTGCTAAGGACGAAAGGAATTTGAAACCTCACATACATTTGTAATGTTATGTTGCCATCCCATAACTACAAATTACAGCTTCTGTAAAAAGAGCCACTTCAAATAAATAAACATAAATAAATACATCAGAAAAATTCTTGGATGACCTGACTAGCTATTTTAACCTTTAAGATGCTTACATTAATTATGGGGATAACTATAAGTGTTATCATTTGAAAATAATCAATACTAGAAAAAAAATACATGTGTACAAATATACAATAATAAAGATCCAACATACTAAGGCCAAAAAAAAAAGTCTCTGGTTTCTGGTATGGAGCTTGCCCAAAAAGTGGTGCGGCAACGCAGCTTTTTTTTTTTTTTTTACCTGATTTTTTTCCTTCAAATGTCAGCTGATGACTGCAAATGGTCCTCGACTAAACTTAGTGCAAATACATGGGAGTCCAGAGAGGCCACATAAAGCTTATTCTCGACCATAACCCAATCTAAAAACACGTTAAAATTGTGCAGCAGCAGGATTCCAGTCAAACCAGTGAGTTTGGCAGTTTTGAGACATCATCTTTCATTGAAAAAAAAACTTTTTCTTTTTGCCGACGCGCATGGCTACGGCGACGATTGCGCATACCAGAAACCGGAGACCGGCTTTTTTTTTTTGGCCTAATCCTGCTAATGCCAACAAAATCCAGCCATGAACACATTTGGAATTTAAATGGCAAATCCTGTTGAAAGAGGTACACATCTGAAAGATCTGGTGCGAGTAGAATGACATGGTACAAATAGTTCCATGCAATTCTTGTATTTTTAGTTAGACTTCAAAGTTATATTTTTGCAGCTAGACCAGTTTGCAATCATGGCAAAAGGGAATGCATAGTCAATACGGTACGACGACAAACACAAATACTAGCCCTGCGTATTAACAAAAATGAAGCAATATTAAACAATGCTATTTTAATTTTTTTTTGTGGTTGGCGGATAGTTGCTTGACAAATGTGCTTCACATTTGATTTGCATTTAGCAAGGCCAAGCTTCCATATTGTACCAGTTTTAATACTAAAATTAATTTTACCAAATTGTGCCGTGGACAACGTTTCCAGAAAAAAAATCACTATTTTTTTTGTGTGTAGATTTGTGGTCCCCATGCAATGTGCTTGATTAAAAAGTGGCAATGTGTTTTACGTGTATGTGACGTGAATACATTTTCTCTAATTCGTTAACGCATGCATCAACAATGGATATGTTGCAACAATGATGGGTGTGGTCAAAATGTTGCCACGGGAACACACAATGCCATCAAACCTCACGATTCAAACCATGAACAACCATTAAAGCCAACACAAATTTCTGAAACTTCTGGGGGGTTTTCTCCCACAAAATGTGAAGTCAAATTCGACTTGTAACACAATATCTGAAACGCAAGTCCCTTTTGTAGAAAAGTAATTTTATTGTCTAAAACTTAAAAAAAAAAAAACCTTGTTGAAGTTTAAAGGTTTTCTGTACTCTAAAATTTAAGAAAAATGATTTGGATCATTTATTAAAATCTACCATTTTGAAAAGACAAAAAATTGAAAACAAAATTTACGTTGGCCTCAAAAGTTTCTTAAAAGCATGCATTAACAGCAAAACACACCTCTTAAATCCGGCAAACAGAAAAACAAAAACAAAACAAAAAAGACAAAAAAGGAACTTACTAATATCCGGTAAGCAGGGTTCGACCAGCTCAATTAATCGTGTGGTGTTTATAGGCCACAGCCTCACATCTGTACACAATAGACAAATATTGATGGTTAAAGGGAAGATACAACAATTTGCAAACATCACAGAACAGAATGATCAAATTATCACGAAATACCTTACTGAATTGTTAGGGAATGACAGTCTAAAGCATCCTTTAAAACCGTAGCTCCTGGTGTGCTGTCATTTTCAAGAAAAACTGTATTTTTCCAACGCTGGTCAGCCGACCAGCGTTGGAGAAAACTGGCTTTTTTCAAAAACTGTTCCTACTTTTTCATATTTAGTTATTCTGACTTCTCTTTGCAATTGATTACACACCTGTGAAGGGGTACATGTACAAGCCTGCTAGACTGATTCTCTGAACTTACAATTCCCCCAATGTCTATAAATTCTCCGTTTCATCTTAAGTGGGGTCAGGGAGCCAGACTACAAGAATATGAAAGGTTTTCTCGGTTTTTCTAGCATCTACAAGCACAAAACGTGAAGTAAGTCAGTTTAAAAATATTTTCTATAACATACTAATCCTCCAAATCCAATTATTTCTGAAAATTGCAGCAAAAGCAAATGTTGTACATTCCCTTTAAACACAGACTTCAGAATCTATTAAACACCAGACATTTTTATTTTGTACAGCGGATTTTATTCGATAAAGAATGTTTTGACAGCAAACCTTTGGCTAAAATTAGGGTGTGCATTTACGGGTGGTACAGGAACCGGGTACTCAACTGAAAAAAAATACCGGGTACCCGGATAACCGTGAAACAAAGAAACCCAACCCCAAAATTCAAATCTTGGAAGTAGCTGTTCAGATTGTTCATAAAGGTGCGCACGATAAGGCCAAAAAAAAAATAAGTCGGTCTCTGGTCAGCGCGCGCGTCGATTTTAATCATGCGCGTCGATCTTTTTTTTTCTCCAAAATGTTCCACGGTAGCTCCAACAGCGCCCTCTATTTCCGCACCTCCTCAATTTTTTTTTACCAAAGAGCACCAAGGAATGGGAAATTGCACCAAGGCAAATGATCGAAAGCACCAAGGCAAATTATGGAGGACACCAATGTACATGAGGACACCCAAAAAGCAAAATAGTACCCCACCTTGTCTGTACAATCCAAGCTTGAAGAAAAAAAAAAAAAAAAGCTGCGTGGCCGCGTCAATTCCGGAACTTTGGTCTGACCAGAGACCGAATTTTTTTTTTTTGGCCTTACCCTACCTACCCTATTTTGACAGCCCCTACCCTAATTTTTTTTTTTGGGGGGGGGAATGAGGAAAAAGAACCAAAAATTTTCAGTTACTACCTTATACCCCTTGACAACACGCAGACACTTCCATATGATCGTAGATAACAAGTGGCGCACTCTCTGTGCAACTTTTTACCGGCACAGAACACAGTTGCAACTGGCCGTTTGGAAATCCGAATATTCGGTCAAACGCAGTTTCCAGTAATCGATTACTAAATTATTTGAACAGCCCGCTTAAGGTAGCATTAAATTATATGTGATGACTGCATTATGACTTACAAATTATACCTACTCCAATTCTTCAAAAATCATCTGAAATTAAGAATTTTTGGTCTTAAATATTATTAGGCAACAGACAAACACAGGAGATATAGTGAGAAATGTTACCTGGGAATGTGGGTAGTTTCGGGAAGCCTGTGCAGGTACCGTTTAATGTGCAATTTCTGTTCCCATCTGTAGAGTTCTTCAAACAGTGCTGCACAGCACTAACACGACATGTGCAAAGAATTACGCACAAGGACGTCCAGTAAAAAATAACATTCGAGATACACCACGCAGCACCCATGACGTCCAGCGAATGTCTCGTCATCGACAAGCTCATGATCGATAGTACATGTAGTTCCCAATTAGATTTGATGAGCACAGATAACACATTGGCTTATTTCCTCAACTTCACCGATTGCTCAATCCACAAACTGTTGAACTGGAATAAGCAGTGTATTTGTGATGTCATCATCAGCTCATCTGCTGATTTTTAGTTGACAAAAATCATCCAAAAATCTGGATCTCGGAAGCGCTTGATGTTATCGATGAACTGCACGTCTGGCACTTAATTTGATTTAAGTAAAATCAGTGGGTTCCTGCCCTTGGTAGTGCATGTTGCTGGCGGCCTTTCAACCTGTACAGTAAAAAAAAACAAGCACGAGATTCCCTGAAGAAAATTCTAGGAATGTTTTTGATAAGTGAATGATATTCCTTCAGGCAAGGCTAGCATTTCATGGATAGACTGTAGGCCAACAGACTACGTATGTACTGTGGCACTACAATAACAATGTCATTTCAGGAGACAAGTTACCATGGCAACATGGCATCAACCTTAAACTACAAATGGAGGATGGCACAGAGCAAATGAAAAAACCACATAATGTGTACATGACACGCACAAGAAAAGCTCTGAATAATTTACAAAAAGACATAAATCACATTAGGCAATCTCATTTTCTACTTATTATTATAATATAATTAAAGGGGCACTATAGGTCCTGAAATCCCCAAAAATATCATGTTTTGGATTGTTTACTTTAATAATGAGCCTATCTCAAACATCTGGTTGAAAGGAAACCAACCTAATGTCTTACCGTTCCAGAGAAAAGTAAAAAAAAAAACCAGTTATTTACATCGGACACGACGGAGTACGAATACGTTTTTCGTGTCGTTCTCATTGTACGATATACACGTTGTGTGTCTCGGGAACAGCGGGGACCAATCACCAATGGAAAAAAAATATGGTTTCTTCAACGTCCGCAAAAGGCGAACACTTTACGAATGAAATCACAACTAGCACCCAAACAGCTCAAATTTATGGGGTCGCAAAAGTGGACCCCTAAATTCGTTTTCGCATGCATAATACAGGAATAACACAAAAACGCCCAGTTTTTAAAGGATAGTTGTGTGGATGTTTATATCCTACTTTTAAATGTTCAACATCATCTCATTGAAAATGCGTTTTGTAGCCCAATTGGGCTGTTCCAGGACCCAGTGTCCCTTTAATGAAAATCAGAGGGTGTAAAAACACATGCAGTCTACTGTTGTGATTAGTCCTTGCAGCCCTACGAACAGAGCTGTAGTGTAAACACCGACTCTCTTTTAACAGACATGTGTCTTAATTACTGTCGCCATTATTAATAGCGATAATAATGGTCGCCATTATTTATAGCGATAATAATGGCAACTATTATGGAAAAAAATTTGCAACCTGACGCCACTTTTTTCTTCATATATCATCTCAATAAAGGTCAGTCATATGCATTGCAAAAATGATGATAAGACATCATATCTGGGACTGAAAAACATTTCAAATTTTGTTAGGAAATACTTAGAAAAAAATTCTTGACTCCTTACACAACCGCTGAAGTGGCGTCAGGTTGCAACATTTTTTCCACAATTAAGACCCATGTTTAAAAAAAAAAAAGAGGGAAGAACGTTGCAACCTGATGCCACTTTTTTCTTCATAATGAAGGTCATTCATTGCAAAATTTTATCATTGGGTTGTAGCAAAAATGATGATAAGACACGAATCTGGGACTGAGAAACATTTCCAATTTTGTTAGGAAATACTTTCATAAATCAGTTGCAGCCTCCATCATGTCCATAATTATAGGGGATGAGGAAGGAATGATACGCTATAGCCACACTATAGTGCGTGATGTGCGGCCTCGGTATTGCTGCGCGAACCGTACGTGTGTGTGTTGACCCCACTGCACACTTAGGAAACTGTGTTCCTAGCTCCATGCACGGACACGGTCACGCTGTACAACGAAAATTCAGAACAAATTTGACATAAAAGAAACAGATATTACAAGGCAAAAACTATACTTACGAACATCATAAATGCTCGCGATCGACACCCAAATGCCTGCATAATGACAGCCTCATGCAGCTTCCAGCTATTAATGATAATATTAAGTGTCTTGGCTAGCTTCGTAGAATTTTACCGATATTCACCTTGGTTTACGCACGGATATAGTCCGTGGTTTGCGTTGATGCGATGGTATTTCAAATAATTTGGGTGGCGCTGCACTGATCATGCGCAAAACGAAACAATCAAAGGGGAAATCCCAAGTTTTCCCCGAAGCTGTGCGTATGTCGTTGCCATGGGTACATTTTCCATGAAGAGGCTATACTTATATAAACAAACAAGAACTTATATAAATAAGTCTGATCATAAGTGAGGGAAATAGTATATTGTTGTCCCTACTGCAGCGGCGTAGCTAAAAATACGGGAGTGGGGGGGGGGGGCATAAAAAAAAAAATCGTCGCCCCGGTCGTCCCCCGGCCCCCCGTCGTCCCCCCCCCCCCCCTTGGATACGTGGCAATCTGAAGAAAAAAAAATCACGAAACCATGATTAATATTAAAGTGCCTTTTTTAACATTTACATTTTGTTTTTGCGAAAACCCTGTTTTTCGTGATTACGTCCCGTACCGTGCGCGTGGAACGCGTAAAGCGATACCTATTGTCTGACAATGACCATGAATTCGTTTTTGAACGGCACCCCCATTGAAAGATGGTGTCCATCCCCCCCCCCCCCCTGACTATTTTATTTAAAAAAAAAAAAAAAAAAAGTCTACCTTTGAGCACGGAGAAATTGGGCGCACTTCCACTGTAACATCCACCCCCCCACCCCACCCCACACCCCCACACTCGCCGTGCCCCCGTCCCCATAGGATGATAACCCCTGCTATGTGTGTGGTCCCCGGTGTGGCGCGGCCCTTTTGTGTTTCGTCTCTAGTGCCTTGCTGTAAACAAAAACTTTTACCTCAGAATTCACAGTTTACAACTGAAACTTTATCAAGCTCTAAACTTTCCCATTCGTATAATGAGTTTATCAGCCCGTTACAAAGTTAAGAGAGAATTTTGTTTTCATAAGATGGAATTTTGCTTCGGGGGGGGGGGGTGATGTAAATTAATTTTAGGTGGTTTTTTTCTATAAACACTGTATACTCAGTGTATACACACTGTATACTTAAAGGTTATTCACTTGGACGCAATTTTCTAATGTTAATGTGCGCACCGATTTTTCTTTTATCACATGCGCCCAAAAATAAGAAAATAATTTTGTGGCAAACATATGTTGTTGAATATTTGGAGTAGAGGTGATAATTGTTTATTAGATTTAGAATTTGTCAACATTAAAGAAATGCTTAATTTTTGCTCACTTGGCGTTATAGGGACCATTAACACTCGGTCGATTTAAATTGTGCCCAATTTCCAGACACCAACGGGGTTTTTTTTATGACACTGTTCCAAATATCCAACAAGCATTATTAAAGTAAAGTACCAGTGTTTAACTGAATGAATCTGAAGCTTTTCAACAAATAATAATAATAATAAAAAGATACTTAGGAAGCGCCAAATTGCCATAATGCCTCAAAGCGCTAAATACAAAGATAAAAAACAATTACCGAAATACAACAATTACAATACAGAGGGTTTCCGTAGAATTTTTTTTTTTTAAGACAATTACAAAAATATGTTTAAGGCAGTTTTTAAAAAGAAAATCTGGACCAGCCAGTGAAAAACAAAGAGGTTTGGCAACACTGCGTGGGGAAATTCGGGGCATGCCACTATGGCTTGCCCATCGTCCAATTATCGTTGCAGCTGTACAACAACAAAAATGCTTTCGTCATCTCGAACAAAGTTGAATGAGATAACAGAAAAAGTCACATCAGATAAACAATCTTGTGACTTTCTTTTGTGGGTAATGTTATATTAATATCAAATTCGCAAAATTGTCTTCAATTTACAATCAAAAAAAATTGGACCCCCCCAAAAAAACTTTTTCTTCTTTTGTTTTAGATTTATTTATTTCTTTTTCATGCTCAAGGAAAAAAATGTCTGGTTGAGATGGACTAAGCCAAATGGTTTAGTCGAGTAAGTTTTGTTCCAATAATTTACCCTCCCCTATCGTGGACCTACTTGCATCGCATCACTTTACAATGGCGCCCTCTATCATCTTGTATCAATAAATCAACAAGTAGTGTCTCGAACAAAGACTACAGTGACCTCACGCTGCAGTTACATTTGATATTACAATTGAAACATATCTCCATAGTTGTAATTGAATAATTTAAAGCTATATTTTAGTATTAATTTATGGCGTGTCAAACGTTGCAATATTCAATATTTTGCAATATATATGTTGGATGTTCAATATGTGTTTGTTATCTTTTACATTTATGTGCGATGTTCAGTATAAGTGTGCGATGTTTTTCATTATTTGCGCGATGTTTAATATATTTGTGCGATGTTTTACAATATATGTGCGATTTTCAATATATGTGAGCGAACTGCGATGTTTTACATTTATATGCGATTTTCAATTTATATGTGCGATGTTTTTGACGATATATATGTGCGATGTTTTCAATATTATGTTCGATTTTTTGCTTTAAATGTGCGATGTTTTTCGATACAATTGTGTGTGTTGATTTACAATATATTTGCGATATTCTCAAATATGTGAGCAATGTTTTACACATATGTTTGACATTTCGAGCTATTTGTATTCGATGTTTCATCGGTATGTTTGCATTCGATCTTTTGCAATATGCATTTGATGTTTCCCTTTTCGTTCGATGTTTCGTTAAGAGTCAAAGTCTGGTTACTAGACCGCGAAAGTCTGACTATTTTGCCTAAAGTCAGTGTATGAGACGTCAGGGGATCGCGTAACGTGATTAGAGTCAGACCTAAACGGTAAAAACCGGAGTTGTGGGTAATTCTTTAAGCATACGCAATGCGTTCATCATTGTTTGGACAGTACCCCCAGCTGTGCCTGTACCACCCATAGTGTTGTGTGCATCATCTATGCATTGAGGAGTGCATGACACATGGTCTGAGCTCCAAGGCCGATGTGCACCTGTCCCGTTTAATGATCCAGTTACCTGATAATTTGTTAGCATAAGCTGATGTAAAATTGAGCAAAATTAGATGTTATGAAAAAAATCAAATTGTAAGGGGTTAACCTTGCATTTTTTTTAGCAAAATCGGGAAAAATCAGATGTTTCTGGAAAATTGCAGATTGTATGGGGTTAGATGTTTATGAAACATTTCCAATTGTAAGGGGTGAACATTGCATATTTTAGCGAAATTGGGCAAAATCAGATGTTTCCGAAAAATTTCAGATGTAAGGGATTAACCTTGCTTTTTTAGTGAAATTTTGCAAAGTTAGATGTTACGAAAAATTTCAAATTGAAAGGGGTTAAACTCGCATTTTTTTTAAAGCGAAAATGGAAAAAAATCAAATGTTTCTGGAAAATTGCAGATTGTAAGGGGTTAACCTTGCTTTTTTAGCAAAATTTGGAGCATATTTTACTAAAATTGGGCAAAATCAGATGCTTCTAAAAAAATCCAGATGTAAAGTTTCCGCAAAAACAGCTGTTGAAAAAGAGCCCAATGTTGAACTTTACTGAGTCTGAGGTCTATCGAGGGGACGATCCTTATTTCAACTCCCCGAGATTCGCTGACGGTCTCTATTTTTCTTTTTAAGAAAGTCGAAATAGCTGAAGAGGGAGGTCACTGAGAATCTATATGTGCCCAGATACAAAGAGTAGAAATCTACGCGTCTGCCTTTTGAAAATACACAATTGCGGTGTTCATTGTTGCGTAATGATCCGCCTAGCACACGACTGTTTTGCACATTAGGCTGTGTTATGCATCCTAACAAACCAAACACGCTGGGCTGATTATATCGACTTGTTTTTACCCATTAAGGTAAAGCAAATGGACCCAGTAATCTTTCTGGCGCGTTTGCTCACCTATAAAGACAACTTTTCTCAGTTTAAGGAAAATTCTAAGGTAACGAGATGGCCGAGTGGTTACGATTCGTCGTCCACGGTTAGCGGGGTCCCGGGTTCGAATCCCGCTGGTGTCTTTTTGGTTTTTAACGTATGAGTTCAATCATTTACTATAAGAGATTTAATTTCCCGTCGTAAAGTACCAACAGTACCTTAGCTTAATCGGTAAGCACTGCTGCTGGTACTGTCCGCGAGTTCCAGGTTGGCGCCTTCGTACAGGTTCAGGGCATGTGGTCCACTCGGAGGATCAGGGCTTAGGGGCCGCCCTGTTCCTCCCTTAGCTCTTTGCTTTTACATGGTGCCTGGCCCTCCGGGGTTATATGGATGGATAGGGAAGGAAGTGTGTATTGGTCGGGGACGCCGAGACCCCGGAAGAGAACTAAGGGATCGGCTGGGGCATTGTTATGGCTCAGACCGATCCCTGAAAGCTTGACTAGCACATAACTTTTTGATTTTTTTTTACCCTCTATCTTTTATACTTCCTGGAAAATTGCAGATTGTATGGGGTTAGATGTTTATGAAACATTTCAAATTGTAAGGGGTGAACCTTACATATTTTAGCGAAATTGGGCAAAATCAGATCTGTCTGGAAAATTTCAGATTGTAAGGGGTTAATCTTGCTTTTTTAGTGAAATTTGGCAAAATAAGATGTGTATGAAAAATTTCAAATTGTAAGGGGTTAACCTTGCTTTTTTAGTACACTTGGAAAAATTTAAATGTTTATGAAAAATTTCAAATTGTCAGGGGTTAACCTTGCTTTTCGAATTTTTAGGGGTTAACCTTGCATTTTTTAGCAAAATAGGGCGAAATCAGGTGTTTATGAAAAAAATTCAGATTGTAATGGGTTAACCTTGCATTTTTATCAAAATTGGGCTAAATCAGATCTTTCTGGAAAATTTCAGATTGTAAGGGGTTAACCTTGCTTTTTTAGTGAAATTTGGCAAAATAAGGTGTGTATGACAAATTTCAAATTGTAAGGGGTTAACCTTGCTTTTTTAGTACAATTGGAAAAATTTAAATGTTTATGAAAAATTTCAAATTGTCAGGGGTTAACCTTGCTTTTCGAACTTTTAGGGGTTAACCTTGCATTTTTTAGCAAATTAGGGCAAAATCAGATGTTTCTGGAAAATAGCAGATTGAAAGGGGTTAACTTTGCTTTTACTTTGGCAAAGTTGGATGTTCAACTTTATGAAAAATTTCAAATTGTAAGGGGTTAACCCTGCATTTTTTTTAACGAAATTGGGAAAAATCAGATCTTTCTGGAAAATTGCAGAATTGTATGGGGTTAACGCGGCATTTTTAGCAAAACTGGGCAATATCAGATTTTTATGTAAAATCTCGAATTGTAAGGGGTGAACCTTGCATTTTTAGCAAAATTGGGCAAAATGAGATGTTTCTGAAAAATTTCAAATTGTAAGGGGTTAACCTTGCATTTTTAGCAAAATTGGGCTAAATCAGATTTGTATGAAAAATCAAAAATTGTAAGGGGTTAACCTTTGCCAAATTAGGGCAAAACCAGAAGTTTCTAGAAAATTGCAGATTGAAAGGCCAGGGGTTAACCTTGCATTTTAGCAAAATTTGGCAAAATGATATTTTTATGAAAAATTTCAAATTGTAATGGGTTAACCTTTGCCAAATTAGTGCAAAATCAGGTGTTTATGAAAAAATTGCAGATTAAAAGGGGTTAACCTTGCATTTTTAGCAAAATTGGGCTAAATCAGATTTGTAAGAAAAATCAAAAATTGTAAGGGGTTAACCTTTGCTAAATTAGGGCAAAACCAGAAGTTTCTAGAAAATTGCAAATTGAAAGGGGTTAACCTTGCATTTTTAGCAAAATTGGGCAAAATCAGATGTTTCTGAAAAAAAATCCGATGTAAGGAATTAACCTTACTTTTTTTAGTGAAATTTGGCAAAATTAGATGTTTATGAAACATTTCAAATTGTAAGGGATTAACCATTGATTTTTTAGCAAAATAGGGCAAAATCAGGTGTTTATGGAAAATTTCAGATTGTAAGGGGTTAACTTTGCATTTTTTTTAGCAAAATAGGGTAAAATCACAGGTTTCTGGAAAAGTTCAGATTGTAAAGGGTTAACCTTGCATTTTTAGCAAAATTGGACCAAATCAAATTTAAATAAAAAAATAAAATCGTAATGGATTAACCAAACTAGGGCAAAATCAGATGTTTCTCAAAAATTGCAGATTGTAAGGGCTTAACCTCACATTTTTTGCAAAATTGGGCAAAAAGAAATGTTTATAAAAGGTTAATTTTTATAGTGAAATTTGGCAAAGTTGGATGTTTATGAAAAATTCAAATTGTAAGGGGTTAACCCTGCATTTTTTAAGCGAAATTGGGAAAACCAGATGTTTCTTGAAATTTGCAGAATTGAATGGGGCTAACTTGGCATTTTTAGCAAAATTGGGCAAAATGAGATCTTTCTGAAAAATTTCAGATGTGGGTGGTTAACCTTGCTTTTCGAATTGTTAGGGGTTAACCTTGCATTTTTTAGCAAAATAGGGCAAAATCAGGTGTTTATTGAAATATTCAGATTGTAATAGGTTAACCTTGCATTTTTAGCAAAATTGGGCTAAATCAGATTTGTATGAAAAATCCGATGTAAGGAATTAACCTTGCCAAATTAGGGCAAAATCAGAAGTTTCTAGAAAATTGCAAGGTTAACCCCTTTCAATCTGCAATTTTTTCATAAACACCTGATTTTGCCCTAATTTGGCAAAGGTTAACCCCTTACAATTTGAAATTTTTCATAAAAATCTCATTTTGCCCAATTTTGCTAAAAAAGCAAGGTTAACCCCTTACCATTTTAGATTTTTCATACCAATCTGATTTTGTCAAATTTTACTAAATATACAAGGTACACCTCTTACAATTTAAATTTTTTCATAAACATTTCTTTTTGCCCAATTTTGCTAGAAATACAAGGTTAAGCCCTAACAATCTGCAATTTTCCAGAATCATCTGATTGTGTCCTATTTTGCTAAAAAGAAATGCAAGGTGAACCCCTTACAATTTGAATTTTTTTCATGAACATCTAATTTTTCCCAATCTTATTCAAAAAGCAAGAAACCCCTTACAATCTGCAATTTTCCAGAAACATTTGATTTTTTCACATTTTCGCATTAACTTTCAATTTGAAATTGTTCGTAACATCTAACTTTGCAAAATTTCACTAAAAAAGCAAGGTTAATCCCTTACATCTGAAATTTTTCGGAAACATCTGATTTTGCCCAATTTCGCTAACATATGCAATGTTCACCCCTTACAATTGGAAATGTTTCATAAACATCTAACCCCATACAATCTGCAATTATCCAGAAACATCTGATTTGTCCCAATTTTGCTTAAAAAAATGCGAGGTTAACACCTTACAATTTGATTTTTTTTCATAAACATCTAATTTTGCCCAATTTTACATCAGCTTATGGTAACAAATTATCAGGTAACTGGATCATTAAACGGGACAGGTGCACATCGGCCTTGGAGCTCAGGCCATGTGTTATATATGCACTCCTCAATGCATAGATGATGCACATAACACTATGGGTAGTACAGGCACAGCTTGGGGCACTGCCCAAACAATGATGAACGCATTGCGTATGCTTAAAGAATTACCCACAACTCCGGTTTTTACCGCTTAGGTCTGGCTCTAATCACTTTACGCGATCCCCTGACGTCTCATACACTGACTTTAGGCAAAATAGTCAGATTTTCGCGGTCTAGTAACCAGACTTTGACTCTTAACGAAACATCGAATGAAAAGGGAAACATCAAATGCATATTGCAAAAGATCGAATGCAAACATACCGATGAAACATCGAATACAAGTAGCTCGAAATGTCAAACATATGTGTAAAACATTGCTCACATATAGAATATCGCAAATATATTGTAAAACAACACACACAATTGTATCGAAAAACATCACACATTTAATGCAAAAAAATCGAACATAATATTGAAAACATCGCACATATATATCGTCAAAAACATCGCACATATAAATTGAAAATCGCATATAAATGTAAAACATCGCACACATATATTGAACATCGCACATATATTGTAAAACATCGCACAAATATATTAAACATCGCGCAAATAATGAAAAACATCGCACACTTATATTGAACATCGCACATAAATGTAAAAGATAACAAACACATATTGAACATCCAACATATATATTGCAAAATATTGAATATTGCAACGTTTGACACGCCATATTAATTCAACCCGAATTGTTTAGCTGTAATATTAAGGACAAAAAGAGGTTCTCAGAAAATTCAGACTCGAATCAAGGCCATGATATTCACGCTGAAACTCGTCTAGTTCCCTAACCCTTCACTGAATTTGTAAGTTACTATGCGGGATTTACCATCCGGTGAACAGACTATAATGTCTATGATGTAACTTGTGCACGAGCGCACGTCGTCGTTGACCAAAACCTGTGTTACTTCTGGATTTTATTCCCAAGTTTACAGTGTTGATATGCCTTTAAACAAGAAACATATTTCAGCTTAAACATGGGTGGATGGAAATTAGAGACTGCCCGAGTAAGTACTACTCCTTTGCATTAAATTATGATCTACAAATACAATTAAAACATGAATTATTTTTACTCTGTAGTTAACTCCCTTTACCAGTTATGATATGTGAGGGGACTATTTGTTTAAATTATGATCTACAATTAAAACATTAATTATTTTTACTGTGTAGTTAACTCCCTTTACCAGTTATGATATGTGAGGGGACTATTTGTTTTAATCAGTTTATGTGCTTAGCGGTTAGCCGTTTTTTTTTTTTTTTAGGGAATAGGGCCTATGCAACATTAGCCCCACTAGTGTGGCCGTCGGTGCTGCGCGACGGCCACACTAGTGGGGCTAATGCAACATTTGCTTTTCTTTTGCTGTATTATTCAGAAATGGATGGATTTTGGAGGTTAGTAAGTAGTACTACTACTAGTATGAAATTATAGCAAATATTGTTACGGACTTACGCTGTGACGCTGACTTGTTTGACATTTTGGGTTCGTATGCTGGAAAAACCAAGAAAAACAATCTTGTTCTTGTAGACTGGTTCTCTGACCCCACTTCAGATGAAACAGAGCAATTTAGAGACGTCCGGGAATTGTAAGGTTAGGGAATCAGTCTAGCTGGCTTGTACCTATTCACAGGTCCATAGGCATAGAAAACATCATCAACGTATTTGTTGACTACTATGAAACGTCTACTAAGAACAAAAATGTACTCCTAGAATTATGTAGCCCCACGTGAGTGGAGCCTCATAGACACAGAACCCCGCAAAATTGTTTGCAGCACAAAACACCAATTAAGTACAAAAGCGTCCATCAAAACAGAGACATTTCCCACAGAAGAACCGCTGCACAGTTTGCCCCTAAACTTCGTACAATACCTCATGACATACTCATGTTATGTGCGCCTACCGGTAACAAACAGCGCTGGATTCTGTCGGTTTTTAGGCCAAAATGATGAAAAATATGCCCTTTCCGCACTGAGCCAATCTGACACTAATAAAACGTGCATGCAGAGATTGTGATCGATCGATGATGATCGGGGCGCGCCGCGGGGGATACGGTACTTGCACTTGTACGCATGCGCATACTATCATTTCGCATGTACCGTACCCCCCGCGGCGCGCTCCAAGCAAACCGAAAATCATCGATCGATCATATAATATCTGCGTGCACATTTTAAGTGTCAGATTGGCTCAGTGCGGAAAAGGCATATTTTTCATCATTTTGGCCTAAAAACCGACAAAATCCAGCGCAGTTTGTTACCGGTAGGCGCACATAACGTGAGTATGTCATGAGGTATTGTACGAAGTTTAGGGGCAAACTGTGCAGCGGTTCTGTGGGAAATGTCTCTGTTTTGATGGACGTTTTTGTACTTAAGTCAATAAGTTCGTTGGTGATGTTGTCTATGGGGCTCCGCTACGCGGAGCAGCCATAGTTCTTGGGGTATGCACAGGTGTGTAATCGATTGCAAAGAAAATGCGGACAAACTAAATATGATAAAATGGGAGCAGTATTTTAATAAAAGCCAGTTTACCAGCATTGGAAATTGATACCAAAATACCACTTTTTTGAAAATGTGCCATTTCTATGGTATGTGCATCGTGCGGGTAGTGCTAAAAATGTTTTGTTGTATTTATATATTAAAAATCTCTCTTTATTCCAGATGGGCATCTACGTGTTCTTCCCTGTGGCAATGTTCTACTGTTTTAACAGGACAGAGCTGTTTGAGAAATACGTCACAGACAAAATTGTGAGTATAAAAAATGTCGAACATTTTTACCCAAATCAAGTTCATATACTTAATCTTTATCTTGTTTTTGTTTTGTTTATTATAACTTACCGGTAGCTTGGAATACCCAGCCCCGTGCTCTGACATGTGAAATTCGCCAGTAGCAGTCCTTCTGATTTGAGGCGTGCGATCACACCCCCACACCAATCGCACACCTAAAAGCTTCCCGAGAAGTGCGAATAATTGCACGCCTGAATTTCCCTGGACCACAGATAACACACCTAGAAAATCACACTCCTAGAAAAATCACACGCCTAGAAAAATCCAGGTGTGCCTGTTTCCACACGCCTGTGATTTTCATATCAGAAGGACTGCAGTAGAGCTGCAATGAGGTCCCTGACTTAGCGAGTGGATTTCACTTTTAGGGCTGAAGATTCCATTGTCATTCAACGTTCAAGTAAACACTCGCCAAACACAAGAGAGCAGTGGTTTATACAGCACATGATTCACTCAAAATGAAAATAAAATCAAGCTGAACCAGATAAAAAGAGATATTTTTGTTGCAACTCGGGGTGTGTACAACTGTCGAATAGCTGTTTGCTAAAATTTAAAATCTGAACTTCTATGTTATTTTAATAGAATTTGGGGCTTAATTGTCAGGTACCACTTTTTTGTCAGCGTTAAAAAAAATTTTTTGTCGATGGCAGTTAACTGTTTCTATCCTTTTAGCATGCTAAAACAAACCCTTGGCAGTTATAAAAAACTGCAAAACAATCCAGCAATCCATAATATCGCTCGCCTCACACAATTTGTAACCAGCGTTCTTTGCGTGCAACTTTTGACCGGCACGACTCGCAGATGCGGCTGGTGCGTCCAAAAGTCGATCAGAGTCTTGAATATTCAAATATTCGGTCAATCAAATTATTCGAAAATGGACAGTCCTATACATTACTACTGACTACATGAATCCTGGTCAAAGATTTAGAGTTCTAGCATTTGGAAAGGATCCCTGGGGTCAGAGTGCAGGGCCTACTCGCTTGGTTTACACCCTTACAACTATTAAAGGGAATATACAACATTTGCAAACATCGAAAAATAAAACTACCAAGTTTTTACGAAATTCCTTACTAGGATGTTGGTAAATGACAGTCTCAAGCATCTTGTAAAATTATGGCACCTGGTGTGAAGTCCTTTTCAAGAAAATGGTATTTTTTTTATACATTTCCAATGGTGGTCGGTCTACCAGCGTTGGAAAAACCTAACTATTTTTCAACTACTGCTCCAAGTTTACCATTTTTTCAGTCCAAATTTTGTTTGCTATTGGTTACATGTTCATGAATGGCTGCAGGCTAGCTAGACTGGTTCCCTTGCCTTACAATTTTCCATCATCTATAAATTGATCCATTTTATCTTTTGTGGAGTCGGGGAACCGGACTACATGAACATTTTTGTTTTTCTTGTTTTTTCCCAACCTTTTCGAACACAAAACTTGAAAATGTCAGTGTAACAATATTTGATCAGTTATGGTAACCCCTCAAATAGTTCATTTCTGAAAATTACAGCAAAAGCCAATGATGTACATTCCCTTTAAATATATAATAATATTTTGTTTGGTTCCCCTATGCAGAAGTTAATGTATCCTCCAGAGAGCAAAATGCATGTAAGTACATTTCTGCTTTATTCCAGTTAGTTGTTCATTAGTTACAATTTTATTCTTATACAGTTTTCCCACAAAAACCTAACAGTCGAAACCAATTAATAAAGGTATATTGCATGTGGGTTTTGGAATATTTTCAAATTACCTCTTCAAGTCAGATAATCAATCAACCATACAAACTTTATTTCATTCAAATCGATGCATTGGAACAAATGCTATGCTTCATCGAACTCAAGGGTTGAAAATTGTCTAGGGCAACTTTCTTTGAAAGTGAGAAAGCACAGTTAGAGAAACACACATAGGATTTATTCCTTTGTTCAAGTGTAATGTGTGACTTATTCTACCGGCTTCGATCTGTAAACTGGATAAATAAAAAAAGTGGCCCAAGTGGTTTTCCAAGTCCCGTATTGTGATTGCTGTGTCTTTTGAACAAAACATCCAAATAAAGCTAAAAAGCATTTGGAAGACCAATAGAAAGAAATCCATCATTCATCCAATTGTCAGACTTTTTTAAATAGGCCTGAGACCTAATGACGTCACGCTTTGTTTACATGTGCGCTTTCCTATGTGGTAGATGGTCCCTACTTCGCCTGGCGTCCTGACTTCGCTCCCATAGGAAAGCGCATATGTAAACAAAGCCATTACGTCATTAGGTTTCAGATCTATTGACAGTACATCCTTATGAGATATCACGCTATTGTAATCTGACTTGTGATTTGATTTGTAATTTGATTAGTGATTGATTACAATATGTGTGATTATCTGAATGCAGAGGAAAGAGTTTGACGAGCTGAGAGACAAGATGGAGGAGAGGGTAGCAACCAAGCAGAAGAAGCAAGAAGAGCAGAGCTTGCATCTCATGGAGGCGGCAAGGACTTCACAGTCCTCCTAGTGTCATCCGCATCGAGGATGAGATTAGAGGCTTAACTCTTTCGCTACGGAATTAAATTTACCTTTTTCGTCCCAACTGGACGTAATTAAAAGCTGAAAATTCCGCCGAGCGTCGATGTGGGCGCCGACATCTTTGAATGTATCTCCGTAAACAAACTGCCCACAATAACAAAAAGCGCACCCCGGCCAGACGTAGAGCCGCTGGCAGCGGCTCAAACTAGGGTCAGAGGTTATACGATATAAATTATGTAGATATGGCCCACGTCATGGGGATACCCTGTTTATTTATAGCGACGCAACCGAGCCGCTGCCAGCGGCTCTCCGTACGACCTGTACAATTTGTATGTGCCGCTGTCAGCGGCTCGCCGTAGCGAAAGAGTTAATGATGTAAGCCGCTACGTAGTGGAGAAGTGGAGGGTTGAGGAACGTAGTGGAACCTTTGAACTCAGTTTTGTGGGAGGATGCCAAATTCATCATGGACAGCATCATTCAGGTAGCTGAGTTATCCTGTTGAACCTTGACAGAACTAATCATCTTATCTTTTATAACATGAAGTTTTCATGTAATATACAGATGCTGTTTGATGGCTTACTTAACTCTCCTACGCAAACATACATTCTGTGCCAGGTTGTCCTCACAGTACAAAATCAATCAAGTGACTGTTTTCAACAGTCAAGAGCTCCCAGCCTACATAGAGCGGGATTGACTGGCTGTGACTGTTTATGTAACTTGATGCAGCTCTGCTTTGACTTTAGGTGACTGATAACGTAGCTGTGCCTACCACTTGTCTGCTTTTGTCTGTTGACTGAATTTGACTTGTCAGAGTGCTTGCTTGAAATATGATCTGACTGTTGGTGACCAGCCTGTTAAAAAGGCATGGCAGGGGAAGTGGATGGAATTTTTGACTGACTGTGACTGTTCAAACAGTGGGAGGGTTGAATTTTTTTTCGGAACCCTTGATATAGTCTCTAGTTTCTGCGTCAAGCTCCAGTCACATGATTTCAAGTCCCTGATGCCACCTGTCGGAGATACCACCTGTCGGAGATACCACCTGTCAGAGAGTACGTTTGTTGACATGCATTGAGCCTTCAAAGTTCCTCAGCCAATCGGGAGCGGAAGATGACACCAAGCTGGATACAATGAAAGAAGCCTTCTGTTAACCCTAAAGGGGCCGGGGGGGGGGGGGGGGGGGGGGGGCGGAATCCGTCCCCCCCTCAACATTTTCTGTGATAGCCTCTAAAAAAAATTTTTTTCGCGACCCGAGCTGTTATGACTTTTTAGCCTCGAGCTTTGCGCATCTTTTGATACCAAAAACATAAAAATCGGACCTCGGGTTGTCGCGTAGCGAAAACTTAATTTTCGCATATACGTTGTGTACACAGAGCAGAATTGCCATTCATACATATGAATAATTAATTAGCCATAATTCCAAAATCCTTTGACTTATAGTCATGAAATTTCTTGGGTATGTTTAGGAAGAGTTGCTCTATGCATGTGCCGAGTTTCAAAATTTTTCGTCACTCAATGGCCGAGATCTTAGGGGGGGGGCGGAATCCGCCCCCCCCCCCTCGCCTGAGAGATGGTCAAAATAACCCGGCCCCTTTAGGGTTAAACAAGTGTGTGATGTATCGTGTGACACATGTATGTGTGTGCGACTGATTCTCAGCAATTGTCTTTATCGTAAATGAATGTTGCTTAGAAATGTTTTCTGCTTAATGGCATCATGAAACTGGGCCCTTACCATTCATTTCATCAACGTTTTCACAAACTGACACGCACACGCTGGCGCTGTCAGTTCATGAAAACCGCGTAATGAGTAATTTCGGTTTCACGAACTGACACGCATGCACTGTGTGCTGTCAGTTCGTGAAAACCGCGTAATCAATAATTTCAGTTTCACAAACTGACACTTGGGTGTGGACACGCACTTCGCACACTGATGCCTTTCTAGAATAATTTTGGTTTCGTGAACTGAAACGCAAGCATGTGGCGGAAATACAATTTGGAGGAAAATGCTTTGAAAGGTTTGACACAAATTTATTCCGTCCGTATAACTGTGGACTTGCACACAAATTTAATTAAAAACCGTTTTACTGATGAAAATTAAGACCGGTTTAAGTTCGTGAAAACGAAAATGTACCGAGTGCGCGCATGTAGTACCAGGTGTCAGTTCGTGAAAACCAAACTATCGCGGTTCAGTAAAGTACGTGCGCATGCCGGGCACTCGCGCGCAACCGAGTGTCAGTTTGTGGTGTAAGCGATGATTTGTACTAGTGGTGGGATTTAAATCTGGAAATTTTTTAAAATTTGGTTTGAATTCCACTATTCGGTTTTTGATTTTGGAAAGTGGATATTCGAAACCAACCTTGAAAAAAAACTTAGGCCTTTAGTTTTTTTGTGACAGGAAGCTAAAGAAAACAACTGAAACATGCCTCAATTTGCTCCATGGTCTCTGATTGTAACTGCACTCACTTGCTAGCAGCCTTTTTGGTATATAAATAGCCTGCCCATGTGACTCAACAGAGAGTTACCTCCGATTTTGCACCATTACAGCTCTGGAGTGTTTTACTAAAGGCCCAGTGGTCATTGAATCCTGCAAACTACACCAACTCATCACTGGGAGGGCATTGCATGCGGCACCTCACTGATCACTTTTTGTTGGCATGACTATGAGCTGGATGGGGGCTTCCGCTGAAATCGGATAACCGTTGTTCGGTTTGAATAAAATTAGGATAACTGGATATTACAATTTCCGATTTCTCTCACCACTAATTTATGCAGACAGTATTGGTATTAAGAGTCTCAAGTTTTCAGCCTACGCTACAACCCGTTGAACGTTCAGAATGTCGGTCACATAATGGGCTTGAGTTTACAGGGGTCTTGAGGAATAAGGTCATACTTTAAGTTATTTCAAGTAAAGGTACATTGTACATATTGAAAACATGACTTCAGTTTTAGTTATTTGTAAAAGCAATGTACTACAATCTTAACTGGTTGGAAAATAAAGCAAAATGTCCTTAGTTTCACACCCAAAATGTCGTATTTTACAGAAGTTATCAGAATTAAAGTGAATTTGAATGTGTAAATACCTTTACAACGGCAGCCTTATATAAAACTTGATATCTTCATGAGGTTTCAGGTCATGAATGAAATCACCGGGTTTTTATTGAAGGCAGTCTGTCATTAAAGTTACTCCCGACTCCAAAAAATAAATAAAAGTAATGTATTTACGGGTAGTTGAAAGATCAGTGTCATGTGTCCAAGACAATTTGTTTATTACTCTCCACCCTGAGGTCTTTTTCCCCCTAAAAATCTTGAATTGTACAAAACCTACCATTGTACCGCAACCTCATGGCACATTCTTTGTTAATTAATGTACATGTACTAAAACTTTCCAGCAGGGACACCAAGCCCAAGTCGGAATTATCAAATACTAAATTGTTCGAATATGCACAGCCTTTCTTCATAAAACCTGATTGCTTACAAACCACAGCAACTTCTTCCCCCCCCCCTTTTTTTTGGGGGGGGGGGGGCACAATTCAGTACATCTTTGTGAATCGCACCACCTTTGTCATGTTTGTTTAGAACATGGCTCGGTTTTACTTTAATGCTGTACATGGGACAGAGCTTGGCATCCCAAATGTGTACTAAGAACATGTCATTGGGTGACATAGGATTGAAATTTTGTTTGTTTCTACAGATGTACATGTAGGAAGAACCTGGCAAAAATGTCTTTCGCATGGGTGAAAGCATTTCAATAGCCAGCCAAACTGTCTGGTGTATTTCTTAGTTTCCATAAAATCTCACAATGGTTGGTTTTTTGTTCGGCCACGTACATTTCATTCCAGCCTGTGCAATTGGATAAGCAGTACAATGGGAACAATACCATCCGTGTGTGTGAATAAAAAAAGACATTCAAAGCAGGTTGCCAAAGCGACCAATTTCAAAGCCCGATAAACAAATTCAGCCTGGGTTTTTCCCCTCTTTGCTACCCCATGCTGGGGGCCAATGGAGCCTGGAAAAATGCAGACACAAAGAACTTGTCGCTTACAATGAATGCCAAAATCCTTATTGCTTCATTTTGCCGTTGGGGTAGAGAAAGCAATTGTGGCTATAATGTTCCCAGAATGACGCAGTACTACTTGGCGCAGCCACACTGTGGATTTCAATAAAAACTTCTGGAATGCTTGAAACTCCTAGAAAAAGGTAAATTTTGAAATACATGTATTTGTCATGTCTATATTTGTTGATTTTTAAAGTTCTTCATCGAGTTGACATAACTGAAATGGTAAAATAAGGTTGAGCTTCTAGTTTTGTAGGTTTTCTTCTGTTTTGTCACTGTGCTGTCTCTGTAGTCAGACATAGTATTATGCTTTGTGCGCTTTACAACAGTGAAGACTATTTTTTTTTAAACAAACATCACCCACTACAAGGTCAGGTAGGCAACAGGCTATATTAGGGGGAGAATTTAGAAGTAAAAAGACAAAGGAACTTGTACGCATATCTTTTGAATTATAGTAGATTTTTTTTGAAGGAGGATAATTGGATGCAAGTAGTGAGTTCTAAAGTGCTGCAGTACAAGGTAGAACCAAGAATCTTCAAATTTTCCGCCTTTCGGATTAAAGAGATTAATTTGTTCGTAATACAGACTTTATACACAAATGGTTGTAAGATTTTGGAGTAGATATTGGCAAAGTGAAGATCTCTTCCTACCTCTGCCTTCTACTTTGTTTACTCTTCTATCAAAATCATTGAGAAATGGGTGCGTGCACTGCTGCATTTTAACTGACCGCATAATAACTTAAATCTGTTTTTCAGAGTACATGTATGTGATGCAATGTGATGTGAAAAAAATGTTATTGAGTAACAAATAGTTGAATGGAGATATATACATTGTTGATCTGTATTAGCTGACAACTTAAGGTTTAGAATTTGTGGATGACTGTTCATGCTGATGCATCTTGTCTTTCAGAATGGGCTGGCAAAAATTGTGGATCAAATTTCATTATGTGAAAAAGTTGTGGATGACCATTTCGAGTAGCATGATGAGGGTGTAGGTGACCAATTCCATTTGCCGAAAATGAAAAAGTTGGTCATAAAATTGGTCACTGCTCAGTCAATCCTGTAAGGAAATGATCAGGGTGTCATTTTGAAGAGGAGATTCAACCCTAACCGAGGATATCTCCCTTGATTCACATGTGCCCTACTTCTGCTCCAATGAGCAATAACATCTCGGTTTCATTTTGTTTTTATATTGAAAAAATTATATATACATGTAGTTATCAAATTAACCTCAGGGTTTAGATCAGGACCTGTAATAAGTACAGCAGTGTTGGAGTAACTTGGGTAGCATTTGCTGGAAAAGTTGTGGGTGACCATTTCTTTTTGTCTGTATTATGTTTATTTGTGCATGATCACGTTGCTGACTAAATTGTGGATGAGCTGACAGCATCTCCTTATCCACCACAGGATCTGCCTACTGTATCGTCAGAATCAGCTGAGCAGCTGTGGATGAACTAATTACCATCATGGCTTCTTTGTGGCGTCTCCTGTGCGTTCTGTTTGTCGCATTGCTGTGTTATTCCTGTACCTTCTCGACAGCTGTAGAATGGTGTGTGCCAAATGGCAGCATTAGTTATAATGTCTCGTGTTCCTGCAATGCGTCGTCATCCACAAATGAAACATGTGACGATGAACCGCCGATTCTACCTGACTTCCCAGGTAAAGAAATCACTGTGGCTTTTTGTAATAATCATGCATTTGGTTGCTTTTTTTGATGTTCATTTTTCATTTCCGAATTTAGGCAAAGTAAGAAAAAAAACCTGTTTCTCGTCCCCGCCCGCTTCCTTTTTGGAGGCCGCCTGGATTTTTTAATTATTTTTATATTTTTGAAAAATGCAGTAAAAAAACACCGAAAAAGTCCACAATTTCATCGGAAAATAAATTGTAGACCAATACAACTGTAAAGGACACTGTAAATATGTTCATTTCTCTTGTCCAACTTGTCTTTCATTTTAAAAGTGTCTTTGAACAGTGGAAACACCAACGGTTGCAGGAAATGTTAAAATGGCGGCCATCTTGAAAAAAAAATAAATAAATAAAAAGCCCCTCTTCCTCCTTTTTTTCAAAAACCCAGCAAGAAACATGTTTTTTTTTTATTCGGCCTTATGCCTTACCAAGCTACATAGTTCCTTTTGAGGTTTTGTGAGTATGAGTCGATCAGGGTCATTATGTATACCTGGTGTTTTTGCCATTTTTTTTTAACACTTCACCTGTTAAATGTATTCCCGTGATTTTGTCATGTGTTTTTCTTTTAATTTCTAGTTTGTGTGAAGTTCATTATGTTTTGTGTTTAATGTTTACCTCGTTGCCTGAATGCTTGTATCCATCCTGCTCATTAAAGTAGCCACCCCCTTAAACAAAGAAATCAGGAATTTTGAAGAAAATGTAAAAAATCTTTTAACTTTATCGTCAATTTCCAAAACAAGTATGAACAATTCTGGATTCTTTGAAAAACAATATTTTGAAATTTCAGCAACTTCAGAAATGACCAATGAAAACAATTCTTAAGAAATATTGATCCTAATTTCTGATCAGAATTTGGCGTTGCAACATTGACTTTATTTTTTTTTTTAAGTATATATTTTTGAATATTTTGAATCGAAAGCTATTTAAAAAGAAGCCAAATTGAGAATGAAGAGACTGAAGAACAAGGGAGGATCCAGAACACAATTTTTTGGGGGCCCCCCCAAAAAAATTTGGCCCCCCAAAAAGTGGGTCCAAAAAATTACGGCGTGAGGTTCGGTGCCCGCTTAAGGGCCCCGACAAAATTTTGGATTCTAGAGATGCTCTGTGGTGCGATCTGAGGCAATTTCTGACCACTTTAACCAAATCTTTTTGAGGAAAAGATGGTGGTGTATGCAGTGCCTGTCTTTATTGCGATATCACTTAAAAAAAAATTGGGTTATTTTTTTTTTGGGGGGGGGGGGGAGCGTGGCCCTGTTGGCCACCCTGGATCCCCTTGATGAAGAATATCCCTGATTTATATATGCATCTTTCACACACAAAGTAAATGCCAATATCCATTGTTTTCCTTTGTTTTGCAGACTTCCCATGCTCGCTAGTTATTACCGACTGCTCTTTATGCGGTGAGTTATTCTTAATGGGCCCATGTAGTATAAAAAAAAACCAAATTATTGCAATTATTGAAAATGCACCTTTGTGTTCCAATTCACCTTATTTTCAGTTAACATTTTGCCATTTGTAAGGGCATTTTGGTACCTTTTGGGTTTTTTATCCTGATGGACTTTCCATTTTCATGAGCAAAAATGTGATGTCGTTTCGGGGAGAAAGCTCACTGTTACAGCTATTTCAGCACCACGATATGGATATTTTGCTGTCGTAAATTTCTCTTCTTTGGTGGTTCGTTGTTGTGTCAGTACATGGCAGTAGGCCAATGAGCAATGCTTTCAACAACTGTTACCAATGAGCAAATATTGGGTTCACAATTTATACACACAAAACAACTAAACTGAACAGTGTCTTCCTGAAATGACATCACAACAGCAGCGCCCTCATTTGTCAGGAAAAGCATGGGCGTGGACATGAAAGTGCACTTTTCAATAAAATTTACCGAAAAAGGGATGTCAAATACTTTGTATACAAAAATAATGGGAGAAGAAAGTTGCACAAAATAGGTTCCCAAGGGCAAAAAAAATCACGTCATGGGTCCTTTCAAATAGGCCTATGCCTGTGCTTTTGGGTTTTTAAACCAATAAAAAGGGACTGTTTGGTTAACTTCACGGATGCAAGTTTCTGCTGTGTTGCAGTCAAATATGTATTAAATAATGAAAGGTTTGCGGAAACACCATGTGCGAATAATTTCTCAACTAAGAGAATGGTTCTGAAAAGAACCAGAGGTATAAACTCGACATTCCGGTCAGTATGCTCTGACCGTCTTCAGGAGAGTGCCTAAACTCCAAGAAAGTGAATACTTAAGTAGCAAAAGGCGAAATCAATGAAGTGTGAAGTTGCGTCCTGTGAGGATGCCAAGTAGACAGGATCCTAGAGCAAGCTTGGTGCCCAGGATTCTAGAGCAAGCTTGGTGCCCAATTAGAGTTTAGGCACTCTCCTGAAGACAGTCAGAGCATACTGACCGGAACGTCGAGTTTATACCTCTGGTTCTTTACAGAACCATTCTCTTTTCTTAGTTGAGAAATTATTCCCACATGGTGTTTCCGCAAACCTTTCATTATTTAGTATCTTCAGCATGCAAAGCCTCAAATTCTTACTTAAATATGTATTAGTCGCCGTGGACAAAATGAAAAAGCGGCACTTGTTTTCAATTGGCCATAACTCAATAATTTTTTTCCCAATCTTGATATTTGCGATTTATTTTTTTAAAAGCTTTGAAAAAGAGGGTACTTTGAGGGTTTGGATATTTTTGGGGACGTGCACTCTGTATATGTGCTATAATGCTTTTGAATCGTGGTTTTTTGGGGGGGAAAATATTTGCGTTAACACCTCCATTTACTAAGCTTTTGATGGCGCACTGTGCACCTGACTCCCAGCCGTTGTCATTCTGTAAATAGCACCATTATTAGTTGCTATGACAACTGTGCTATCAACAAGGTCTTTGTTAATATGGGCTTGATAACAAACATTGATTTCTGAAGCCTAAAGCCAAAGGAAGTTTTTTTCCCGTCACAAATCCAGACCACAATGGCCGTATGGATGGATAAACATGTATTCAGTGAAAAGGGAAGTAAAGACATTTTGATCGCCGCATGGGGCACATTTGGAGTACAAAGATTCCCAGCCATTCATCTTTGTCAGAATTTTCAATGGCCATAGTAGGTGACAATAGATTCAATCATTGCAACAGTCACATCATGATGTGTGTGGACGTGCATGCATAGCATTTTTGGGCCAGTGTAAAGCTTGCTTTGATTTTTTTTTATTGAATATTTTCATCCCCATCAACCCATCCTTTATTAAATAAGAACGTTGTCTCTTTGTTTTCGTCACTTCAACAATGAACACGGTCTGCAAATAGACAAACAGAAATGTAATATGATTAAGAAAGGTTGGTAATCCTCTATTTATACCGCCTCAAAACCGCTCATCAGTCCGTTACTCTGAAACCGCCCCAATCTGCCCCAGCACCGTGTGGTTTCACAGGTTCATCTTACAATGTATAATGCCATTCCAATGCTTATGGTTAAAGTGACTATAAAGGTGCCTGTTTGTTTGCGTTACATGACTATTAAAATTCCAACTGTCTAGAAATAAGTCAAGGGCAGTATCAACCTCGTACCCAGGGTGTCGAGCAGTACGCGCCCATCACTACCTGCTGGAAATAAAGTAAGAACTGGGGACGAGGTTGAGGGCAGTATGGCTCTGTGCGGTAACAAAAGAGGGCGCTTTTTTAGCACTTTTGAGATGAACGGGACACATGCACCACCTATTTATCCAGAATGTACCAAAGCTAAGCCACAGTGTCTTGCAAGTGACGGGCGTCGTTGGCGTGCGAATGCAGCCCCCATCAACTATGCATTCAAAGTCCACAATGGATGGACCGGAAAGCTGTCCTTGTCACCCCCAACTCTTCTTTTCTGGCTGTTGAGGGGGTACTTGTGCACAGAGCCCATATAATCCAAAATAAGGACAAAGTAAGACTTTTACCAACTAGGGTTACTAACTAGAATTGATAACTACAGTAACATATACTGTTAGGAGAATTTTTTTTAAACATTTTATTCAATTCAGAAGATCTTTTTCGAGGCAGAAACATTTCTGAAAGTGTGGATGTATATAGACATTTGTTTTGAGCCTGTAGTTCATGAGGCCAGACTCATATCCCATTTTTAATCTCTTGAAACAGTAACAACAGAGATACCAACTACAAGTACAGAAACTTCAACAGTGTGGACCACGACAACTGTTACAACCACTTCAACGCCACCAACAGGTAGTTTCAGATGCTCAAGCTATTTGCAATTTTCAACAGTATGTTTGGGGATAAAAAAAATTTATATGTGAAACAGGGATGTAGTCGAGTCCTTGTAATTCTATCACAAGTCCTCCAGTCCCAATTCAACGCACAAGCTATTCAAATCAGCTTTGAGAAAGGCATTCCTTTGTTATTGTTCATCCACTGTTTCTTGTGACTGGACTTGTGAAAGGACTTGTGATTTACTTGTGACTGGACTTGTGATGGACTCAACTACATCCCTTGTGCCTGGAAAGGTTTTTCAAATCACCAAAAAAGGTCTGCCAATTAACTTAGTGTAGAGTAGAAATAAGAGTAGTAAAGTCTGTTCCGAGCCAATGTGGCTCATCAGGCCGGTGTTTATCTCCGGTTTCCTTGGCATGAAACGACTGAGAATATTTCTACTCCCCCTGAATGGGATGCCAGTCCATCGCAGGTTACTCCCCAGCTAATGCCAGTATCCATTTATACTCCTGGGTGGAGAGGGTCAAGTGGGGGTGAAGTGCCTTGCCCAAGGACACAATATATGGCCAGCGGCTGGATTCGAACCCCGGACCCTCTGATCATGAGTCACGAACCCTAACCACTAGGCCACACACTCCCCACTTAGTGTAGAGTAAGCTGGTAAAATTGGGCTGATGACTGGGAAAAGTTAAAGGCACTTCAGACAACATATTTTCTAATTTCAAGCTTTTCCTATAAAATAGAATAGGAAAAGGTACCAAAAATGGACAGCTTGCACATATATGCATGCCAATATCATTACAGCAGAATAATGGAGTGTGTCTACAGGGTGAGCAAAAGGAAACCCAAATGGTGCCCCCTATTTTGTAAAGAAATTCTGCATGTAGCCCAATTAATAAGCTTTCTTTTAGTAAAAGAATCATTCGAATCACTCGTGTACTTTTTCAGTTACGGAATTTTGAACACAAACACAGTTCTAAAATTGTGTCCACTGTGAAAGTTTCCTTTCACATTGAAGGTATGTGATATTTCAGTGAAATGAAACCATGTTGTATCATGAAAACGATATCAGAATAATCCCATAAGTCTCCGTGGTAACCAAGTAGTAGAAGGCAGGGTGGGACTATAAACTCTTGACATTATAAAGCATGTTGTGTTATTGGAAGCAGAAGGTGTTTAAAGCTATAGTCCATCATTTGCAGCCATCCGAAAAGTAACTGGCGTAATTATTGTTGAAAACCATACTTGGTTGAAAGATAGTAAGGGGACTAAAACTCCCTGTGAAATTATTCTTTCTGGCAAGCTGTCATTTTGAAGTAATCAATGAAAGAAGGCCTTTCCAACGGTGCGTCTTAAGACACACCGTAGGAAAATTTAAATTAGTAGTTGGTTTTGTTATTCGGCGAAGCGCGCGCAAGCATTGGCACGACGCACATGCGCGCGCGGTTGCTATAATTCGTCGGATCAGTGCGCGACATCGCGTATAGCTGCAATCGGCTCAGTGAGAACACGTCTCGGACGCTGAATTCAGGCCCAATTCAAAACATGTTTCAGCAACTTTTGATTTGAAATTGAGATCCTAGAATGCTGTTTTTCTCGGAATATACAGCTGAAGCTGAGCTGAAACTTCATCAGGTTAGTTGTTCAGTATCCTTCTTTAGATTTTGAACACTTTTGTTGCTTCAAACGAACAAAATGCACAAATTACAAATGATGGACTATATCTTTAAATAAAGGTTATGATAAGTGCCAGTTATCATGGTTATGAGAGTGTTCTGATGTGTTCTTTATATGTGAATTGCTTTCATTTTGCTGAAATATCACTTGCCTTAATTGTGATCCGTGGACAAAATGATAGAACTGTATTTGTGCTTAAAAGTCCATAACTGGAAAAGTACATGAGTGATATAAATGATTCTTTCAATAAAAGAAAGCTTATTAATTGGGCTTTCACATCCTAGATCTGAAAGTGCTACATGCAGAACTTCTTTTAAAAATATAGGGGGCGCCATTTGGGTTTCTTTTTTTTTTTGACCCGCCCTGTACTTTGAACACCCTGACCTTAAAGATTTGTGGAAGTGGGAGTGAATAATCGTGACCCCTCATCTCAAAACTAATGAGCATGAAAGTTGGAAATTGTCATTTTGCAGCACAAGTGGGGTAAAAGCCAAAATTTGAAGGGGTGATCAAATTCTTTTGTTTCCATGTGAACCTTAATCTGTAAGTCCTGTTCTGAGTTGTTTTGTTCCATCAAACATCTTCAAAACCTACTTTCTTTCTGTTTTTATCATACTTGACTTTGACTTTTCACTTACTGTAATACAAAAAAAATCACAAATTTCACAAATTTCACAATTTAGTTGGCAGTCTATATTTCTGTTACTAAACTCGGTACCACAAAAAGTCCAACTTAATGCTCATTTTGTGGTGACGGGTCACATTTGTTTCAAGCTTGCAGTTCATCCAGACTAACTTTCCAGTTTATAATCACCTGAAACAGTGACACCAACTACAAGTCTAGAAACAACAGCGTCTCCGGCCACACCTCCTCAGACGCCAACTTCAACGACAGGTACTAGTAAACAAACAACAACAATCTCTGAACAAACTACAACTCCCCAACCGGCTACCAGTACAGACATAAATCTACCGTCAACGACTTCTTCCAAAACGACTGCCAAAACTACAGAAGTTTCTGGCACTACAACTCCACTAATAGCATCTAGTACAGCCCTGGCTTTGCCTTCTGAAACTTCTTCCGAAACTGCCATGCCACCAGAAATTTCAGAAACAAACTCTCCACTTTCAGCTACTAGTACAGACATTACTTTGCCTTCAGAAACTTCTTCCAAAACTACCATGCCACCAGAACTTTCAGAAACAAACTCTCCACTTCCAGCTACTAGAACAGATATTACTTTGCCTTCAGAAACTTCTTTCAAAGCTTCAGACACTTCTTCTAAAACTACTGTGCTACCAGAACTTTCAGAAACTACATCTCAGCTTCTAGCAACTAGCATAGATACTACTTTGCCTTCACAAACTTCTTCCAAATCCACAGTGCCTGCGATGCTTTCCGAGACAACAACTCCACATCAGGCTACAGGTACAGACACGACTTTACCTTCACAAACTTCTTCCAACGTGACAGTGCTACCAGAACTTTCCGAAACGACAAATCTTCTTCTTCCAAATGACATGACTTTGCCTTTGGGAACTGCTGCCAAAACTACTGCGCCAACTGCGACACCTCTTTCTACTAGTTCAGACAACATTTCTAAGACATCTGCCTCTACATCTACAAGCACAGCAACAACATCCCTGCAAGCACTGGGTATATGCGTTCAGTTATATTTACCGGGAACAGAGAAATCCTTATAGGCTTATAAATAACTTGATGATTGATTTTTTACCCAGATATTGCAATTTTGGTCTTTTTTCAAAAACCTGGCTGCCAATTATCAAAAAGACTGCAGTTTTGTGGTCGGGACTTCGGAAGAATTAGAGTATTGAAACAAACGTTTTGGGGTTTTTTTTAAAGAAAATAAACAAAAGTATATAATAAAATAAAGTCGGTGAATGGCACACCCGATATTTAAAATACCCGTCACCACAAAATGAGCATTAAGTCAGACTTTTTAAGAATTGCGATACTTTAATTTCTGAATTCTGCAGAACAAGAGCTTTCTAATGATATATAACACTAGAGGGAACTGAGTTTAGCAACAGTAATATAGACTGCCAACTAAGTTGAAGTTGTAAAAGCACAAATATGAGAAAAGGACATTTAAAAATCTTGCTGTTGTATAATAGTGAAGGAACAGTCAAATAAAACTGGATGAAAATAGGTTTTAAGGATTTTTGATAGCACAAAACCAATTGGGAAAGGTAGAAGGAGTCTTACAGATTGAGGTTCACCTGAAAACAAAAAAATCGACCACCCCTTCAAATTTTGTTTTGTCCCACTGTTTTTGCAAAATTGTAAATTCTGACTAGATGCTCGTTTCGTGGTGCCAGCTGGTCACATATGTTTTGAGGTGTAATTGTGCAATAACAGCATCAATAAAGTAGAAGTAAAAAAAGGTACAAAATTACTGGTCTCACAGTGATTCTGCATGTTTGGTGGAATTCAAACCCTAAGTTCACAGAATTGATGGAAGCTTAGCTGAGGAAGGTGCTAATGCGGTGATCAAAGAAATTTGCTTTTTTTTTCTTTCTTTTGTGTGTGAAATATATTGCTTATGTTACATAACATATTTATAAATATATACAGGGTGAGTCAAAAAAAGCGGAACCCAAACCCCAAATTGTATATTTCAAATTTTAAAAAAAATGTAGCACCAAAAACAATAATGGCTGGAAAGCCAATTTCATAAGCTACTTTTAGATGAAAAAATTACTGAAATTGGTCAATCCGTTCAAAGAATATCACCATTTAAACACAATGACCCTAAAACCTGTCTCGTCCAAAAATGCGATTTCAACAATCGTCGACACAATTGTCTTCAAACATCACCAGCGATGAAATCTTAGTTTAAATGTTAACAATATGCAACAAAGTCCTTTTGATGGCCCGTCTTTTCAAAAGTAGGTTTTATAAATCATATTGTTTGCCTACCAGGGTTGTCAATCAAAATATTGTGTACTACAGTTGGTGACAGTTGTTGAAACAAGTATTCTGTGTCATTTTCTTTGTTGTTCCAAACAGTCAAAACACACAATAAATTGATTTTTCTGGACGAGACAGGTTTTAGGGTCATTGCGTTTAAATGGTGATATTCTTTGAACGGACTGAGCAATTTCAGTAATTTTTTCATCTAAGAGTAGCTTTTGAAATTGGCTTTCCAGTCATTATTATTTTTGGTGCTACATATTTTGCGAAATATGAAATAAATTGTTTGGGGTTTGGGTCCCGCTTTTTTTGACGCACCCTGTACCTTGACTCAAACCTAATTTTGGTTGAAGCAAGATTAAGTGATAAAACAGTCTTTTCTAAAGACCTTACCAAATTCTTCATTCCTTCAAACTTTTATACTGTAGAGCGTATATCAAAGGGCAATTTCAGCGTGATGAAAAGAAGTGTAACAGCTGTGACGGAGCTAATTAACCATGATATTTAATTAGTGATTCAGAGTAATGATCCCAAAACTCCTAGTCTGTATAAATCTCCTTGACCATATAAGATTTAAAAAATACATTTTTAGGTTTATTCACTGAGCTCTTAAAAGCTGTCATCATGGACATTACACAAAGCTGGAATTGCCACAATGTTTAAAGCAAAGGGGTGCTCAATAAGGGTGCATACCTATGTTCCCCAATACCTATGTTCCCCAATACCGATGTTCCCCGAAATCCTTACCCTAACCCTAACCCTAACCCTAAGCGTAACCCTAATCCTAAGGATTTCGGGGAAACATCGATATTGGGGAACATAGGTATTGGGGAACATCGGGTAGACCCTTCTGAATAATCATCTTAGTAAATAAAATAATAAGTAAAATAATCGACTTGGTAAAACTAGATATTGGATACTTACGGACCAAATTCCACCTACATATTTTGTGCTGTTGGCATAGAAACAACTGCAGGGTTATTAACATAAAAAACGAAACCCAAATAGCAGGACCAATTCCTAAATGAAGTTTTGCCTGTAGCACTTTCAAAATCTAGGATATGAAAGCCCAATTAATAAGCTTTCTTTTAGTACAAGAATCATTCAAATCACTCATATACTCATCATGTTATGGAACTTTGAACACAAACACGTTTTAAAGTTCTGTCCATGGATCACAAAAAGGAGTTCTTTCAGCAAAATGATAACAATTTACATACATCCTTATGAGAAGTGTCACGGTTTTCGTTTTGCTGAAAGAACATTTACTTTTGGTGATCCGTGGACAGAACTTTAAAACGGTTTTTGTGTTCAAAGTTCTGTAACTTGAAAAGTACATGAGTGATTTGAATGATTCTTGTACTCAAAGAAAGCTTACGGTCTGGACTTTCATATCCTAGATTTTGAAAGTGCCTCAGGCAAAACTTCATTCAATAATTGGTCCTGCCATTTGGGTTTCATTTTATTTGACTCATCTTGTACAGGTACAACTCTGACAGCAGTGACAATGAACAACACCCAATCCACTGCCACTCCGTCCATCACTACACACACAACTCATGGGACGACTGTTACTGGCTCATCAACCATTTCAACAATTGGGACCCCGCACACCACACCAATAGGGGGTCCGCACACCACACCACCAGGGCCCCAGACTCTGGAGGTTAAGATGTCAAGATGTTTGACTAAACTAAGTGATCCCCAGTTTACAATGTATCATATCTTATTAGATTTGCAGCATAATCAGTGGTATAGTTAGCGAGAGGGGGGGGGGATATTTTGGCAAAATGTTGGGGGGCTCTTTTTGGCGAGCTGCGAAGCAGATGCGAGCCTATGTAATACCAATTTCCGTCCGTCTGTCCGGGCGCCCGTCTGTCCGTCCGTCCGTCAGTGCGTCCGTCCGTCTGTCCGGCCGTCCGCGTTCAGATAAAAATGTTGAAGTTTTTGGTTTTAGTTAACTTGGGGAAAAAATTAAATGCAGTTGTCATGTATCATCTCTAGGCCTATAACTTCAGTTAGGTTCATATCATTGCAGTAAATTTTATGATTTTATTGAGGAACTTTAATTCAAGGAAATGTTAAAGTTTTTAATTGTTACATGTACATGTATACTGGTATAACATGTACATGTGTGTATACCGGCATAACATGTACATGTACACTATGCATTTTGGGGATGTGCATGAGCTTCTGGTTTGATCTTTTAGTTTTATGGGATTGGAGTAGGGATGGGGTAGGGGAGGGTGGGGTGGGTTGGGGGATAGGGGTTGGAGTTAGGGTTTGTGTGAGTAGGATGAGTAGGGGAGCTAGGATGGGTGGGGTGGGGTGGGTTGGGGTGGGGTGGGGAGAGGGGTTGGAATACTGGGTTTGGGTGGGGTGGGGATTTGTAGGGGTGGGGTGGGAACTTGTAGGGGTGGGGTGGGACAGGTAGGGAGAGGATGGGCATGGATGTAGGGGTTGGGTTAGGAGGGGGTTGGGCAGGGGGCGGGATATAGGATCGGAGTAGGGGTTGGGTTGGGGATGTGTAGGGATGGGGGGTTGTAGGGGTTGGATAAGGGGAGGGGGCAATATATAGGGATCAGAGTAGGGGTTGCATGGGGTCAGGTGGGGATGTATGGGTGGGGGAATGGGGTGGGCGGGATATTGGAATTTGAGTAAGGGTTAGGGTGGGGATGTGTAGGGTGGGTAAGGACAGATAGGGGAAGATAGGGTAGGTGGGTGTAGGGGGTTGGGGTAGGGGAGGGTACGGGTCAGGGGAGGGGGAAGGAGATAGGGATTGGAGTTTGGGTGGGGTTGGGATGTGTAGGTGATAGGGTGGGGATGGTTAGGGGAGGATGGAATGGGTGTGGGTAGGGGGTTGGGAGGGGGAGGGGGCGGGTTGGGGATGGGGTAAGGTTTTTGGATGGGGTAAGGTTTGGGGGAGGTGGTGATGGTGCTGTGTCTACATGTACATGTATACCCATTCTTGTTCTGCATTTGTGGCGACTACACAAGAGTTTTCCCATGGTAATACAAGTATGGGGAGCAGAAAACACTGTTGGGGCTGCAAAAATCCACAACTGGGTCCTAATTACCCTAACAATGGAAAACTCCCCCATAATACAGTGACGGCTAACCTATATACACATGTATTTATTAGGTAATCTGTTGACTTTTTATGTTGACATTTAAAAACTGACCCCTACACCTAGGCACATCAACAAGAATCCTGATCCCCTTCCATCATGCTCATCCCCAACCCTACCTTCAGCCTCCCTTCCTGCCTTGGACAGCGAGCCATGGCGGCTTCGCCGTTCTAGTTTTTTAAAGGAAATAGAATTGCCAATATCTTTGCCAACAAGAAATTCTGGTTGATACACAGATTTGCACCAAATATGTCTGACAGTGTTGTAGTCGACTATTTTTTTTTAGTAGGGAGTACTGCCGAGTACTTAGGTTACCAAGTAACTTGTACTTCCGAGTACAAGTACAGGTCTCTGAGTACGAGTACTTGTAAGGAAGGACGAGTACGAGTACCTCTATTTCCAAATACGGCCATATGGCACATGGTTCATTGTGCGTAATTGGCCCAGGCCCAGTCAGACTGATATACAGACCCACTCACGGCTAGCTGTTAAATGTGTTTGTCTGGACGTGCATAGAGGAAAATCAGGAAACTTTGATTACTCTGCAAGCCAATCAACCATTTCCAACTGAAAGTACCTATACAATAAGGCCATGGTAAGTCAAGCTATATACCAATTTTTTTTTTTCGAGTACCGTCATTTCGAGTGTGTGAGTACTTTGACATTTGAGTACGAGTATGAGTACTCTAAAATAAATACTCGAGTAGTAATCGAGTAAGAGTACCGAGTAGGAATACTACAACACTGATGTCAGAAGTCAGTTCTGAGATAAAGGCTATCCAAAGTTGCATTTAATTTTCCTGGTTGAAGGTCTTTTCGAGCCATTTAGGAGTACATACTCAGAAACAGCTCTTGTATTCATTAAAGTTTTTTTTTTTGCCTCCCCCCCCCCTTTTTTTTTTCTTTTTCATTTTTCAGACTCCTCTCCATAGGTTTTGTACATGGTTTTCTTCTTACCATACGCTAGACTTTGGCACTTTCGTAAATCCGATTGACTTCAAACTTGGCACACATGTAGGCAACCACCCTAAGATGCATGCCGAATATTTTCATCGCGATGACATCATCGTTTCAGTTGACGAAAACATATGTACCTTAACACACCAAATTCACTTCTTCACAGCCCAATATTTTCGGTACCATAGTTACACATGTACACACCAGTGTGTCTTTGCCTGCAATCGGGGACCCCCCTATTGTCCCTCTTTTGTTTGTACTGTAACTTTTTAGGAAGACCCTCCCATATGTTTTGTACACATCGCCAAACTGGGGACCTCTCAGGAATTGGGGACCCTATCGTCCTCTATTGTCAAAGTCCCCTGTTGAATGCAGAAACAAACTCGTGTACATCCGATTTGGGTGAAGATCCTACAATGTACATGACAGCTGTCACTAAAACAATTGTCGAAACAGCTATGTGTTTGTCTACAAACACAATTCTAGTTTCTCTTTTTCTTTTTTCTTTTTTATCTTGACAGCCTATACCTGTTTGATTGCGGCCGGTTTTCTCGGCAGTTTCCTGGGGCTAGCATACGTCATCATCTTCCTATTGCTAAGTTATGCATTTTTCATCTATGGAAAGAAAGCTTTGATAACAAACAAGTGAGTAGAATGTTTGCTTTGTACTTACTCTGGCTGGATGCATATAAACCAAATCAGGATAAATTACAAACTATTTTGATCGAACACTTTTCTTCATCGTTACAGTAAAGTTCATCCAGATTGTGAGATCAGTCCGAGGCCGCAAACACCGAACACAGAAAAAAGTAAGAATCGAGCACATTATTCTGATTTCCAAACTGTTGAACAGTGCTGAACATACTTTTGTGCATGCGATGTATCCATAAAATTACAATGGTAATTAAAAGACGAAGCCCATCATTAAAGTTGCCTTTCCCATGCTCTTCAACATATTCAATTTTCTTTTCTTAATACGTTTTCAACTTGTATGTTTTATTTCAACCAAAACCCACCTCTTTTCCCTTGTACATCTGCAGCCCTTTTTGCTAGCAAAGCTGGCTCCCTGTGTGTTCATTATCGATACTGATTGTGGGGTACGGTGGGAACCAGCCTATTATTCTGGTTAGAATAATAGAATAATAGAATAATATTATATCTGGCAGCCAATTATTCAAAATTGGAAGTAATAATTCTTTTAACTAAACAATGGCCGATATTTTTTTTCCAGTCAATGTCACATTCACAAGTGAATAACTTTTGCTAGAAACATAGCAACTTAGAAAAGGAATTCATTACAATTGGACATTTGTTGTGTGTTCCCAATTCCTTTTTGTTTTACTTCCAGAAATGACGTCAATGCATCCGTGGAAAATCGCAGTGGCTCTGGTCATCGTTAGTGTACTACATCTGATTTTGGCTGTTATCTTCCTGGCCACATCGTTCAGTCACTGCGCTGGTTTTGCCATTATCTGTATCTGCCTCTTGATGTGCGTCATCAGTATCAGCATCTTCTGTTACATCATAAAGGGAATAAAGAACAGCACGTGAGTCTAGAATCTGAAAGAAGAATTGAAATTGTCCCTGCTGGACTCAGTTTCTAAAAGTCAATTTCTCCTTGCTTTTTGTCTCCCCTGGACTTTGCTCAGGAAAGAGACTATGCAATACGTCTGCATGTATATCTATAGTATGTACAATGTCGTATGTGTATATTTGTTAAAAGTTTTGTAAAATCTGTCATTTTAAAAGTTGAAGTGCAATTGGAACCAGACTTAAATCATTGATGCAACATGGCAACCTTCATATGATATTGATGTCAAAGTTCACATACCAAGGTCAAAGGTCATCTGAGGTTAACTTGTAAAATGGGCTGAGCATGTAAAACTGGTCTCATTTCATAAGTTGAAGTCCAGTTGGAGCAAAACTTGGGTCATAGATACAACATGGGAACCTTACATGATACTGATGTCAAAGGTCACACACGAAGGTCAAAGGTCACTCTTAAAAGATAATTGCGAAAGCAGGCGAGACGCGCAGTTCAAGAACTGACCTGTGCTGAATTAGGCCACCTCCCAATCCCTCTTCAATTTTACCCACTTTAACTCCCTAACGCCCACCCCCACCCCCACTCCCACCCCAATCACCAACAAACAGGGCTCCAGGTGCCTAACGATGTCTCCCCTCACCTTTTTCAAAAACTCTGGCAGTCTGTGACAGGGAACATTTTGTTATACTTCCTCTCCACACAGAAACAAGGGAGGCCTGTTAGCCCCAAGCCAGGGCTCACTCACAGAGACAGCTCTAGTCACTGAGGATGAGAAGCCACTGACAATCCTGAAGTCTGAAGGTAAAGGCGTTTCAGAAATGTCAGAGCCACAGCTGTAGCCTGACACAAGTCAATCACAAGTCTGCACAGGAGTAAGGTGACAAGCGTCGGAGGACAAACATTTACAAAGGAATGGTTTTGCCTCAGTTCACTTGAACAGTTTGTCACTTGACTTATAACTTGATGACCGACTTGTGATGGACTTGTGATTGACTTAATTGAGATGGACTTGTTATGACTTCTGTTGAATTTTGACTGACTTGTGACTGACTTTGTGATAGAAGGCTTGGGATTGACTTGTGACTGACTTGTGACTGATTTGCGATTGACTTGAGATGGACATGTTATGACTTGTGAATTTTGACTGACTTTTGAAGTTCAGACTGACATTTGACTGAATTGTGAATAACTGGTGATTGACATGTGATTGACTTTGCGATTGACCTGCGATTGACTAATTGTGATTGACTTGTGATTGACTTGTGATTGACATGTGATTGACTTGTGATTGACTTGTGATTGACATGTGATTGTCTTGTGATTGACTTGTGATTGACATGTGATTGACATGTGATTGTCTTGTGATTGACTTGCGATTGACTTGCGATTGACTTGCGATTGACTTGTGATTGACTTGCGATTGACTTGCAATTGACTTGTGATTGACTTGTGATTGACTTGCAATTGACTTGTGATTGACTTGTGATTGACATGCGATTGTTTTGTGATTGACCTGTGATTGACTTGCGATTGACTTGCGATTGACATGTGATTGTCTTGTGATTGTCTTGTGATTGACTTGTGATTGACTTGTGATTGATTTGTGATTGACTTGTGATTGACTTGTGATTGACTTGTGATTGACTCATTTATCTATGTAAAATGATTTCAGGTCTTCATCCTGTTGATGAGGAGCGGCCATGCTCACCCAGCCTGTCCATAGGTGGACGGGTCGTCAGTACTCCACACGGCACAAACCCTAAAGGTAACATAATTCTTTGCATTAGACTTGAAACAGATAAGAATACCGTAAGGCCAAAAAAAAAAGTCTCTGGTTTCTGGTATGCGCGCGCGTCGCCGTAGCCATGCACGTCGGCAAAATGAAAAAGTTTTTTTTTCAATGAAAGATGATGTCTCAAAACTGCCAAACTCACTGGTTTGACTGGAATCCTGCTGCTGCACAATTTTAGCGTGTTTTTAGATGGGGTTGTGGTCGAGAATAAGCTTTATGTGGCCTCTCTGGACTCCCATATATTTGCACTTAGTTTAGTCGGGCACCATTTGCAGTCATCAGCCGACATTTGAAGCGAAAAAAATCAGGTAAAAAAAAAAGAAAAGTTGCGTCGCCGCACCACTTTTTGGGCAGGCTCCATACCAGAAACCGGAGACTTTTTTTTTTGGCCTAATAAGACTGTTGTATAAAAAAAGTTGATTTGTTTTACTGTTGTGATATTGTTTATCAATTTTGTGCACACTTGTAACCCCCCCCCCAACCCTGACATGCAAAATACCATGGACACAGTTGGTAGAGCATCGGTACGGTAATCTGGAGGTCACTGGTTCAAACCCCACCCCAGTCAATTAATAACAATACATGTAATACAATTTTATTCTACATTACAATCTGAAAACACTTTTCAAAAATATCCAAACCACATAAAAAGTTCACCAGTTAGTTATAAAGAAGTAGTTACAAATAATACCTGTTTTAAAAAAGAAATGTCTTTATAATGAATAAAGGCAAGGGCGGATCAAGAAAGGTTACTGCGGGGGGGGGGGGACTTTTTCAATTGAAAAATCACCTTAAAAAAGGAGATATTGGAACTATAAATAACAGGGACTAAGCACTCGGTTGCCTTTGTCTAGATTTGAACCAGGGGAGGGATCAAGTGCTTAGTCAATTTGGCAAATTGCCTACTGAGGTAAAAAAAAAAAAAAAATGTGTTTACGGTAACCCGACTTACTTTTTGCAGCCAAATTGCCCACTTTTATTGCACAAGTAGCCAAGAATATGAAATAAACTAGTTTTTGAAGTAGAATAGTATTTTCTATGTGAGCTTTTAAGTGTCATTGGTTAAAGTAAACAGGTTAAACAGAATAATAGCTTTTACAAGTACCCTAAAAAAAGAAATAAGTATAAAAGACTTACAAACAAACATAAACACTAGTTACATAATAAAATTATTTTCCTGCCTATTCACCTAGATAATATGTAGGGCATTACCATAAACAGACGTTTTTCAGGCCATACCCAAGGATGTTTGTGATGTGCTGGATAGTCATTGTACAAGGGCGAGATTATTATTAGGAAAAATGGAACTTGTCCACCTTAAACTCTTTTTCCAACCCTTTTTTTCCCAGTCCTTGTCCAGTATACAAGCCTGAAATTCATGTACGCTTATTTATAGCATTCAAAGATACTCCAATATGGCTCATTTTAACAGAAAAAAATAACAGAGCCAAGCACGGACGGATCTGGAGGGGGGGGGGGTGCAACAGGAGCCATGGGCCCCCCCCCCAAACGAAACCATTTTTTTAAAAGTGGTATCGCTATAAAGGCACGCACTGTGTACACCATCTTTTCCTCCAAAAGATGTGGTTAAAGTGGTCAGAAATAGCCTCAGATCGCACCACAGAGCATCTAGAATCCAACAATTTTGGGAGCCCTTAAGCAGGCCCCGAACCCCACGCCGTATTTTTGGGGACCCAAAAAAATTGTTTGCCCCCCGCCCCCAATTGTGTTCTGCATCCGCCCTTGGAGCCAAGTGTTACAAATAACAATCCGGTGCTATTGAAAAATTCTCTCCGCTTTTTCTATCTTCCAGATAAGGATGACGCCAGAGACAGGAAAATCTCGGCCGGTTCCCAAGCTGGGGACAGCGCTGTACTGATCCAAGTAAGCCCGGATCCCAGGAAATCAAAGCCCAAGGAGAAGAAGAGACGAGTGAAACGAGGCAGCCGTGCAAGTATCGAGCTGGCAGAGCTGAGACGACCCGGCAGGGGGCTGTCCTACGGACACATCCACAATGAGGAAACCAAATAGGTAGACTCTGTCTTTTTTTTTTCGCATTTTTTCATCCAAAATCATATTGATTTTGGAACAGGCATAATGATCAACAAATTTTCTAGATTTTTGGAAAAATTCAGACAATATTACATGAGTGAGTATACTGAGATGTCACGTGGATATGGCAGATTTCGAGGGTCAACCTAATGAAATTTGCCTACTACGAGCACAATTTCTGGGTGGCTCTTGTAATTTGAAAAAGTGAGCCTTGTATATTAATTTGTATTGTTTGTTTTTTTAATTTCTTGTTTGTTTGCTTTGGTTTTAGTTTCTTTTTGCTTGCCATTTATAATTTGATCCGATAAACACCTGTTCAAGGTTTCCAATGCATAATTTCACAGCGCCAAAATTGACTCACATTTTCAGGTGTGCGTAAAATTGGTAGTTTGTGAGCGAGTGTGCAAGAAGGCTTAAAATGCACAAGTCTAATGCTCGTTGGAAAACTCATAGAGATTGCAGTTCTGGAATTTGAAGCAAGGATTATTGCGATCAAATTAAATGTACAAAATTGTGTGTAATGTTCTAATGGCAACACATTTCTTGCTTGTATTTGCAACACATTTAATACACAGATTTTCACTTTGTTGTGGTTTATTGTAGCAGTTGCTCATAATTTAACAGATGATGTAAAATGTACATTTTGGTATTTGTTTAGTTTAAGGACTTGTTTACATGAAACAGCGTAAGTGTGGTCTGTAAGTTACTGTAACATTAGTACTCTTAGTGTTTCCCCGATAGTTGTAAATTTTGCATGATCATCAACAATTGTTAACCTTTTCTACAATGTGAATGAGTGTACAGGCTATATTCCTGGAGTGAAACTGAAGAATGTTCTTCATTCTTAAAAAAAAAATGCTGTTTGCTGTTAAATTTAGATTCAAATGTTCTTTTCTTAAGCCATAAATACTAATTGATAAAAATGAAAATCTGGTCTATGGTTTTGGACCTGCGGCCTGCATGCTGAACTTATGTTTAAGTATTGTCATCAACTTAAAACTCATTTGGAAAAACAGCTTATGTAGCCTCTTCACCATGGTTTGCTTTGCTCGCTAATTAGAAAATTTCTAATCATGTAATCCATGTATAGTGTATATTAACAGCAGCTGTTAAGTGACAACTAAAGGCAAGTTGATTACTCAATGCAAAAGCGAATGCGATCGTGACTTTGTGACGTCGCAGTCAGTTTTAACGCTGCAAATTCGCAAAAACTGAACACAATTCAACTCTGCCAATTTTGCAGCAAATTTCCTGACTTCAAATTCACAAGATATTGCATTCGCATTGGCATGAAGTATGTGCTGACTTAAAGTTGTTTTGGGATTTTAACAACATAAGTATAATTTCACATGTATCTTGCATGTACATTAAATAGATTAAAGCTAATTTAATGATTGAACCGATTGAAACCGTGTACTCAGATTTTAGCTATAAAGTATGGTGTTTGTTTTTTAAAACAGAAGTTAAGATCATGACATCGGTTCAACTGGAACTAATTTATTTTTAGTCACAGAATAGTCAGTGTCAGAAAGCTTATAATACCTGTATGCTTTGTTGGACTGGTATTCATTGTCTATTAACTAAATTAATGGGCATTCTAGCCAAAAAAAACCATCTGAATCTCCTAGCATTTTGTTTCAATTTTGGCCAAAAACTGAAACTGCTGGAAACTTGCAGGAAAGGTGCCTAAAGGGACCCTATAGACCTATATCATGCTTCCACCATTTTAGTCATGTTCCCTGTATCCAATAACAGTACTGAATGATAATGTTTTTGTGCAAAGAGGAACCAGACTATTTTCCCCTCCAGCCTCGCTTTGGTGACATTGATTTGAATGGGTAGAAAATCAAATGGCTGCAACATGATAATGGTCTATAGAAGACATTCAAATTCAATTTCTGGACAAACGTTGGTATACCGTGAAGTTTCCAGCTTTGAACGGAAACAAAATTTTGCAAACATTATGCTCCAAAGTTTCACGAGTTAGCATTGACCGGAAGCAAGTCATTGCACATAATTATAAATACACAGTGTATGATAATTGCAGTTTCGCGAGTTAGCATCGACTTTGCCTAATTTAATTGTGAGAATAAAAGGCTGCTCAAGCCACGATAAACCATAGAATTGTGTGTTAACTGCCTCTGTTGTTGTGTGTCCAGGATAAACGGTGATATTCAAAAGAAAACTTACGTCAACAATTTGGAATGAAAGCAGTCAAACATATTATTTTTCTCAAAAAATCAGTGATTTTTGCCAAAATTATTCACATTTTTGACATTTGAATATTGATGGATGTTCCTCTTCCCTCTAAATGATTCTCCGCGTTGTTTGGAGAAAAGTCAATTTTTGGCCAAATTTGAGTTAAAATATATACTTTTTTTTTCAGTTATGGCAAAAAAATGAAATTGCTTGAAATTTGCAGGGAAGATGCCTAAGGGACCCTAGAATACATTCTGATTCAATTTCTGGAGACTGTGCACGGTATTTAAAAGAACATGCGTCTAAAATATGGGATAAAAGCAGTCATGAATGTAAAAACCAAAACTAAAACTATTGCTGATTTATGAGCAAATCCTCAAAATTTTGGTGCTCTTCTCTTACCTGTAACTGAATTTCTATGTTATTTGGAGAAAAATCCATTTTTGGCCAACTTTGAGTGAAAATATCAGGCTAACCCCTTACAAAAATATGTAAGGGGCTAGCCCTTTAATTTTTTTCAATTTTGGCCAAAAAAAAAGAAATTGCTTGGAACTTGTAGGGAATATGCAAATCCCTTTAGAACACATTCCAATTCGATTTTTGGACAGACGGTGGTATTTGTTAGAAAATTGCATCTAAAATTTTGGGTAAAATCAGCCATTCCGTAAGACATCCCCACTTCATACACAAGATTCTGTGAAGCTCATCAGCCCTTCCCGGCCCAGCGACCTAGGCCCTGTTTGCAGGGCTGGGGGGGGGGGGGGGGTGAGCGAAGCGGTATGATGCACATCATGAACAGCACCCTACATTTTAATTTTTTTGTATAGAATTAAGGATGAGAACATACTGCTCACATTATTTTTCAGGAAAATAATGTTTGATTACACGCTAATGAAAGACTGTTGGAAACAGCGAACGGAACAGAGGCCTGGTTATTGTGTTAACAAACGAATCCGTAAAAAAACACAATTTGTTCCCTTTTCTAAAGACGTCCGTATATAATGTTAAATAGTAGTGACGGAGTTGAGAGTCTGTATCTGTCCAAATACAAAGAGTAGAAGTCCGGCGCGGATCCAGATGGGGTCGAAACACCCCCACCCCGGTCTGAAAAACACGAAAAATGTATAATTATTTTAATAATGACACGGTCTGCCTGTCCGCAACAATCAGATGTGAACAGCTGACGGGCCTGGACATCCCCCCCCCCCCGCACAATTTCCTGGTCCGCCCCTGAACGCACATGAAGCCTTTTCAAAAAAACCTGCATAATCACGGTGTTCATTGTTGCGTAACGATAAGTAGGTTTAGCCCACGTATAGTCCTACGACTAACGAGGCTGCCGTATACAATTTTCCAAACATAACAAATGTAAACAGTTGGCTCATTGTTGCACGAAATATCGACTTCTGTTCGTCCACGGAGCTAGACAAAACAGATGCACTCAACAATGTTCAGTGTTTCTCCGCCTACTCAAACAAATCGTTTTTGACCAGAATTCTAAGGAAGCGGAATGGCCTAGTGGTTAGATTCGCCGTCTACGAATCGCGGAGCCCGGGTTCGAATCCCGTCCGTGTCTTTTTGCTTTTCAACGCGCGTATTCAGTCATTATAAGATGTTTAATTTCCCGTCGTAAATCACCAACTGTACCTTAGCTTAATCGGTAAGCACTGCGGCTGGTACTGTCCGCGAGTTCCAGGTTGGCGCCTTCGTACAGGTTCAGGGCATGTGGTCCACTCGGAGGATCAGGGCTTAGGGGCCGCCCTGTTCCTCCCTTAGCTCTTTGCTTTTACATGGTGCCTGGCCCTCCGGGTTACATGGATGGACAGGAAGGAAGTGTGTATTGGTCGGGGACGCCGAGACCCCGGAAGAGAACTAAGGGATCGGCTGGGGCATCGTTATGGCTCAGACCGATCCCTGAAAGCTTGGCTAGCACATAACTTTTTGATTTTTTTAAGCCTCTATTTTTTTTAAAACTTTGGTTTAGTTTGATATTAACATCTGCTCGGCAGGTCTCCGGCAGTTTAAAAACGAAACAAAGGTCTATGTCATAAATTAATGAAAATGTAATAATTGACTATACTCAAAATTAAGTTTCGTTCGATCAATAAGACTACCATAAAAAATGGTGCAATTTCCAATTGACGTAAGAAACGCCATATACAATAGGCCGCCTACATCTTTCAAATAACGTTTCTTTAATTGTGAACATTCCCCACAAATATAGTAATTAGCAAAATAAGAAACACGACAGAAAACAAAGCCCCTCACTCTTAAAACTGGAAATACAAACTTGAAAAACAAACGCAAGTGGAACACAAGAACGTACATTAAGGACTGAATTCTAAAATGCCATTAAATTGGGCTTAATAGAATTAACTGTCATTGACATGCAGGTGCGGACCCAGAGGGGTTTTTTTTTGGGGTGGGGGGGGGGTGGTCAAACCCCCCCCCCTTCTCTGACACAACAAAGTGAAGCTATTCTGCCGCGGTTATTATGCATCTGTCGGGTCTCCTCCCTCCCCTCCTCCCCCCCCCCACCCCCCCCCCCCCCCCTGCAAAAGTTCCTATAGATCTGTCTCCGATGTAAGTTGGTAAATTGGTATGAATTGTGATATACCGACTTGGTAGAAATTTCATTTTGGAACCGCACTACTCTGTCGATCACCGTGGGATGACCGCGCCGGTGGTCACAAGACCACCAGGAAGGGAGCCGGTCGACCGATGGGGGGACCGGGCGCCTCTGCCGGCAGAACGGCCCCTTCCCCGGGAGACTGCGGGCGGCGGTCCCAGGCGGCAGTCGGATAAACCGATCCCCGCAGTCCATTCGAGACCTA